AAGCTGACAACTGAATGATGCTGTTGACCAACAACAAGATGTATATGCATGATTGGGTGACAGTGATTGATGTGGAAGTATACGCGTACCAAAACATGACATGCACGCTTTGTATGGATCGAACCTGATACCAAGGTTATTTACTGGAAACATGCATCACAGCGGAAAAGTGGTGGCAACATTCACATCATCGGCAGAGTTTTTATTTTGATCACTCATCATCATTCCTCCACCAACATCAGCTATTATGGAATCTTTTATGGTCGAAGTTCCCCCCACTGGGTAGTTCTTTTGATCGTGTGCCCAACCTTATCATTAAAAACACGTGAACGCCAAGTCAAATTACAATGCATGACCATGGAAGCACATCGTCGATGGGTCAAGGTATATAATGCTTTTATGATGTGTATGGCGCGATACGTACAACAATGGCTGACACTATCTTAGGGTCTCAATTCACTCTTGAACCAGGCATCATCGTTGCTGGTGCCCAAGAAGGCAAGTTGTCTCGCTTGTACTTGTCGGCAGGACACTCGGATCGGAATCTTCATCCTTCTACCGCAAAGATATCAGCGTTGGAAACCAAACGACCTCGTCTTGCTCTGATGAGCAATCTTCTCTGTCAAGGTTATCTTTTTCAAAACCATCCTCTCCTATGATTCCAAAGTCGAATGCTAAACATGGCAACCTCATCTTGTCATCCTTACATACCATATCATCTTCTTACGTATTACATACATGTCAACATTAGATTTCTTCACATCATCGTATAGTATAATAATTCATCATCATTGCTAGAAAGATATATATGTCATGCCATAAAGAAATACAATACTACCGTTCCGCAAGTATATGGATTTGATACAACACAACTTCTTGTATATAAAAGAGAGACCGTATAGGTGCTACTTTAGTAGTATAGCAAAAATGAAAAGGAAAACGAATAAAAAAGCTGCTGGGAAAAGGGAATGTGGGGATGGGGGGGGGAAGAAAAGAGTACTATAAGAGCTAGTATTTGTACATGTTGGCGCGTCGTTCACGTTCAGCTTGCTTCTTCTCAATGATACGAAGCAAATCACCCTCGTCGTCTGAATCATCTGAATCATCGCTTGAAAGAGTGGATGGTTGATATGAAGAGTGGGTGGTGGGTCGTGGAGGTGAAAAAGTCGAAGCCGGCTCCGAGTCATCATAAAAGTCGTAGTTGTAATTTCTGTGCGGCATCTTGTTGGTAGTAGTGGAAGGGCTAATAGGGGAACGAGGTGAAGCTGATGATGATGTGGATGAGGAAGCAGCTACTACAGTGTTGTTGGTGGTGGACAAGGGCTGTAGGACATGTGTTGGTACCGATGGATTACTAATACCAGCATAATCATATCGTTGCTGCTGCTGATATTGATAAGCATGGTGTTGTTGTTGTTGTTGCATATACGATGATGAATCGTAATAATAGGGTTGTGGTGGAGGTGGTGCGGTTGCCATGGTATTAATAGCGGAGCCGAATTCTGGGGTTGATGGGGTGCGATTGATATAGGTTTGACTTCCCGCTGATACAACAAGATTACGGCCATTGTACATGGATGTCTCAGGATTGGTGATATTAGTACATGCCGATGTGTTGCGTGACAAGGTTGGCGACCTATCCCAAGATTGACTCGAGCGCCACGACGCCCCAGAGCCTCGTGACCGATTGGATGACCGAGATGCATTGGAGTCCGATCGTACTACACCATTACTATTACCGATATGAGTGTTTTGCAAAGTGAGAGTGATGGTAGATGCTGAAGGGGTCGATTGCAACGAAATGGATGGTGTACGTCTATGAGCTTGTTGTGGTGTTGCAAATGTTGATGATCGTGATTGAGTGGGTTGAGGAGGTGGTGGCATTGATAAGACCGATCTTTGATCATCTTCTTCATCACTTTCTTCATCACTCAACATAGGTCCCTCTTGTGAATCATAATCATCATCGTCGTCAATGGGAAGAGTCGCCTTGGGCCATGTACCAATCACAATAGGCATCTCCACAAGTTGAGTCTCATGAGCCGATTTCTTCCCAGTCATATACAAACGAATACGGATGCGATATTGGACTTCAATGATCTTCTCCTTGTACTTTACAGTGGGTGGTGTCGATGTTGGAATAAGCAACTGAGGATGGAACGCTTGTGAAAAGTTGTAAGGACCAATAATGTTGGCATCATGCTCCATTGATTTCAACACGTCTTCCTTGGTCAAGGTGTTTCTACGTTACCATTATCAGCCATGGATCATTATACATGATGCCCACTTTATACATACCTGCTCGTTTTGATATCCACAATACGTACAAGATCCACCTTGATAGCACCCTTTCTCACAAACCGCTCATAGTGATTCAATAAAATGGTGGGCTTGACCAAATCACCTATAAGCCAATACAATCAGTAATGATCCTATTACAACAATGTATATGATGTAGATCTCTACCTCGAGTATAACCAAAGCGTGGGATGGATGTTTTGAGTTGGCATTGTTGACCAGGCTTTGACTTTGGAGGAACAAAATCCATCGTTTGTTCTTGGGGCTTAGTGTAGCGAGGCAAGTCGACATCGACTAGTTCGAGGATCGGAACAGTGTAATCGGCTTTTGCACACAAGGATTCTGGAACCATGGGTCGATCATGAATAGCTGTCAATCGATATCGAATATAGGTCTTGCGCTTGCCAAACTATAGAGTTCATTTAACCGGATGTTCCCTCTCCTAATCCTTCCTTGACACCAAAATAACCCTTTCTATACCTCCATAGTGCTTGGTAAATCATCGGGAACCGCAAACTCAAAAGGAAATGTATGTTGTTTGGCTTCAAGAACTTGAGCTTTTCCATGTGTGGATACTGGAAGAATCTCGGTTTTCTGGAACAGATTGAACGTCTCTTTATCCTTGACCGAAATATGCACCTCGCCTGAGAATGTCAGTCGAATATGGTTGGTCTTGGTTGGATGCTTTGGGTGCACAACCACCACACCTAAAAAGGTCTAAGTATATATAACTCATGTTGCTTTGTTGTATGCTGATCGATACCTTTGATGAGTTCGCCTGGAAAATAAAACTTCTCCTCATTCAAACGAATGTCGATTGTTGTGCTGCCTTTGGTGAGATGCCTCATGCGGGCGAGGAAGGAATGGTTGTTGTTATTGTTGTTGTTGGAAAGATAACGACTGTCGGTTGGGGGGCGAAAGTAAAAGAACAGAGCCGGGTTCTATATTTTGCCGTTGAAAAAGAGGAGAATGAAAAGAATATAGAGAGCCGTGGCGCGCGTGTGTGGGTGTGTGTATAAAGTGGAAAAGAGAGAGAGAGTGAAAGAGAGAGAGAGGGAGAAAGACAAAAAGTGCGCAGTGAATAAAGGTTTAAGGGAACGCTCAAAATCGTTTGCTGTACTCCACCATTACCACACTCCCTCCCCGCCTAAAAAAAGGGTTCTCTCTTTCTCTCTCTTGTAACATAGTTTGTCCATCCTGTGATTTTTATTGTCTTACACAAATTACCATTTGTTGATAAATGCAAGATGTTTATGGATGAGATGGATGGGAGGGGATGGTGATGCATATATGCATTACGCATCCAGGCAAACATACAATGCTTGTTGTTGCTATGCAACAGGGCAACCGTATCATTGGGTGATGAATAGGATGATGATGATGATGGTGGTGGTAGAGTGAGTTGGGCTATTTTTATACGCGTGGGCGAAGCATAGCTGAGTAGGAACCCACACGGACCATGCTTTCTCAGTGGTAGCCACATGGTGGGCTACCCAAAGAGATGGCTCGAGGGTCGTACACAGATACATACACAAGCGCTGTTGACATGCAGAAACGGACTTGAGAGTGGCCAATGATTGTGGCTATAACAGTAGCATTTGCAAGGATGACCACTCCTCACACGGATGTTGTTCCCGTCCACCTCCGATTTTACATTGCTTTTCCCTGTCATTCTTCTCTTGAGTGAATGAGCATGCTGTTGAAGTGAATAATGGGTCACACCTCGCTTGTTTTTCATTGGCACTGAGTTTACCCCACCCCATTATGCTCTCAGCTCTCTCTTTTTTTTGTATGTTCCATCTTTCCGCCTCGACCCTCTTCCGCACAAAAAACCCTTTTGCCACCCCCACTTTATTCAATCACCCCGGCTTTTTGTTTCTTTTTGTTTCTTCTTGTACATATTCTTGTTAACTTCTTTCGTGTGGTTACATTTCATTATTATTTACTTGTTCTTTCCACTTGCAAACATAACAATACTCTCAAACACACACACACACACACACACATCACTCATATACACGTATACATCTACACACACACCACACCGCCTCTTCCAATGTATTTTGATGGTAGTTTTGCTTCGGCAAACCCCGGCGACCAAGATCAATCCCATCTATTCAGCCATTCTCTCGATTCCGCCATTCCTTCCCACGATTGGCAACCATCTGACAATGACCCGTTGGCTTCTTATCTATCGCTAGGGTTACACGCCCATTCACTCGACTCACCCTTCTTTGATGATGCCACTCTTGCCTCTGTCGCAGCAGCAACCGATTGGGATTTTTATGATCCCGCCGCAGCAGATAGCCAACAACAACAAGAGCAACAACGAGTATCACAGCAATCGATGCCAGTAGAACATGATTTTCTATCATCATTGAATGAACAAGAGCAGCAAGCTATTCTATTATCGGATCCTAATTTTGTAAGGCAGCAACAGCTTTATCAAGAGAAGGAGATGGAAATGCGTCAACAACAAGAGCGTCAACAGCAACAACCTCCACCTCCACCACCCTCTCAGCAACCACCTGCAGCAGCATCTTCATCGTCTTCTTCATCCACTACCTATCCATCTTCTTCTTCATCAACGACACAATCTAATTTATCTGCCATGTTGGATTCAACCAAACGACCTGCCAAGGCTTCGTCTACCAATAAACCCAACAAACAACAGCGTCGATCGGCGGAGGAAATTGATCATCAACGTAGACTCAGCGAGCTGCAAGCAAGGTTCCGCGTGAATTTTGCTAGAAAGAAAACTCCCCAACAACGTCGTCGTTCATCTATGGATGCTATGCGCCAGTCTGTACAAGCTGCTGCTGTATCACAACAACAACCTCAGCCATCATCTTCAACAGGTAGCAATGCAAATGGGTCACAGCAGCTTCCTCAGCCTGGTACATCGGCACCTACTCCATCATCCATGCCACCAAAGCAGCAACAACATCAGCAGCAACAACAACAACAACAACAACAGCCATCGTTTCCATCCCGTACTATGCCTATTCAAATTCAACGACGGCCTAATGTACAATCATATGATGCTGAACAACGACAACGACAATTGGATGAGCAATTGGAAAACATAGATTTTGATGACATTACCGTTTCTGAACTCAAGGATATGTTGCGTCAGCGTGGGAAACCTGCTACAGGCAAGAAGGCAGTATTGGTACAGCGTTTACAAGCTGAACGCGATTGGAGACGTAGTATGGCTGTTGCTGTTGCTCAACAACAACGACATTCATTCCCTGATCCACCACCATCACCCACCACCTTATCACTTAATCGATCCATCGCCAATATGCATATTGGATCACCACCCCAAACGCATCAACAACAACAACAACAACAACATGCTCATTCGTTACCTAATACGACTCCCACATCACAACAACAAGCAAGACGATTTGCCCCATATCGATCCTCCAAACCCATTCAGGATCAACAACAACAGCAACAACAGCAACGCGTACGTCACAAGTATGCTCCTCGGATACCATCAGCATTGGCTACCCCCGACCATGAAGAGGAACAAAACCCATTTGATCAATTTATCATGATGCAACAGCAACAACAGCAACAACAAGCTCCTCCTCCACCTCCTCCTCAGCAACAACAACAACAAACGATGATGTTGCCACAAGGTATATATTAGGTTTGGGATTGGTTCGTGATGGAAGATCTGGTGACATAATAATGATGATGCTGACCAAATGGAACGTGTTTTAATGCACTATAGATTTGCCCATGTTTGGTTCAACCGAGATGCCCCGCCCTAACCCCGCTTCGGCTAAGCAGAATACTGTGAGCGATTTGAGTCAGGTGTTATTCAACGATCCACTTCTTCATTGGTGATCTATATACGTACACGATTCATCATCTTCTTATATGACACACCCACACACAACCACATGTTGTAAATAGTATACTCTCTCTATCTCTCTATCTCTCTTTTCCTTTTTCTCACACACGCTTTTACTCGTTTGTTTTTCCGTTTTTTTTATCTCCTTTACTACTCTTATTAGATCTTTCAACTACACAACGTGTAGCGCCCTAGAAGGGCATGATTCACTGTTTGGGTTTTTGTATACAAGACACATGCAGCAGCATCATGTTTTAGGTTGTGTTTCCTACTACCTGTTTCATGAGACGAAACATGACTACTGCATCCCACCACCACCACCATGATGACACATTAGATTTTTATTGTTACTCTCTATTACTATTACCAATAATAATATCACCCCTTTGCTCAGCAAATGACCATTGTAAAAGGATCTCTTTTATTGCATACGTGGTTTCTTTACCCGCCTATCTGTAGACTCTGGGGATGCTGTACGCTTTTCTAATTGTCGTAACCATTGTCCTTCGGTCATTCCATCATCATAGCGTATTGTTTCACGCATACGTTGCCCTCGACCCAATAATAACGAAGTCTCATCTTGTTCATCCATCATCATGTGATCGTACCGGTAAATGTCTGGTAACTCCCAATCCTGCATGAGCCGCTCACGCTTTTTGCCATCCTGATCATCGTCGCCATACAATCGTTGTTCTTCTGCTGCTGCTCGCTGTCGCTCCAGATCAATCTTGGTAAAGGTGGCATATTCTTGATCGGACCGTTTTAGCATCAAGTTGAGCTCTTCGTCATCCAATTCTTCATTCTCTTCGCCTCCTTCATCGCGTTCATCGCTCTTGTCTTCCAATAACGAACGTAAAAATGCTTCACGATCCTCCTCCGTACTACGATGATCGAACTTGCCAGCCTGAATCACTTTGCCATCAATATCCAACTTGTATTGGGCACGCGCCAAAATGTTCTCCTCGATGGAATTCTCAGTGATAAGTCGAAAGATGTGCACCTCTTTGGTTTGGCCAATACGATGGGCACGATCTTGTGCTTGCAAGTCTTGATGTGGATTCCTATAAAATGTTGCAGCATGAGTCATTCAGCAAGGTTGCCATGGATACCCCCCTCCCTTCCTATCATACCAATCCGAATCAAAGATAATGACCGTATCTGCCGTTTGTAAATTGAGACCAAGACCACCTGCACGTGTACTCAACAAAAAGACAAAATAAGGCGAATCAGGTGCATTAAAGACTTCCAAGAGTCGTGAACGATCATCTGCCTTTGTTGATCCATCCAATCGTAAATGTCGATAGCCCCGGAATAAGCAAAAGTCTTCCATGATATCCATGATTTGTGTCATTTGGAAAAAGATCAATACTCGATGGCCCGTAGCTCGTAACTTGGGAAGCATTCGATCCAAAAGCTCAAATTTGCCAGAGGTTCGATATAAAAGTTCATTGCTGATCTTGTATGGATTGATCACACGTTCGACTTCTTCAAACACAAAAGGATGGTTGCATATCTTTCGAAGTTGCATGATGGTGTTGTTAAGACCCTTGATGCTTGTGCGACTAATAACAAAGGAAGAGGTTAGATCATCTTATCGGTACCCTCTTCTCGTACTTTACATACCCTCCTCCTGTTCCACTCGTTGAATAAAGCATGCCGTGCTTTTTCATTTGCCAATAGAGTCGAGATTGTAATGCAGACAACTTGCACTTGATCACGCGTTCCACCTTATCTGGCAATTCAGCTTCCACATCCTTTTTCAAGCGTCTCAAAAGGAAAGGTCGTAGCACCTAATTAAGAAACCCCACCATGAATACCAATGATCCTTCCCTTAACATTCCTTTGTTACCTTGTGTAAACGTTTGATGATAAGCAATTGCTCTTCTTCATTCAATTCGACCTTGTCTTGCACACCTTGGTTTGAGAAGGGGGTATTGAACCATTCCTCGAAGCTTTTGACGCTATTGAAGATGCGTGGCAGAATAAAATTAAGCAATGCCCATAGCTCTGGAAGGTTGTTTTGCAATGGTGTGCCCGTAAGAATGAGTCGATAACGTGAGGTATAGTACTGTCGAAGCACTGATGTCAACTTGGAATTGGTGTTTTTCATGCGGTGGCCTTCATCCATAATCATGTAAGTCCACTTAATCTTGGATAAGGCGGGTCGATCTTTGATGATGTAGTCAAACGTTGTCAAGAGCACTTGGAATCCACCATGTCGGATCTGCTGCTTTTGAATCGATTTGCGAACTTCAGGAATGCCTTTGTACACAATCTTGGTCACTGTGGGTGCCCACTTTTCAAATTCCAGTGCCCAATTAGCAATTGTACTAGTATCAACCATGATTAGTACATCCATGCCATTTTCCATCCTTATAAGGTGACTTACGAAAGTGGTACAATGATAAGAAATGGTCCATTTTGTGCTTTCTTCTCGATTAAATACGTGATAAGGCTGATCGTCTGAATCGTTTTTCCCAATCCCATCTCATCTGCAAGGATGCCATTCAATTTGTTGTTGTACAATGAAACCATCCACTGCAATCCTTTGACCTAGGGGAAATGAAGGTATGAGTTCCATGTACACATACACACACGCACAATCATACTTACTTGATAATCCTTGAGTTGACCTCCAGTCATTATCTTGGGTTGGGAAACGCTTTCCTGGATACGATGTGCCATCCTGAAATAGTCGATCTTATTTCCAGCCGAATCCTAATAAAAGCAACATTAGCTTTCTCGCATTGTTTCCTCATCCGCTTTTTCTTTACTTACAGTGAGCATCGTTTCCTCATCACCCTTTTCCTCATCCTCGGGTTGTAACAAGTCATGAACGGGATCATTTTGTTGATCGACAACAGCACGTGTGAGTGATTCAAGATACGAGCCAGTTTGCTTGAGCAGCAGTGTCAATCGGGTATCCTTGGCTTCATCAATCAACTTCATGTAGGCTTCTTCATCATCATTTCTCAATGCACGAATACGCTCCTTGGATCGTTTGTCGGCACGTCGTTGCTCTTCACGTTCGATATGTGCATGGTATTGGAGCATCGCCTTGCCCAATTTGCCCATTCTCCCTTGATATCCCTTGTGCCATCCAAGAAGATCACGTCCATGGTTGCATACAGATTGCAAATAATCAAGATGCCGCTGCTTTTCACGTTTTTCCTTATCCAAGCGCTGTTGCTTTTCAAGCTTCTCCGTCAACTTGGCCTCCTTCATTGTTTGCCGCATCATCTTGCGATACGATGCACTGCCCACCGTTGTTTGCAATCGATTGGCTTCCTCAAAACCGCGAAGAATATCTCCTCTTAGCTACATAACCCAAACCATGATGAATACCTAGGATCATTTCATCCACCACACATGTAAAAATCATACCTTGGTCTGCTTATCACGAAGTCGTAGGGCTTTCAATTTGATAATATCATGGATCTGCTCATGGGAAGCGTTGTTCAGCGTGTTGTGATAGTCGTGATCAATAAGGTGGCCCAATGTGATGCTGTTGTTCTCGTCATCCTGATGAACGACTTGATTCTCAAGCTGTTCATGATACTGCTTGGCACGATGTTGAATGCGATTCTCACGTTCTTCGAATACGGTGTGCGGCCTGAGACCAGCTGGCATGGATAATGGTAGCAAGAGCTTCTGTTGTCGAGAGGCGTGTGCATGTGATCGCTGAATGCCCACCAGCAAGTCATTGGCAGTAAGTCGTTCTTTGGGTTTGGCGTCAGGAAACTTTAGAGCACTCAATGCATGATGATCACGTTCTTGTCGATAGATGGCTTCCACAAGCTTCTCAGCCAATGCTTTCCTTTGCTCTTGGACCGGTGGTAGTGGCTCATCATTGTTGGCAAGTCCCATATTCTTCTGAAGTAGGCTGAAAGCTAACATCTGATATTGTAATGCATTGAACAAAGCGGTTGCTAATGGATACACAATCATCAGCATATGGATAATGAAAAGTATATGCAATATCCTCTTCCTCCTCCTACCTGATGAAGGTGCACCTTGCTGTTGCTGTTGCTGCTGCTGTTGTTGTTGAACAAGCTGTTGCTGCAGGAGTTGAAGTTGTAGTTGCTGTTGTTCAGGTGTCGCTTGTGCAAGAAACTGTTGTTGAAGCATGAGTGTTTGTTGCTGCTGCTGTTGCTGAAATATCCGTAGCACTGCCATTAGTTGCGAGAACTCGTTTTTGCCATCTTCTTTTTCGCCTTGAGCTTCCAACTGTTTAGCTCGCTAAGTGAACAAAAGGCAACGAATGAGTGGCTGTTGACTCTAAGGAAAAGAAAGAAATACCTGAGCAATGACATCCAGTTTATCTTTTGGCAGATCGATAATGCCTGGTGAGGATGAGGAGGCTGAAGGAGGATTCATGGTGGAGATCCAGTGATATTTGTTGTTGTATGAAGGTTGTAATGTCTGATAAGAAGAGCATGAGTGAGATCTGAAGGAAGACAAAAGAGAAAAAGAAAAAGGGCGCGCTCGCACTACCTTCTTCCTCGCGCACCCAAAAAATACAAGTGAACCAGCAAAGATGAAAAAGAGACGGCCCCACCTGAATTTCCAAGTGGACTCAGCTCCTTTGCACCACCACCACCCTACACAACCCATCACCGGAACTTGTCCACTAGTGACTCAATTCCCATTTGACACCATCCAACCATATCCATTCTATTATCTTCTACCTATCAATAGTGCTCTTTCAATCTTATGCATTGCCTAATAAATCTATCTTCTTTATAATAATAATGCTATCTTTAAGCGTTGGTGATGCTGTGTCGCTCTTTTAGTAGTACTGCTGCCTTGTTGTTGTGTGGTGATATAGGTGCCATTTCTTTCGGGACATGCATACTTGTTTTTTGGGGGGTTAACAAACATTTGGATCTATTGGTGACATATGTACTAGCCTTGTCGCTTTTGCCTTCCATGATAGCATCAGAGCATCATCTGCATTCAATATGGATAGTCAATTTAAGCGAGATCAAGCGTGATCGTCCTACCGATTTTTTGGCACCCCGATGGCGGCAGAGAGTACACCACCTTTGCTGATGTAGCTACAATGAAAGAAAAGCAATCAACCAAGATGATTAGGTTTTACCTTATTAAAGGCTCAACATCACAAGGACGATGATGACAATGAAAATGGGATAACAATGAAAGGCTTTGAATGATCACAAAGAGCAGCTCTTAATAACATGATTGCAAGAAATGAGATATGTATAGGCACTAAACCTTGACAATTGATATAGCCAAATTAGGGACCATGAGGCATTAGCACATCTCCCCATGCCTATTACAACCATTGTCAGACTTTTATGAATGCTCCAAAGTGGTAGTATGGCCATTCGAGGATGTAAGCATGATATAGTGTATTTATGCGCAACATATTGAAACATCTTTATTTAAGAGATTGCTACTAGTAAGGTCGATATTGATGTTGGTTTCTAGCACTTTGGGATGCATGGATGGCACCACCACCGGATGAGCTACTACGGGGACTTCTTTCAGCACGAGATGATGAGCGATCACGATCCCTGGATTCATGTCGTGAGTCATATCGAGAAGAATCATGGTGTCTGGAAGATTCATGCCGAGATCTTCTATCGTCACCTCGAGATCTTCGATCATCGTATCGCCTATCATCGCTTCTTCGTTCATCACTGCGTCGATCATCTCGTCTGCTATCGCTTCGCCGATCATCACCTCCTCCTCTTCTGTTGTCGTCACCATAATCACGTCTATCATGATGGTCCATATCGTCTCGATAATCGCTATCCTCATCGCCGTGATGGTGACTACCGCTGCTGCTACCATTGCCACTACCTCCCATGCCGAAACCACCCGTATTACGACCATAAAAAGCGGATGGCGTCATACCATAATTACCACCATAACCTCCATACATGGCGGCAGCACCGTACATGTTTGTTGGTCCAAATCCATAACCAGGACGTCCACCAGGGAAAGCTGCTGCACCTGCATATCGTGTGTTGGGAACATAGCCTCGACTACCAGCTGCTGCCAATGGATTATTCATCATGTTTTGTCGCATTTGCTTTGATTTTGGCATGGCCTTTTTCACCTCGATCTATAAAATCAAAAGATGAGTGATATGCCTGTGCATGATGATAACCTCGTATACGCACCGTTTTGCCCTTGATGGCAAGATTAGGCTCGAGCAATGCTTCTTCTACACCCTTGCTATCCTCAAACGTGATGAAACCAAATCCGCGTGGTCGTCCTGTTTCTCGATCTGTCATCAAGGTGGCATCCATGACTTTACCAAACTGCGTGAAAAACTCGCGGAATTCTTCTTCATCCACGTCAGGGGAAATACCACCCACAAAGATTTTTTCAGTCTTGTCTTGCTCTTCACGAGGAATTGCACGCTTGGGATCAATCTGATTGTATTTATCATGTAAACTATCAGCTCTATCGATATACGCTAAACATGTAGCTCTTACTCGTTTTCCATCCAAATAATGATCCTCGTTTACAATCTTGTCGATGGTTGCTGGGTCTGCCATTGTAAGGAAACCAAAACCACGAGAGCGACCTGTCGCTGGATCACGCATCACTACACAGTCCATCACCTCGCCAAATTGACTAAAATATTCCTTGAGTGATTCTACCAATTATCTAATATGAGCCTTATTGCTATCTCCTTTGTCATATCACAAATCGAAATGGGAATCCAAAACATAAAGTCGTATGATGGATAATATGAAAATAGGTCGCTTACCATCGGTCGTCTCCCAATTGAGTCCTCCGATAAACATCTTTCTGTATTATATCAAATCATGCCATATACAAGAAATGAAAAAGAGAAATCGATTAACATATCTGTTCACCTAAACAAGAGATTCTCCTAGCAAACTCTATGGAACATGATGCTCTATCTGCATTGGATATCTACATCTTGTTTCCAACCACACTCTCATCTCCCAACCACCCATCCATTTCCATGCTCTTCCACCACTCCTTTTTGCAAACACATTCCCATTGCACTATACTAATTCACGACCACCACCACACTTACCCTTCATCTTGATTTGCTGCACTTGCCACGGATGGGGGTCCTTCGTCCACATTTTGCTGTTGTTGTTGCTGTTGTTGCTGTTGTGGTTGTTGTGTGGGTGATGGTTGCTGTTGACGGAATTGACGTTGCATCATTTGTTGAAGTTGATAAGGATTCATCATCATTTGCTGAAGAGCTTGTTGATACATGGCAAATTGATATGGATTTGGCTGGAATTGGCCCCAATTATTCATCATTGCTTGTTGTTGCTGCTGCTGTTGAAGTGCTTTGAGCATTTGCTGCTGCGGATTATTATCACCAGAAGCGTCGCCGCCCTCGTCATCAGCTGCTGATCCGGCCTGCATGCCAGCACCTTGGCCTGAAACATTGTGATCGGAAGAGTCCATCATACCCATATTGCTTGCTGCTGTGTCCGCTTGACCCTGTGGATCGCTGCCTTGCATGTCCATGTGGGACCCATCTTGGGGCTCATCTCCGGAAAGTGCGTCTTTGTAGTCGGCATAGATATCAGTATTGCCATAAGCATCATCCTTTGCGGTGTTGTACACGTTGTAAAGTTCGTCGTCAAAGTCGTCAGCCATGTTTTTTTGTGTGGAGAGCGTGAGAATAGGAAAGAAAGAAAAAATGGGGTTTGTGGAGAAAGAGTGTATGCGTGTGTGTGTGAGATTTATTGAGGGTGCGTGAATGTAAATCAGAAACCTCTATTCACAGCCAAAAGCAGTCAACAAATTCGGTCTTTTCCAGCGTCGCGTCGCCCTCTTTCTCTCTCGCCCTCTTTTTTTTCTTTTTCTTTTACCCACTACACCCCTTCATAATATATTAAGCATGACCAGTCAAAAGCGAAAGGTAGCTATCTACCCTATACACGGATACAACACGATCATACTGAATCTTACGCAAGACATTTATATCATCTTTTGTATAGCTCCTCGAGACCTATCGTGCCCTAGCAGAAAACTACACCACGTTGGCCAATATACTGGAAGCGTCTCCTGATCTTGCCCTCACTACAACTACCGATATCCCAACCACATCTTCTTCTTCCTCCATTGCCAAACCCAAGAGGAAAAAGGCCAAGACCAAGCAACAGAATTCAAACAAGCCCAAAAGACCCTCATCCGCGTACATCTTTTTTACACAAGCTCAAACCGAAGCCGTGAAAGAAGAGCTAGGAGAGAGTTGTTCAATGAGAATGGTTTTCACGGAGTTGGCAAAGAGATGGAAGGAATTAAGTCCCAAGCAAAAAGAGGTAAGATGATAGGGTGTTGTGTGAAAAGACATGTGTTGATTGTTTTGGGATAGCCCTATAACCGTATGGCCCGTGAAAGCAGTCAGCAATACATGAGAGAACTCGACGAATACTCGCAGCACATAGACGATGATGAAATTGATGAGCTTGAGCATGATGAAAGTTCACAACAGGATACCAAGGCAACGGGAATGAAGGGCAAGGATACGACAAGGAAACCAATGGCTACGACGACCCGGGGACGTACGAACATAATTGAAGATTCAAGTGATGAAGAAACGACCGATTTGTCAGATTTATCGGATTGAATGCATTAGATTAGATACCATGGTCAAAGAAATACTAATGATCTACAATCCCAAAGTGATGATTGGCTGGATGATATGGATGCATGACCTCGCACAAAGAACCATGCTTGACAACCCAACCTCGGATCCATGCGCTTGATGCGTTTGTGTTACAATTGGATGACAGCACGCGTGTATGTAGACATTGGTTGAACTGTATTATTTAAAAAAAGAAAGCTATTTGGCAACATTTAATAAGCTGAGGGAATTGGGTTGTACTACTACTACCAGGTCAATGCTGTTGCTGTGGGTAGGTGGATGGTGGTGGTGGTGCGTGTGTGTGCGGACTATCGGTCAACAAAGGTTTCATGTTGCACATCAAGAAAAAAGCAGCCTATTTTCCTCCCTTTTCTTCTTCACTTGTTTCAGTCATTGTCCATTGCTCTCAAATGCCCTCTCATATACTCACTTTTTTGGGCCTGGAGTCAACCGACACGTCTGCAAATGTTCTTCAAGAAGGCCACAACTTGCAACCTAACCTCGACTGGCAAAATGTAGCCATTGCATCAAGCTTCATAGTGTTGAATGGTAAGACTTCCCACCCCCCCCTTGAATGGAACGAATCTTGAGAGCTAACCTCCTGTTGCCAGGTGTCATGTCACTTATCCTTGGGTTACGGTTGGAGAAATCGCTGATAGTGGCATCCATTCGTTGCCTTGTCCAGTTGACAGTGATGGTACGTTGATGATGGTGAGCGTGATGTAGAGCATAGTACTCATGATGTTATACCATGCAGGGCTATATTCTCGAAGATGTATTCAAGGCACGTCACCCAGCGATCATCATGTTGATGGTGTGTAAGTATCCTGAAACAATCACAGCATCATTTTCCAGATTAGGAAGCTAATTGGGATCGTAAAAGGTATCTTGATTCTGTTGGGAGCTTACGAGACAGTATACAACAAATGCAGGCTATCATTCCCTGGCATGGTAAGTTTTCAATGCTTGTTTCATTCATGGCATGATCTATACTCATCATCAATGATAGTTCATGGCAGTTTTACTCTCTACGGCATTTTCGACGCTTTTGATCGGCATCATTGGCACTCGCTATACCCTGGAGCAGGATCCCTTTTGGATACCCGAGACTTTTATCCCTACCATGGGAATGCTTCTTGGCAACATGATGAGCGGCATGGCTGTGGCTCTTAGCAGCGTCTTGACGAGCGTTGGCACTGGAAAGGAGCAAATCGAAACATACTTGGCATTTGGAGCAAGTCGCTGGGAAGCAGGACAATCCATCACAGTGGAAGCTGTACGATTAGCCATGTTACCAACCATTAACCAGATGTCGGTCATTGGGTATGTCTATCTATCGTCGTGTATAGGATTGCCAAGTTACTAAAATACCACGTGTACTACTAGATTGATCTCGATCCCTGGAATGATGACTGGTCAGATCTTGGGTGGTGCCCCAATCATGGGAGCGGTGCGATATCAGCAAATCATCATGTTCCTTATTTCTGCTAGTACTGCATTGGGTGTCTTGATGGCAGTGGTGGTAAGCTTTATTTGGATTCTTACTACGTACATGATGAGATACTAAAACAAGGTGATTGATAGGCATGTGTCAGAATTATGATTGACAACAAGCATCGATTACGACCTGAAAAGATCATCCATGGCAAATCAAATGTGTTGAAAGATCTGAGGAATCTTATCGTGTCCTTCGGCGGATCATTGGCTCAATTGGTGTGTTGTATCCGAAAACACGAGGAAGACGATAATGACAGTGTTGAAGAACGCCGGCCACTCCTCGATTAAACCCCACTATGACTATATATCCCCAACTTTCATCATTCGCATATCATCCTGCATTAGACCTTTAGATCCAATAAAAGCATATTCTCCATTATCCTATATCAATATAAAAAAGGCAACTTTTTCCTTGTCTTCCCACATCGATAGCAGCATTGTCTAAGAACGTGCGTGTGAGCAACCAAAAGGGTATCGGAGTTATCCAGTGTATGTGTGTGCGCTTTTTGGGTTGTCTTCTTTTTCTTTCCAGACGCGCCCAAACAGACACCTTTGGTTTTCTTTTCCTTTTCTTACCACCCCCCGCTTCTTCCTTTTGCCCTTTTGCCTTCCAATGTCCAATAATCGTTGACACATTTCTTTTGGCATTCCATTCAACAACTCTCAGACAAACCAACTTCAGCCTTTCCACACCGTTTTGATAATGAAATTTATGTCTAAACAAGGATGCAAGCCAGTCCAGTTTCTCCTCCAGACGTAAAACCCAATACAAAGCAGCAGCAAAAGCGGCGCAGAAGAAGACGTCAGCATCGCAAAAAGAAAAAACAAGAAGGGTTAGTTCCTAAGAAACCAACCCATCTCGACCTTACCGATTTGACAAGGTATGATGGCATTTATCCTATAAACTCGTTATCAAAGTTTAACGCATCCATTCTATACATAGCGAGGCATCAGCATTAGAACGACAATTGGGAGAGCTACAAGCCCAGTTGAAAATCAACCATGCCAACATGCCAGGAAAAGAACAAGGTCGTCGTGCCAATGCCATAGCAGCAGAACAAATTACAGCCACCGAAGATGAAATCGATTACGTTCGCAAGAGGTAAGTAACATGATTATCCAAATAGATGAAAAAGACTCATCATGGGATGTGATGTAACAGCCTCAAATCCATCTATGGTCGCATCCTGACAGAAGATATCACCTATGCTGCATCTCATCACATTGAAGACAAATTATGGCGCTACATTTGCTACCCCAACATTGAAGAAGTTCGCAGCAAATTACGCAAGGTATGACAAGGGGATGATAGGGTTGAGGGATGACTTTTGCTCACTGCTGCTGCTGCTGCTGCGGTAGTTGAATGGTGGAACAGATCAAGCGACTCGTGACCGATTACAAAAACAACTCTTGAAACGTATCGACAGCAATTACAAGTTTTATCGAGAACTCAACACCAAAATCAAGGCGGATCATCATGTCGACCTCAAAACAATTGGAATCGGTAAGAGCATTATACGTCTCCTTCATTATTCATGGGATGCTAATAGCCATTGCCATAGACTTGTTTCGTCAAACAGGGGACGACCAAATTGCCATCATCCTTCAATCCAACTACATTTGTATGGGCGACATTGCTCGATATCGTGCCTCCGCTGTGGATAAGCAATCAAGTGGAGAACAATGGAAGCTTGCCAAGGAATGTTATCAGAAAGCAGCCGAGGTCTATCGCTTTAGTGGCAAGCCCTATTCCCAAATGGCACTCGTATCCATCTCCAATGGCAGTGTAATCGATGTTGTATGGTACTATTGTATGAGGTAAGACACCCACAAGCAGCAGCTTCATGGCATGGATGACAAAAGCTAACTCATCTATGTTTCTAGTTTGGCCATGAAACACCCATCCACAGTAGGCCGAGACAACCTACGTGCCTTTTATTCCAAGATTCGCTTTTCAACTCAAAAGGAACCTGATGTCAAGAGTGGTACGAAGCTCATATCACACTTTGTTGAGTCATTTCTCCAATTGCATCGACAAGTCATGTTTGGTGGTGAAGAATTGAGGTATATATGAGTGCTATTTTTGAATACAATGAAAATCTAAACAATGATCTTTGTAATAGCTCGTTGAACGTGCCAGCTTCGTTACTTGACACTGTCATTTCCAATGTGATTACTACTGCCACAGCCGAAGATGAATCATCCGATGACATTCCCAAAGTGATCACCTCCACACTTCACGTGTTGAAAAACATGCTTACCCGTACCACTGTCATTCTTGTTATCACCATTTGGCATCTTGGAGAACGAATGAAAAACAAAGGTAATGATGAAGACATCAAAGTAAAGCATGTGCGTGGGACCTTATGTATCATTGGATTAGGCAACGCATCACAATGGCCGCAGCTTCAATCAGCCCAAATGCGTATCTTGGAATATGGATTTAAGATTTTCACGGATCTTTTGAAAGCGGTCGAATCAGCCAGCAATGCCAAGGACAAGATGACCGAGGAAAAATACAATCGATTGAGTTACATGGTGGATTATGCGTTATTATCAGGGCTCTCCATCTGGTGCACGTTCCTTGCCAACAACATGCATGTGATTTCCCAATATTGCACGAGTACTGATATGCGTGGTGCACGCGATAATGAACGCCGTACATTGGTGAAAGCGATCCAAGCCTTTTCTTCTTGTCTTATTGCCCATCCCATGTTCCCTGATCCTGTCATGCACGTATTGCCGCCAACCTATCCAATTTCTGAAGATCTCACTTTACTTGGTGTGGTCCCTTTTGCTCGATTCCATGGCACAGTGGATTACTTTAAAGAAGTGGATTACAGTGAAGCGGATGAAGCAAGTGTGGATGCAAGACGTAATATTCGTTGGGGTCGTGTACGTGAATTGATACGCAAGATTGCAGAGTCTACGGTAAGCTAATGCGTGTGGATGTGTATGTGAAGAAGAAGCTAACCCATCTTTTTCTTCATAGGCATTTGATTTTGTGCAATACAACAAGAATGAGCAAAAGTATACTGTGCTCGATGAAAATGCAAAGGTAACGTTTTATTGGGGCGTTCAAAGGAATGCATTTTACTAACATTGGAATTTTTGCAGCGTCAACAACAGAATCGATTCATGAAGGCTTTGGCGACACAACGTCTGATGGAACAAGTATCATCTTTGGAAAAGAATGTGAATCGCATGCACATGTCAGCTGGACTTCCACCTAGTGGCAAACCAGAAGTATACACGGTCGTGTTGGATGTCACTGCCTTCTTGGATGGTCTCAGTAAAGTGAAAAAGTGGGCCAATCAAACACTCAACCCCAACAATCGTACCCAAGGCAGTATTCTCGAAGTCATTGTTCCTCTCGAAAGTAAGCTGTCAATGATCCACCATTGTGTAGTTCCATGAACTCAATCTTTCTTCTCTTGCCCTTTAGCCATCGATGCCTTGGATTTCCACAAGAAAGGATCATCTCATATGAATATGCAGGCTCGTGAGTCGATTCGCTACATTGATCAACATTTGGCCGAGGAGAAGCCCACCAATGCATCGTATATGCGTACACAAAAATTGAGCGAGCAATTGAGCGATTGGAGCCAAGCTGAGAATTATTGGATTGGAGAAGAATCTCGTGCCAACATTGTCGACACGCTATTATCAGATGATGAGGATGAAGAGCAATCTCCCAACCCACCTGATGATGAAGAAGGTGCAAGCTCTGATGCCGAATCAGTTGCCAGTGAAGAATTGTTCAAGTCTCGACGACGACGTGGTGGTGATCATGATGAAGATGAAAGTTCTGATGAAGAAGAAGGGAGCTCTGATGAAGAAGAAGATGACAGCGAGGATGAAAGTAGCCAAGATGAGGATGAGGAGGATGCCGAAGAAGATCAACCCATTGAGTTCAATCAAGTACCACGAGCCTATATCCCCATTATCAGCTGCATGCTCTATTATCTCAAGGAACATTTGGTGCTAGTGACCAATGATGAAAACTTGGCATGGTGGGCTGAGATGTTTGGTGATCCCGAGACAGGACGACGTCTCTGTGTCAAAACGGTGGATGAATGGGATCAAAGTGTCCGTAACATGAGTTTCGGCAAAGCATATACACATTCTTGGAAAAAGAGATAGATCTTTTTATTTGAACAAGGCGAAATGTATTTAAGCCTTCTTCAAGGCAGCAGCGACAGTAGAGTTGACAGCAACGCGACGCTAAAGAAAGAGAATAATCATCATCAATGATCCATCCCAATTCAAATAAACAATTTATATATGTATATTTTACCTTGTTCTTGAGCTTTTGAACCTTGAAACGATCAAAGTCGGACAAGTTGGCACGAACTTGGCGTTGAGCAAGCTTTTGAGCCCAAGCAGACTTGGCCCAGGTGTTAAGAGTGTCGTTCTTCTCGAGGCACTTCTTGACAGTGCTTTGACCAGCGTTACGGGGAAGACCCTTGACAACGAGGTTGGTGAGAGTCAAGTGACGGAGAGTCCAGGCTTGACGGGCAACACCAGTGGTGGGACCATCAATGAGGACCTATAGTAGTTACATTAATGAATACATGTCGTTTTGGTGCTGCTTGTTGCTAGGTGTATGTATGTATGTATATGTCGTGCGTATCGATCGGATTGTACTTACACGCTTGTGGTCGACAATGTCAATAATGACAGCCAACTTGTTGTTGTTGAGGAGGACGACACGGCCAACTTCGACTTGACGCTTGAAAGAACCTTGCTGTAATGGGGCCATTGAGAATGGGAAGAAAAATTGGCAGGTGAGTATCCATCTTGTCCATCAATCCATCCATCCATTCTTTTACAATAACATTCATCCATCCCTCATTGCGCTATCCTTCACTTATCCACCTCCCTTCACCATCCATAACTTGTACTTACCACCATGGTGTATGACAACTAGAAAAGGGAGGTCGCCTGGGTTCACATCCTCTCAGCTCTTTTACCGGACAGCTTCCAATTGGCTGATTTTGCCTCAGCTCTTTTTCTTGTTCCCGTGCCTGGGTTCACGCATGAACATTGGATCCTTTCTCGTTGTAATCTCATTCATTCAAAACTTGATATCTACTTCCACATGAAATGTGTTCACACAGAGCCCCCTTCGATATACGTAGATCTTAGACAAAGGATTATCACTCATTTTATTCTCTATAATAAACTTCCTAGCTCATTGATTCCAACCATTGCCCACCAAGTCTTCTATCCAATCCAAAAAGTCATTTACAATCGATATGTATGTATGTACGTGAGCAAAAGACGCTTTATTAAAGATGAAAGGAAGAATGAAGTTGTTTAGTTCATGGCCTGAACGAGCTTGTTGATGTGCTCTTCACGGTTGCCATAGTCACCGCCCTCGATGAAGTGGTTGAACTTGCGGGTGTGCCACATGTTGTTGGGGTTGGAGAGCTTGAAGGGCCACAAGAAGTTGTTGGCTTCCTTGAAGTGGGGACCAACGGTAGCGATCTCGTGGATCAAATCCTCAACACAGATGATGTTGTACTTGCCAAGAGCAGCCTTGATAACGGCGTTATCGTGGATGGGGATACGTTGGCCGTTGACCTTGGCGTAGCCACGCTTGTAGATGACTTCACGGATGGTCTTCAAGTTGGGGTAACCGTAGGTGACATAGGGTTGGATCAATTGAAGCATCTCGCTGGTAGCCTTGTTGAGACGGATGAAGACACCGTTGTTGATTTGCAAAAGACGGAACAATTGCATAACCTTGCGAGGCTTGGGAGGAATGTTGTTGATACCACGGATACGGACAACAAAGACAAGCTTGGGTTGAGCAGGGACATAGTAGTTGCCGTTGGCCTTGGCTTGACGACGAAGAGCAATCTCCTTACGTTCAGTAGCCTCATACTCCTTGGCATACTTGCGAGCACGCTCAAAGATCTCACGGCGGTTGGCACGTTGGGCCTATTAACAACCAAAGAGATGAGGTTAGATGACATGATCCCAACAACATCAACAATATCATTGTGTGCACACGCATGTGAATCCGCCACATTTTGCTTCAGCCCCGAAAGATGGTTAACGTTTGACAGCATCGCTTTCATCGCTAGTCGTTTGGGTTTGACCCCGGATATCATCACATTGCAATTCAAGAGAGTACACGCACACGCACACATGCACACAATGATACTTGTAATATCCCCCATTACTTGCCTTCTTGAGCTCAACCTTCTTGGCGGCAGCAGCTTCAGCAGCCTTGGCATCAGCCTTGTTCTTCTTGAGAAGAGTCTCAGGGACCTGAACGTCCTTGACAGTGGGAACGGAGCTATAAGAATTCGTTAGTAGCTGATACGTTGATAGGATCAAAGAAGAAAAAAGCCATAAAACGCGCATTCAAGGCCCATTGTACGACATTGGGATCAACACGTCAAGTAGCAATCGCACCCCCATTTTCGTTGAATGTTGCAATGGTCGACACAATGAACCGAATGTACGTTTGAAAACGATAAAGGCAAAGAGGAAAAGAGTGGTTGACAGGTAGACGAGCTACTTACTAGGCGACCATGACCGAACTGGGAAAAAAGAGGAGGAACTCACTCACGAAAAACTCTTCCGCTACAATAAAATTTTCGCTTTCGCAGTCGCAGTATCGGCAAATCAACTCTTCAGGCTGCTGCTTTATTAACGCCGATAGACACACCCACACATCCATATCACTTAGATATATAACATTGGCAAAAGATCATATCATTCATAAAAAAATAACTCAATTCTCGAGGAAACCATTATAGATCATGAGGTTTGGCGTATCACGTGGGATGTTTGTAAGCATGTTGCGAGTAGCAGTTTTGAGGATCTTGTCCTTGATGACCTTGGGTGAGACATCATCGTCTTCTTCCATGCTCAAAAAGTACGCAGCGAGACCAGCGACATGGGGAGATGCCATGGATGTGCCTAAATGCAACAAACAAGTTATATATTATACAAGGGGTTCAGGGTCATGGTATCGTACCTGAGATGGTGTTTGTGCCATAGTTGCCATTATTCCATACAGACATGATATCTTGGCCAGGAGCAAATACATCAACGCAAGGGCCATAGTTTGAAAAGTAAGCACGTTGATCACGTAGATTGGTTGCACCCACAGTGATAGCTTGTTCTGCAGCGGCGGGTGAATATTGACAGGCATCACGACCATCATTGCCGGCAGCTACTGCAAATACAACACCACTTTCCACAGCCTTCAATTTCATGATGCAATGTTAGTAGTGTTAATAAAATATGGATTCTATAATAAGACACATACACTATTGACAGCTTGATCCAATGCACGTGATTTGCCACCACCAAGACTCATGTTGGCAACGGCACCTTTATAGCGAGCACCTTTCTTTTTAGCTTCTTCTCGATCAGCACGGCTCTTTTCAATGACCCAGTTGATGCCTGCAAGTACATCTGAATTGCTACCGGAACCTTGAGCACTGAGAACCTTAACAGCAACCGGCATAGCTTGTTTGGCAACACCAAAGCGACGACCTGCAATGGTACCTGCACAATGTGACCCATGACCATTTCCATCTGTGTCACCATCACTTGCAAAAGTGGCACCCCAAGAGGCTCGACCTTCGAAATCAACATGATTGATGTTTATACCGGTATCAACAACAAACACATTGATACCATCACCGCCATTTTCATCATGTGGGTACTTGTTAAATGTCCACAACGAAATACCACGTCGATGCGAAATACGTGCCAATCCCCAAGGAGCATTGCGTTGAAGCTCAGAGGCATACACCATCGAATCATGTTCCACGTAGGCTACTTCAGGTGAGCTGCGTATTTGTTGAATCATGGTGGGTGAGAAGCGACCTGCATATCCCTTCCATCCATTTTGATGATACGTTTGGCGGATGCCCATTTCCATGGCATCAAGCTCGTCGTCATGGCTACGCTTTTTCTTGCTGAAGTTTGTTACCCGGTGGCAGTGTGCATGAACATCCACATGGTCTTTCAGCACGATGATGTAGGAATCCTTGATGATCTCGGTATCAGAAGAACGATACAAGGGTGCAAGGAAGCGGTCATAGCTATTATCGTCACCACCAATACCACGCCATGGATCAAAGAATGTTGCTGGGATCGAGGCTGCAGCTGCTACAGTCGTACTAGCAGCTAAAACAAGAACGGATGAAGCAAAGATGGATATTTTAACCATTTTGTTTTAGAACAAGCGAAAGAGAAAATGAGGTAAAGATGAGCGCCCTTTATATAGGTTGCTTCTTTCATTCCAGAACAAGATCCATTCACTTCTACTAGTGTTTCATGTTGTCTTGAAACATCAGGGTCAACAACCATGGTTACGGTTTTCAGGTGACAGGCTCTTCTTCTACTACAACCTTTCATTGTCGCAAATATCGAAAAGAGTATATACACCATATGCCCAGCTCAATGCTCCTTCAAGATTAAGAGTGCCATTATAAAAGAAGGAATTGGTAACATACAACCCCTCACATTACCTGTCAAAGATACGCGATCAACGTCGGATGATGATCATGTGTGTGGGAAAATAAGATGAATACAATGGTGGCATGGCTAACATGTAGCAAAATGAATTATACAAGAAGGGTATACGTAAATAAGGCCTGCTTTCGCTTGTGGTAAGTGATCTTTAGGTTATCTGCTGTTCCCAGCGCTCGCTCTTACATCACTTTTTCTTGTTTTGCTGCTTGAGCCCTTTGACAAACACATCCGTCTCCTCCATACCCATCTATTTGGCATGGTATCGATGATTTAATGCCACCCCCCCAAAAAAAAAGAGTTTCCGATTCTTTTGCTTGGGCTATGTAATGCTGTCCACTTCTTGTAAACGTAGGAAGTATGCATCAGCTCGCTACTCAAAGACACACCAACACAAGCTATGGGGAAAATGATAACAATGCGTACTCCACAAAGGATCCATCATTGAATGGGATCAAATGCCACAAAGACAACGATGAACACAAATAGTAAAGCAACAAAGAGCTGCCATGATTACACGACAAAGACCAATGCATGACCATCCAATCCATGGGACTCTCAAGACCCGTCTTCTTGACATGTGCGATAAAGCAAAGACATGTTGCGTGACAACATCGTTATTTGCAGTTGGCAACGGGCATGGGAACCATCCACACAAGAAAAGGATGCCGTGATTGGTCAACATCTTGGAATACTAGGTCGAAAGACCTGCTACGTCAACAACCGATACATAGATCCCTTTTGCAGGTGACATAAATGGACATTGTTTTCATTATTGAGCATTGGATGCAAGTAGCTGCAAGCGTTTTTTATTGTTTATCGATCCAGCCTTATTGTGTTGTTGTCTTATTGACTGGAACAAGCCAAGTATCATTATTATTATTGTCATCAGCAGGTGTGCTGCCATGAATGAAATATGCAACATTACATGTGCATGTGTGGTGATGTTCCAATGATGATGCCCATAGTGGTATCCAACCAAAAGTCAGTGCGCAGCCATAATGGTAATGGTGATGGAGGTGGTGACTATGATGTTGGTGATGACTCGGGCAAGATGAAAATCGGACTGGGTGGATAGCCACATTCGTTGTTGCTGCGAGACAGAAATTAGGTGCATGCGTTGCATGCGTCTTTATGTGCACATGACTTGTTTGCGCTGCATCATGCTGCTGCTGCTGCTGCTGCTGGAAGAGGAACCTAGACCATCACCAACTTTTTTGCATGGTCCGTTCATCGGGATATCCTTTTTTGCTCGATAAGGTTTCACAAGCTGAGCCTTATTATTTCATGGTCTCGCTTGGTTGCACACACACACACACACACACACACACACGCATTTTGATTATGCTCAACACGCACACACACTCACACTACGATGATGTATCACACAACGGCAACCTTTAATCCGAATTACAGAATTGATTGTTGAGAAATGGGTGGGGGGATTAAGCTTGTATGGTGATGATGAAATGTTGCCATCATCCACCTCGATACCGCTGCGTGTATGTGTCAAAGATGATTGGTGGTGATAGTAAGCTTATGCCTCAAGCCCGACTTGGTATCGATGGAGACATGTCCTTTGATGGTCCATTCATATAGTATATGATAAGCGATATGGAAAGATAAATAGACCAAGTTCATGACATATTACCCAAGGGTGTCATCATTGTTGAAAGAACAAGGGAAAAGAAAGACATCCTTTCGGAGCAACAATGTAGTTCATGCAATAAGCATCGTCCTTTACACTTCACTTTACCGAAAATCTTATCTCCAACACTATGCCTGCCGTCATTGGAATAGCTTGGACAGTGTATGGCATCGTCACTGCAGTACGTCTTTATTGTTCATTCCATTCCTTCAATGGGCGACTAACAACTTTGGCATTACTGTAGAGCCTCTTCTTTTTCAGCGTTGGATTCACACGCTACTACCAGCACAAACGAGAATCAGAACCATTCGCAACCATCGTCACCATTCTGGCGTTGACCTTGGTGCTTGCAACGTTAGCACTTGTGCCAATCGATATCTTCCTTGTATCGTCGACTGTGGACTCTGATACGGGCATGAAGAAGTCTTGGGCTGATCCTGATACTATCTTTTGGATGACGCTCACCGTGCAGATCGTTTATTATGGTACGTAAACGAGCATAGTGTGTGTGTGTATGTGTGGTTTCATGTACTAATTTGATATAGTGTGCTATGGCATGATTGCATTGTTCATCTTTTTCCTTATCCCATTTGCTTACTTTTACTACGAGGAATATGACGAGGAACAAACACGACAGCAACGAGCAAGCAGTGCACTACGATATACGTCATTCTTCATTGTTATCTCGGTCCTATTGTTCTTGTTTGGATTATTCGTCAAGCCAAGTCATCGACCACCCAAACTTGATCTAGATTGGTTGGAAAAGCTATTGACAGAAAGCAGTAAGTGCATTGTATCATCTATATCCGGATTGATGTTCATTATTGGGGTGCCATAGATGGAGAAAAGTCACTTTCCTTCTTGGTTGCCTGCCTATTCTTTCTCGGGATGGTGGTCTTTGTTGTTTACACGGTGAGTCAATGTGATATGTGTGGGTGGGACAGCATCAAAATGATCGCCTGTACCAGGCAAACCCCAATTTCTTTGTGCAAGTATTGACACGATTCGGCGAAAACTTTGTGATCTTTTAGGCACCTGGGTTATCTATTTTACCATTCAACTTGATCAAAGGACGTCGTCGCATTGAAGCTGAGACCGAAGATGTGGATAATAGCCTGGCAGTGAACCGTGAACGCCAACGAGAGATTCAAGCTCATTACGCAGGGACCAACAAGCCGATCAGTAGCCGTGACCAGCGTGAACTCGACAATCTGGATGATGAAGAAAGGTACTGTGCAACCAACGCGATGGCTTTATACTTGTGTGACACTCATGTGGCACGTACCATCTCCATGTGTATCCTTTTAGGATTTTGACACGACGTATGCGAACCATTCAAGAAGATCAAGCAAGCATTTTTCATCGTATCCTACGAGCACTAAGGCCATTCGAGGTATGGATAAGGGTACATGCAATGTAACAAGTGGGGGATGATTAACAACATGCTGCAACCTTTTTTGTTCTTGTTGTTGCTTAGGTGATAATTGGATTGTTATTGCTCGTATTGACACTGGTCCTGGTGGCTTCGATTTTCTTGACCATGTGAGTAAAAAAGGATGTGGAGTTATTGAAGCACAAAGAAAACTAAATTGATTTGCATGCAATGATATGCAAGTGTGGACAAGATTACTTATTCCGTATGCGGCAACAAGTGTGGATACATTATCAGCCATCCGGATCTGTTCAACCCGATCAACTTTATTTTGGTGGAGCTTGCAAAGGTGTTTCCGCTTGATTATGTTTTCATGGTGCTTGTGGTCGTGTATTTCTTTATGGCGACCATGTCGGGTATCATCACAATTGGCGTCCGATTCTTGTGGGTTGCACTGTTCCGTATTCGCAAAGGTGCAACCATGCCACAGGGCTTGCTTTTCGCATCGGTGTTGCTCATGTTGGCTCTACTTGCGCTCAACTATTCTCTCACAGCTGTGGTTGCGCCTGGTTATGCTCATTTTGGAAGTCAAGTTTATGTAAGTGAATTTGATGAATGTCATGAGACTATTTAGAATATGCGCTGACATGATTGCTGCAGTGTAATTATACGGAAGGAGGTCAGCGGGATTGCAGCGAACATACGGAGAAAATCGTGCCGTGCGATATTTATGCACCAACTGGTAAGCAGAGAGAGTGAAAAATAAAGTTGACGATGGGAGATGTGTATTTGAAGCTGCAATGCAAAGATCCAACTAACGACATTAACTCTTATAGAAATTTGCACGCCGACGATTGCATCCACTTTGATTGATCGGATCACGGTCAACACGCCGTTCTTTGGTATCGTCTTTTACTACTCACAGTGGGCGTTTGTGGTGATCTTTGTACTCGGATTCATCGTGGCACTCTTCCGACAACCACGCGACAATGCTGATGTCGATTCAGAAGACGTGGAGCAAGAAGAACAAGGCTTATTGGAACGCAACGCAAGACATCATTATGGAGGAGCCAACACTAGCACCAACAACACATGATCACACCCACACACCCACACGTTCACACATACACCACATATACATTTAATGACATAGTATATCACGCACGTACATACACCCACACAATCAGCGAATAATAATTACGGATCTCACGTCATGCGTTTGTTGCATTTTGAGCTGGTCAAAAGTAGTGATGGCTGGGTCTGTGTACATGCAGAGTAGGTTCCTTTTCGGAAGCAAGTGCCGCACATTGCCAAGCAAACAACTATGCCCGCTACTCTCTTTTTAACAACGATGCAATCTACGCATGCATATCACGATGCTGAAATGGTATATGTGCGAGTAGAGTAATGCGCACAGATAACAAATCATTGGAGAGCCTTGCTGGTAGCACAACGTCTTGCTTGGGGGGGATACATGGATTAAAGTGAGTGATTGGGGTAGCACCCGTATGTGTGTGTGTGTGTGCTATATATGCGAGTGCATGCACTACGATCGTCTCTAATAGCAAATGATGGTACGACGCATGCTCGAAACCAAAGATGGTAAAACACATGAAAAAAAAACTAGAATATATGCACGTCCAGCTCACAGCTTTGTTCTCGTCGGCCCGCACCTTCCAAAAATACATATAAAGAGAAAGTCACCTTGCAGCACTCACCCATTCTCCTCTCTCTCTCTCTCTCTCTTTCTTTCTTCATTACTTTGAACAATCAATCAATTCTTCTCTTCACTTTACGAAATCAACATGGATCACTATTTTGCATCACCCAGCTTATCACCACCTTGGCTCCAATCCCGAAAGCGTCGTCATTATTTGGAAAGTGACAGTGACGATGAAGAAGAAGATCAAGTTGACCACAAGCTGCATCATCAACAACAGTTACAGCAAGCACCAGCATGCTTTGGGGCACCAGCATCACCTGTTGAGCAATCGCATCATCATCATCATCAACTCCATTACCCATATCAGCAACAGCTACCGCACCCGATCCTTACAAGTAATGGTGGCTACCACATGAATCCCATTATTGATTTCAGCGGGTTCTCGTATGGTGCATTGTTCAGTCCTGTTTTATTCCCGCCGGCACCACCACCATTGCCTGTGATAAGCAGCAGCAGCACTACAACCAATAACAGCACTGCAAGTGCAAACACTATGATGCCCCCATCACCACCTACTACGGTGTCTTATGTACCATCTTCTTTGCCTTCCGCAGCAACATCGCTTCAAACCAATGTTGGTGATGCAAGCGAATCACCTTCATTATCCACCATGGATACTCGTTCACCATCTCCATTGTCGTCATCTTCAGCTGCTGCTGCTGTTGCTGCTACTGCTGCTGCTGCTGCAATCGATGGATCTGAACCCATTTTTCAAGCCAAGCCATCAACAACAGCACCATCATCACCAGCAGCAAAGCCTACAACACGGCGAAAAACTACCAAATCCAAACGAAGCAAAACATCATCATCCAACAAGGAGCGCAAACACGCAGGTCGTAGGGTATCACCGGAATCTCCTGATGACACTGAACAACGTATATTCAAATGCACTGAGCCTACATGTGGCAAGTTGTTCAAACGATCTGAACATGTCAAACGCCATTATCGATCGATACACTCCAAGGAAAAACGTAAGTTGCACAATGAAATGGGATGGATTAGAGGATGGGACACCATGTCATGTGGCCAAAAACCAGGTTGAGACTTACATGCATCGTATTTCATTCTTAGCCTATGAATGTCCATACAGCACATGTCTTAAACGATTTTCACGATCGGATAACCTTAGCCAACACATTCGAATCCACCGACAGCAAGTACCCAAGGATGCTATGTACAAACAAGTCCCAAGGACGACCGACGACGCAACCAGCACCACTACTTCATCTCAACGATAATAAGGGTGGATGATGACATACAACACAACAACCATATATGCCGTTCCTTTTTCCTTTTTCTTTGTCTCTTGCCCATTATGCTTCGCCAGTATACTCTTCTTCAAGTGCTTTCTATATCGCGTGTACAGAATAACAACCGTACCTTCCTAATTGTATAGTGAATCTACATCTTCATCAATGACGATAAAACGATGCATGCATCTTTTTCTCCTCTTTTCTTTGTTGACTCTGAAATCTTGCATACATGTTGTTAGCTGTAATGGTGGTGTGGTTGTCGTTTGCTGCAATGGTGATCAATTTATCTTTCTTAATCAGTAGCAGCGACGACACGATGCACCTATCATTCCTTGCCAGAGTGAAAACCGGTGGTGCACTTTAATGAAGATCGTACATAGACAAGATGATCACGACGATATGTGCCTTTATTATCATTCACATGATCCCTTTTAAGAATGGGTTACAAGTTGCCTTTGCAATATTTATCAAGCATCCTATTTACAACGGCTGGTCATATGGGTACATGGCTCGTTTTTAGAGAGATCTGTACAACCAGGATCAATTCAAACAATGAAAACAGGAAATCATGGGAACTTTAGTAACCATGGACGACGCGACATGTAATGCCATCATAGGCTGACCATGTCAGACGTAATTTCATCATGGCAGAGAAAATGAAATTAGTCGTTGGTGATGAAAAGCAATCATCCAATAGCGGTTCTCAAACTAAGATTCTTGTGGTGGTGCCTGTTTCCATGGCAACAAGATCCTGTTAGGCTATGCTCGAAAGGCGCACAGTATCCAAAATTGAATGACGTTGTTTAGTGGAAAGTACAGTAGCAGGATCAACAAGGCTTTAGTTGTTTGTATTTTATTCTCGGCACATCAAGGGCACGTTGTCTTACCTATACACCACTTGGGAGACCTACTATATTGCATTAATCTAAAGGTCTACATTGTGCGCTGAAGATCCCTATTAAGAGTATCCTCCGACATACAGGGCCATAACGACGATAATGCAAGCCTTGCTCTTGTGAGGCACAAGAAAGTTTACTACCTGGCAGCTTACACTCACAGCTATGATTACAGATTCAAGCGTCGTGTATAAAGTGGATCATTTTAGACCTTCTTCTTTGTATCATCAAGTTCCACGTACTCGATTGCCTTATGGCTGTCATTGTTCGGATAAAGCTACTACCGGAGATAGGGGTACGTGAGACAAGACGATCCTCATGCGTCAATTGAAAGACGTTTATGACGTGTAAAGTACACCGAAATACGTAATCCAATACTTGGAACAAGAAAAAAAGCACTTTCGCCCATGCTACAAATCCATAGTACTGCATATGGTATGCTAAATGGCATCGCTCACAATGATCCAAGAGAAAGATGCATGGTTTGTTGGGTGCCGGCATTGATCATAAAAGCGGTGTGCTATTACTTGCAGCACCACGAGCAACGTGAGGACATAAAAATGCACTTTCCTTTTCTGGTATGATGTGCGTGTCAAGCTATGTTATCATGCGCCCCCCCCTATTATCCTTCATTTAGGATTTCTTTCCTCGTGTTCCAATGTTCAGATCCAACAACAGCTGAAAAGAACAAGATAGGGCAATGGCCAAGAATAGCATGCAGGAGAAAGTTACAAGCACACAGAGACTGTGTACGAATAATGCATGAGGCGTTAGTAGAAGCAAACATGTAAGCATAAAACTTAGTTTGCTGCATACTCTCGAACATGTAGCTATCAGTCAAAGTGACATGTAATATGATGCCAAATGTAGTATACGATCTATGATCCCCGCACAAGGTGTGGTTTATTTAAGCGAGGTAGCAAGGAAAAAGCAAGGAAGCGAGAAAAGGGGAAATGGACAAGGTTGTTTGATTATGCATCTAGCGACATGTTTATCGTTTCCATAGTAACGTTGTGCTGTCAATTGTTGGTGTTTTCTTGTTGACAGGTTGGATGGTGTGAGTTTAATAATGATGATGATAGTATGATAGGATGTAATCGATATGTGTGTGGAAGGGGATGATGGCCAAAAGCAGTTAAACTTTGGATAAGGTGAGGCGCGTGTGGGGCAATGGGGTTATTTCGGGTAAAGGCTGATGGGCGTGTGTACTGCTGGCTGCTGCTGTATGAATGCCGGGGATGAATAAGTTTAACCAAGCCCGCCTTTTGCTACATTACTTCCCTCTCTCTCTCTCTCTCTCTCTTTTACTTTCCCCTTATTTGTACACGCTCTCGAACAGACATTACTGCACCAGGAATATCCTCTTTCTCTCTCTCTCCCTTTGCTTTCCTCATTCACTCACATTCACCTACGTTCTGGTCATTCCACCCTTTGTCGCATACGTTAACCGACCAGTATGCAATCCGGCACCTGTCAACCCACCATACTGACACTCCACGATGCCGTAACCGATTCGCCGGTTTATCGAGCCAACGCATTGCACTTTGACGAGCAAATCGACCTTTTGGAAAAGTGGCTGGAGCAATTATCAAAGCACCTCAAGTTGTATACGGATAAACTCAATAGTAAGTGACCTTTTCGTTGGACATGTTCCCCTTGGTAACAACCTGTTTTTATTCCACTCTCTCTTAGAATTCAATCTCGAGACCAACAATGTATGCAAGAAGGCTATTCCTGTGGGCATCGATAGTGCCTTGATTGGTAAGAAAAGGGAGATAGGATAATGGAATGGTATCAAAGATAATGACACCATGATTATGTAGACCCCAATTTTACGGGTGCTGTCATTCGAAGTTTCTCTGATGCTTTGCAAACAAGTTTGGCTTTTAAGACAAAGCTTGTAAGTATACACAATCATGGATGATGAGGGATATGGCGGGATAAGATATCTGATTATCTATTGTAGGTAACCGACCTTGAAGACAATTTCATCCAACCGCTTTTGCAATTCGTCAAGACACATTTAAAGGAATTCAAGGTACGTGGGGGCATTTGGCATAATAGTATGGTTTACGTTGAGCTTACATTGCCCATTTTGCATCATTTTAGGAGTTTCGTAAGCAGCACGAAAAGGCATTGGAGCGGTACGAGGCACAGTTGTACAAGTACACATCACAAAGCAAGAGCAAGGAAGCATCGGCTGTAAGAGAAGAAGCCTTCCGCTTGCACGAGGCACGTAAAGCGTATGTGCGTATGTCAGGACAACACGTTGTGCGCATTCTTCAGTTCCGATCACTTTTGGAGCATTGCCTTGTCGACAGCTTTTCTTCTGCAACTTTGGCTCATTTCCATGACTTTGATGGTGGCAAGCAAGTATGGGCTAAACTCGATTCTAGCTTGGCTGCATGGAAGCAATGGCTAGTGGATGTAAGTTGTCTCTCTCTCTCTCTCCATATATATATATATGCAATGGGGGAATGCTCATTAATGCTTTCTTTTGAAATGTATAAAAAAAAAAGGATCGGAGCACATGCGATTATCAGTTGCACAGACTCCAAACGGCTCGCAAGCAGCTCGAGGCTGAATATCTCCAACAAACCCAGCCACTCCGCGATTTGGATCGATATGGTTCCTCGGCAATGGTGCCGTTGTCCAACAATCGCCACTCGCTTGATTTATCCTCCATCGATGACAGCAACAACAAACCTACATCGTGTAACAAATGGGGCTATCTTTATACTCGTGTATCACGTATGACTTGGACACGCAAGTTTTTCTTTTTACATGATGGCTATTTTGGTACATGCTTGGTCAATCCTAAGCTCAAGGGTGCCATCACAGTCGGTGAACGTGTCTCAGTGCTTCTTTGTGATATCAAACCCGTGACCGATGCTGCAGATCGACGATTCTGTTTTGAAGTTGTTTGTGTACAGCAGTAAGTGTATGATCCCATTTACTACATTATCAATGCAAGTGGTTACTAACAATTGGATACAATAGGCCACCTTTCTTTCTGCAGGCAGAAACTGAAAATGAGATGCGTGAATGGATGGCAGCATTTGCAAGAGCCAAGCGTTTTATGCTTCAAAATGAAAAGTTACATCTTCACACTCAAACGACGACTACAACTACCACAACGACGACTACCACAACGAACGGCACTGAATCCGGCAGCGATTCCGATACTCCTCAACCCAACACAGTTCCCACTCGTCACTCATCGCTTCCTCCCACAGTCAACATTGCATCATCGGCTCCAGAATCTACTATCTCCAATGATTCAGCATTATCGCTTAGCAACAACAACCATACAACAACCAATGATAGCAATGGTGAACCTTCCATAGTCATTCTCTCAACATCCGCCGACCATGAAGATGAAATTTCCCTTGACACATCCACTACCTTGACACCTCTTCTTGTCAGCGAAGCGTCCAAGGCTCAACCCGTTGCACCTGCCAATATCACTTCCTCATCGGTACCAAGTTCCCCAGCTGCTGGTGCACAAACCTTTGCATCGGCAATGAGTTCAAATGCCAACCATACCACTGCCACAGCTGCATCCTCCACAGCTGCTGCCGCTCAGCAACAACAACAGCAACAACAACAACAACAACAACAATCATGGGGTATTCCATGGGCTCTTGTACCAAGCATGTTTTCTGGTGGTGCTGGTGGTGCTGCATCCTCTCATCCCGAAGAAGACCCTGTGCCATCCTCACCATTGTCACCAGCCATTCCTAGTATGTTGGCATCGGGTATGGATAACGAAGGACATCCTATTGTATGGCCTGTTCGATCGGATGATACTGGTGTCCCCCGAGTGGAGCTCAATGGCTATAGTGCCGAGTTGGAGGCACGAAACAAGGAATTGCGGCATTTGTTTGGCGGCGTAGCACAAAATGAAGTTGTTTTGGATGGTAAGTAATGTGATCAATCAACTCTCTGTGTGACATTTATGCTAACTTGAGCCATTAGCTTTCATTGGTTCCTTGAAAAAGAAACCCGTGGACGATGATGACATGCCTGATGAAATCGTGAGCTCACCCACGGCCGTGGATACCTTTGATCAAGAACTCAAGAAGCAATTGGAAGGATCATTGCAAAATCCCATCTCCAAGTTTGGTTATTCATACACGGGTCGTGCATTCATCACGCAAGAGACCTTCTGGTACTACAGCTGCATTCTGATGAATTGTGTCCATACGGCAAGTATCGCTTAAAATAGGTTTACATGCAAGGAGGAAGGTAGCTAATGCGATAAAAACAGGTCGCTGTCAGGTTACGAGATATCAAGAGTGTGCGTTTGGTACGCGATATGAGTATGAAGGATACGGTTACCAAGAATGGCCCCGCCAAGAATATTGCACTTGCCATTGATCTCAACAAAGGCAACGAACCATTGGTAATTACGACATTGCTCAATGACGTTGAGATGGTGATGGAACGTTTACGCTTCGCTGTGGAAAATGCCAAATCGAATGATGCAAGTATTTGAAAAAGGGGGGAAGGAAGTTATGCAAGGGCTGCCGTTGCTGACACGTTGATTTTTGTTATATAGCCATTGCCTGTGCAAACATTGTACGATGTGATCCAGAGTTTGACAGTATCGGCACAAAAGAGCAAGACCACACACCAAATGAAAAAGTCATCATCCACCACGACGGCGACTGAGCAAGTATCCAAAGAAGCAGAAAAGACTGCCGAGATCTATCAACCTGAGCCTGCCATGTCACCAGTGCCTGAATCCAAAAAGAAACGCAAAGGACGTAAGAGCTCAGGTGCATCCAAGCCTGTACCCAAGTCGGGTGCACTTGCAGCTGCTATGATGGCGGCCACTGTTGCAGGTGGTAGTGGATTATTTGATCCTAGCCGAATGGCCTATGCTGAAGACATGCACAAACGACAACATCAGCCATCCAACAAAGAGTCATCTAGTGATGAAGGCAACAATTCTCCTACACCAAGTGGGCAACCCGCTTCTAAGAAAGGATCTTCTAGTGGTAGTGATGGTAAGTATTGGAATCTTTATTTGGCAAAGTGCAATCCAATTCATGATCCTTTGTTATAGATGACATCCCATCACACATCCAAATCCCCAAGGGACCCGTATCATGCAATTGTGACGAGCACATGGATAAGATTGAGAGTGAAGTGGAATTGCCAGTGTCAGCCAAGAAGCTGTATGACTATATGTTTGGAGATGATACTGCCGTGTGGGATATGAAGAACACAGCAAGCAATGGCACCAATTTACGTGTGGATCCTTGGGTGAATGTGGAAGGGAAGCAGCAGCGTACGTTAAAGTACATCCTTCCTGTCAACAATCCTATGGTGAAGCTCAAGGAAGCCGAGGTGGTGGAAACCCAGGTTGTGCACAAGAAGGAAGATTACATTCGTTATGTGGTGCAAATCTCGACCAAGACTGCACAGCTACCATATGCAGATGCATTTGTGCCTTCGATCCGATACTGCATTTCTTGGGTCAACAAGTCTCAATGTAAGCTGACTTGCAGCATGGGCGTCAAATTTATCAAGAGCGTGCTTGTCAAAGGCATGATTAGCAAGGCAGCACTCAAGGGCATGGGCGAAAGTCTTGCCACCTTTATTCCCATCTTACAAAAGGAGGCCAATAAGCTTGCTGGCAATACCAAGGCAACAACGGATGATCAAAATGAAAAGCAGCCAGCCGCAGCTTTGACCAATGGTACCAACGGTAGCCCTGCAGCTGCTGCTAATGCAACATCATCGGCTACAGCCAAAGAGGATGATTCTCTTTTGGGTCAAGCAATTACCTATTTCAACACAGCTGTCGACTTTGTTTCGGAATTGCCATTATCAATTCGTGGAGGATTGGCGGGTGTTGTGGTGCTTTGGATCCTTGTAGCATGGTTGTTTGGTGGCAGCAAAAAGACGACGAACGCTGAAATGGAACGAGAATTCTTACCACGATCATCATCGCGTGCGGTGTACTTGCGTGATTTAGAAAATGGATTGCTCAAAACAGATCTGCAACCTATGTATGCGCAAGAGGAAAGGTGTGTAACTATAATATCTCGGGTTCCTGTATTTGATTGACTGACACTTTTTGCTGCATTAGCTTCCAGCTGTTTTTGGAAAATGGAACATCGCATCGCTGGTTCAATGTGGATCATCATAGGATGGCTGTTGAGTTTCTTTTCAGCCGTGAACGAGTAGCAATGTTGCGACATGATATGCTGGTCATATTCAATTTACTCAATCAAGTGGATGCCCAACTCTTGGAAAACGAATACGTCAATTGGATGTTGGATACGCGGAAACGGTGTCGTTTAACGGGTCAACCAGCTGATACTTGCGACAAGATCCAGGTACAACTCGAATCATTCATTGGATAAGAATCATCATCATCACACACGCAACCTCCCAATGCATTTTATATATACACGCACAATATACACACGCCAATCACTCACTCACTCACCCATTTTACACCTCGCTGTACAATAACAATCAATCATTACCTTCCTTTCAGCAAGCAATATACCGTTGGCTTTTTACCAATAATAAAAACAAAATTGGGCTAAAGTGCTGCATCTTCAATGGGTTGTGTAAATTCATGGGCTTTACAATACTACAACATGTGCATCATTGATGACCAACATAAACGCAGAACGACGATCGATAGCTGTTGTGGTCCCTTCACAATCATACGATGTCACTTTGATTAATAAAGGTCAAAGACCAAAGCCGTTGATGATAATCACTGGTGAAGCATGAAACCATGCCCAAGTCAATTGTGATCCGTGTATAGCGTTTTCCCTTTGTAAAGAGCTCCGTTGTTAAGTGTATCTCAGTAACGAGTAATGCAGGGGGGAATGGGAGAAGGGAGTGGAAGACCAAGCACACGCGGCAAGCAGCAGCAGTAGTAGTAGTAGTAGTGTAGAGAGCGCGGACATTTTCCATGGAGACCACAGCCATGCGTTAGACTAATAGCATGATGCAGTACGCGATGCTTATTGGATGTTCATTTCTGATGATGTGCTCTACCAAACAATAAACATTCCCTACATCAACACCAATATGGATCCAACATGACCATTGGGGCTTTGTTTAACCTTAATGACGAGATAGGCATTATAGTAAACTTTGCATAATGTGTCAATAGATGATCTTAGAGAAAGGAGCCTGCTGAGGCAGCTATAAGACATCGGTGCAAGAAAAAATTAGGAGGTTCCTTGGAGTCAAGGAGATAGGAACACCTATAGAAACAAGGGAAAAGAAAAGAAAAAAGACCACGGAGGCGTTTTGCATGGCACTATGAGTAAACTAAAGCGGATACTGCTGCTGCAACTACTGCTGCCAAGACGCCACTTTGTGCCTATACATCATCCCATCTCACGTTGGATCACGCAGCATCATCGTTTTTGCCTCCCCTATTATAAAAGACCCTCCATTCATCACGCTCTACATCCCTTTCTCATTTCTTGTTACTACTTAATCCTTTATCTTTATATATGCGTAGCATTTTTTGCCTTTTAGTTAGTTTACTACTTTGTCACCTTGTCTCTGCCGGCGATGTCCAATACTCGGTCATAGCATTTCCACAAGGATCACAATCGGTCGGTGTTTCGGTGGATGGCAAGATCCATCCATTGGATCGTAGCAAGCAGTCTCCCAATCTTTTTACAGGCGCAGCACCCTCACCCTCCAACACATACCAATATGTGCTCATTGATGGGCAACAAAACAAGCCTGAGTCAAGTCAACGTAAAATGAAAGAGGGTACCGTTGGCACTGGCAACGAGTTTTATGGTCGATCACAAACCATCTATGATGTACCTGCCCTGCCACAAGCCTTCAATCCCATTTATCCTAGTGAGTATGCAATGGATAGCACGCATTGGATTGATTACTAAACTTTTTTACAGCTCTATTTACAAACATGAATCGATCAAACGAGGTGGCCACCATCATCCTTCAAACCAGCAACACTACAGGACTCAGTGCAATGCTCAAAAATCCTAAAGGGGATTTGAAAGACGTGCCAATTGATCATATGACGTACATTGCTAGTAATGAGGTGCATACATACACAGGGGTTGGCTTTTCCACCAGCGGTCAATCTTCCAAGGAGTTTGCCAAACAAAGCTATAAGCTCAAGCTCAACAAGTTCAGCCCTAAAGGTTCACCCAAGGAATTACTATTTGGCCGTACCACCCTGAAACTACGTGCTGAAGCTACCGATATGACCATGGTGTAAGTTACTTTTCATGCAGTCCACGTTGTCCCTTATTGGTGTATTAACAAAAGTCGGGGGTGGGGGTTTACGTTGTATAGGAGAGAAAAGTTGATGCTTGATTGCCTCGCTGCTGCTGGTGGTGCTACTCTCTCTGGAAGCTTTGTACGACTGTACATCAATGGTCAGCCATTTGGATTGTATCTCCTAACCGATGATGCATCCACGCACCTTATTGACAATATTTTGCATGGTGGTGATTGGAAGAGCACTGCTACTGGTACGTGTATATGATGTTCCATATTTATCGAAATGCTGACATTGGCATGCTTTTTAAAGGTGAAACCGTCAAAGGAAACAGCATGAATGAACAACAAGAAGGCAACCTTGAATACAAAGGCGACGACCTTGCTCTTTACCCTGAAGATACATACAAGCTTGAAGATAAGGGTGAAGACAAGAGCATCCACAAGAATAATTCTTTGGTTCCCTTGATTGGTTTTATGCGTGATTTAGCTGCTCTTACTCCTCAATCCAGCGAGCAGGATTGGAACAAGTTGATGATCCCCAAACATACGTTGATTCATCTTGCCTTGAACTTTTTGTCAGCAAGCTGGGATGGACTTTGGTATCAAGCCAGCAACTACTACATTAATCAAGATCTAAAGACACACCAATGGGCTATCATCACTTACGATTTTGATGAGACCTTTGGCAACAATTTGGAGAACATGAACCTCATGACCGTACCCTACCAAGAATACGCACGACCTAATTCATCACGTCCACTAGTGGAAAAGTTGCTTGGATCACCCCATTACAAGGCTGAATTTGAAACAGTGCTAAAGACCATTGTCAAGCGTTTCTTCAAGCCATCCGTGATGGATGCACGACTTAAAGCGTGGGTCAACATGCTGAAAGAAGATATTGCTTGGGACCGATCTCTTCAACCACATTCACCTGGCAAACCCGATGGTTGGGTAGCCCAAGATTTCGAGTCGGGCATGTTCAAGACGACCAAAGATCAAGTGGGTCTTTTGGAATACATCACCAAGCGCTCAGAAGCTGTATGCAAGCAACTCCAATTCGATGACAAGGATGATGTACCACCCCTCCCAGCATACACAGAAGGCCGATACATGGATGCTAATGGTAATATTTCTGATCGTCCTAATGTTGGTAATAATCGTGGTGCTATTGCTCCCAATGGTGAATCTGCAGCCTCCGAAAGCATAGCAGCTCCTTTGTTGTCATTGTCTTCCATGATGACATACTTGACCCCTGCCGCTTCACTTGTTTTCATTATTTCCTCCCTCTTTTAAAACGCTATATATCTTTATTTATCCATGATAAAAGTACAATGACCATCATTTGCAATAATAGTAAGGTTCGAGCGAAATGAGAATCATAATGCCGGGTACCTATAATAGTGTTATTGATGAGTAAAGCAGTGGTAGAAGTCATCATCAACAATGGACACCACCAATTTGGCAACATTACCAATGGAATGAGGAACAATGAAGCTGTGTGCATGTGTAAACCGGGATCGGTAGTATGAGCTCGAGACCGGCAATCTCATAATCAAGAATTGATGTACAATGTTCATGCATTTATACAAGAGGTGTCCGACCTATTAATTTCCAGCTCTTCCACTCTCATCTTCTTGCCTCTTCCTCCCATTCTCAACTGTTGCCCCATTCAAGTATACAACTACCACCTGCGAACGATTGTCCTGCTTCAACTCATCATGTCAATCCTACAACTCTCTTGATCCGATTGTCTTTCACTGAATGGCAAGTCCATGGCGTGTGCACCCCACTACAACACACGAGTCTCTTGACACTACACACTCTCTTGCATACTCCTCTGCTACAACCAATCGTAACAGCATTTCATTGCAGCAGTTAGCAATGTCTTCACTTCATTGTCTCCAACAGCGTTCTTTACTTGCAGCAACTTGCCTTACAGCCTTTGCTATGTGCCACAGCAGATAGCCCTTGTATAGAAGCAACTTTATTTACGTGTAGCAACGTGCTTCAATACATACGAATTCCTATCGATATGGATATGGATTTGAATACTGCATTGCTTTGGTACATGGGATGGAAGGAAGTGGATCTATTGACTGGTTTGGTTCCCCTTGGTCCATTTAAAACGTGAGGTCTAGGTTGGATGATACCATATCAGCCGTCGACTACGCCGCAACACAAGCAATCTCAAGCTGGTTGAGATGCGATGGGAAATGACCAACAAAGAGGGAGACCAAGGGCTGGATGGAAAAGGAAGCGTATCAGCAGCGATCTCTGGGTCTTCTATCTACCAACATGTTGGATTTGGAATGGTTATGGTGGATGGGTTCAATCAAGGCAGTGATGAAAACCATGGTGATTGTTTGACGCGTTGTCAGCAGGGACCATTGATCATGTCATGTGGATACGGCTGAGGATGATGATGATGGATGGGATGGAATTGACGAAAGAAGGTGTTTACAGCCATGGATGATATTGGAATACTCGAGTCAATGCACGCAGCAGCTATATTGCAATCATGGATGAAGGATGATTATGACGGCAACAACCAAGAATACAAGGTCACGTTTTTCTCTATTGCCTCTATGTAGTTCACCATCCCGTATCTTATTCAATTTTCAATGCTGGTCTTTTATCCTATTTACTTCATAAACATCCATAATACAATGTGCTACTCGTCAACTTCCATTGTGTGAAAATTGGGTTCATCATGTTATTTAGAAGGGGATCGAACTACTAGCTTGTATGTGCAAGATGTGGATCACTTAGATTGAAAGAGGAGATAGAAATTTGAAGGTCGTAAAGGGGGATCGGATCGTTTGCATCATCGTATGTATCGTTCACTAAAGCTTCCTAGTTCACATGCGGATAGACGAAAAGTATTGTAAATCCTCTAATGTTCATGCTGAAAAGATAATAAATCCGAGAGCGATGATGATGGCCAACAATACTGCTTGTCAAATAAAGAAAGCTTGGTCCATTGTAAAGCTTAATTCATTATGTTCAACAAAGAGTGAGCAGTAATGCAATATGGGCACGAGGACATAAACATACCATGATCACCTATAACAGTTTTCAGTGTAGGCTATCTTCTTATACAATCTTATATGAGAACTAACCATTCCATACGGGCAACCACAATAGGCAGGCCTTACTATACGCAGGCCAGGGCAAAGGTTCTCATGCATTGTCCACCAATAGCATTAATCCTTCAGATCCTGTGCTCGGCAGCGTTGCACAAACAAGCCCTTCTACATCTTCGGCACTACTACTGAGGCGATTGACAATGAACAAAGATCACTTACCATATAGCATCACGCTTACAGCATAGTCAAGACATAAAGGTGCCTGTATCTCAAGATTTCACAATGAAACGTGGGGTCTTTGAGAGAACAACATGCTCGGCGGGGTGAAAGCGATCTTGTGTCAAAGTATGAAGTCCATCAGGGCCAATCCCAGATTTCGCAATGTCGCCACCAGCCAAACTGGATCCGGGAGGTCGACCTCTTGAAACTTTTTTCGACGACCAAAAAATATTTTTTGGGCTGTTTACGACATTGAACGCGAAACTTTCACTGCTGCGTTGTTAGGAGCAGCTACCATTGCCCTATTCAAAACCTGGTTTCATTGTAAAGTTTGAGATACAGGCACCTTATGTTTGTAAGCGTGATGCTATAAGAAGCGGTGGTCTTTGTTCATTGTCGGGTAGTTGACCCCGGCAGAGCAAAAGATGCAGAGGGACCTTTACCAGTTATTGTATGACTAGGAAGAGCGGAAGACGAATAAATTATTGACAATATCCCATACATTGCGAGCAACAGCCATTTTCACAACCGGCAGCCCATTCTATGACAGTGAACGGCGTTCAAGTCAGACATTCATTTCCATGATTGGATTATGTTGATCCGAGTTGATTTGGCTGAGCTTACGCTCATACAAGGTTACTTCAGCGAGCAACATAGGAGCATGGTTAGATGTGATTGATGTAAATCCTTCTGGCCGTATCTCGTTAAATCAACTCGGATCAATATAATCCAATCATGGAAATGAATGTCTGAAGCAGGAGAATCGCCCACATGTCAGAGTGGACAACATTGCCGATTGTGAGGAAATGGCTGTTAGCTCGCAATGTATGATATTGCTCGTTTAGTATACAGTATCATCCTTCCATCCTTTTCTGGTCATGCAAGTAGCTGAAAGCTACACAAAGAGGTCCCTCTGCATTCTTGCCTTGCCAGGGTCCAGCGACTTGACATTGAACGAAGACCATTCATATAGCATCACGCTTACAAACATAAAGGTGCCTGTATCTAAACTTCTACAATGAAACGTGGGGTTTGAATAGAGCAATGCTTCGGCTTGGCCAACAGCACCTTGTGAAAGTTTCCTCATGTTCAACAAGTTGCAAACAGCCCAAAAAATATTTTTTGGTCGTCGTCGTTGAAGAGGTCGACCCCCAGATCCAGTTTGGCTTGGTGTGCGACATTGCGAAATCTGGGATTGGCAAGCTTGATCGTGAAACTTACACCCAAGGTGCAGTTGGCCAAGCCGAGCACATTGTTCTATCAAAGACCCCACGTTTCATTATGAAGTTTGGAGATACAGGCACCTTAATGTTTCTAAGCGTGATGGTATATGAAGAGTGGTCTTTGTTCACTGTCAAGTAGGTGGACCCTGGCAGAGCCAAAGATGCAGAAGGACCTCTTTGGGTAACTGGGTTAAAAAGTTTGGACTTCAGGGACCATGCATGACAGGTACGCAACCCTCACTTTTATGTCATACATTGGCAGCTAATAGCCACTTTTGTGCATTCCCAACTTTTGTGCATTCTATTGTAGGTGGACGATGCTCCTGCTCTAGACATTCATTTCCATGATTAAAGTAGGTTGATCCGAGCTGATTTGGTTGAGTTACGCTCACACAAGATTACATCGGTTGAGCTACATCGAGCGTGCTTTGTGTCCAGAGTGATGTAATCTCTCTTTGACCGCAGCTCAGTCAAATCAGCTCGGATCAACCTACTTTAATCATGGAAATGAATGTCTAGAGCAGGAGCATCGTTCCCATGCAATGGAATGCACAAAAGTTGGGAATGCACGAAAGTGGCTATTAGCTGCCAATGTATGACATGAAAATGAGGGTTGCGTACCTGTCATGCATTGGTCCTGAAGACCAAACTTTTTAACCCAGTTACACAACACGACCCTCTGCATCTTTTGCTCTGTCAGGGTCTAGCTACTTCACAATGAACAAAGACCACTTGTCATATATAGTCATGCACACAACATAAAGGTGCCTGTATCTCCAAACTTTACAATGAAACGTGGGGTTTTGAATAGAGCAATGGGCTCGGTTTGGCCAACAGCACCTTGTGTGAAAGTTTCGCGTTCAATGTTGCAAACAGCCCAAAAAATATTTTTTGGTCGTCGAAAAAAGTTTCAAGAGGTCGACCCCCCGGATCCAGTTTGGCTGGTGGCGACATTGCGAAATCTGGGATTGGCCCTGATGGACTTCATACTTTGACACAAGATCGCTTTCACCCCGCCGAGCATGTTGTTCTCTTAAAGACCCCACGTTTCATTGTGAAATCTTGAGATACAGGCACCTTTATGTCTTTACTATGCTGTAAGCGTGATGCTATATGATAAGTGATTTTTTTCATTGTGAAGTAGCTAGGACCTGGCAGAGCAAAAGATGCAGAGGGTCGTGTTGTGTAACACAGCTACCTTTGCATGAATGGAAGGGTCGATGTATGATTACTTTATGCATTTTTCAGTAACAGACATTATTGCCGGCTAACAGCCACTTCTTTCCAATCAGCACCATTGCGCATTCCAATGCATATGAACGGTTGTCCTGATCCGGCCCCTCATGCCCATCATTCAACTTTCTTGATCCGAGAGGATTTGACTGAGCTACGGTCAAACACAAAAGGATCATCCAAAATCAGAGAAATCATATGTAAACTGCCACTTGATAGCCCATTCCTCCCATTCACCTTTGTTGCTCAATCCAATGCATGTGAACGATTGCTCTGCTCCAGCCCAGCATGCCCATCATTTAACTTTCTTGATCCAATAGGATTTGGGTGAACAACGCTTGAACAAAGAAATGTCATCTCAACCTGCTACTTAATTTCCCACTTCTTCCACTCCCAGCTTATTTGCCTCTTCCTCCCATTCTCAACTGTTGCTCCATTCAAGTACAACTACCATCTGCGAACGATTGTCCTGCTTCAACCCATCATGTCAATCCTACAACTTCCTTGATCCGATTGTCTTTGACTGAATGACAAGTCCATGGCGTGTACACCCCACTACAACACACGAGTCTCTTGACACAACACACGCTCTTGCACGCTCCTCTGCCACAATCAATCGTAACAGCGTTCATTCCAGCAGCTGCTCAACACTCCATGTCTCAAACAGCGTTCACAGACTTGTCACTCTACTACAACACGCGCGAAGCCTTTGCTCGATTGTCTCAAGTTATGCAGCAACCTCCCTTTTTTACGTGGACAGCAGATAGCCATTGTATAGAAGCAGCTTAATTTACGCGTAGCAACTTGCTTTCAATACATACGATTTCATGCATTGATATGTACACGGGATAAAAGGAACGGGGGAATACACCATACGTGAAAAAAAAGTGTGCATGACATTGTCAACTTGGCCTAGATTCTATCATCCAGAACGATTGATGCATCCACTTTTCGCTATTCCACAACAACTGCTATCATCATCCTTTGTGCAAACTCTCAACCATGTACAACCATCCATCATCCAACTTCATGCTTTGACATGTTATGCATATGATTCGCCATCACGCATCAAATGCCACATGTGGTTCATCCATCCATCTTTAGATGATGCAAGTCCAAACGATAGGAACTTCACAAGTCTCTCTCCCCCATCTCTCAGTTTATCTCTTTGGATAATGTTGGATTAAAGGGTTGCTCGAGCGAATATGAGATTGCGTTGCCAACCATTTCTAAATTTGCATGAAACCTTCTTCCTAAGTTGGACCTCCTCGTGTGTGCTGGGCTCTTGATGCATTGCATTATCGAATTATGGTATGGGTATACCATATCCATTTGTATACGCTGGGACAAGAGAAAAAGAGATAGAGGAAGACAAAGGATATGATTGATGCATCGTCTCTCGAAGAACAAAGGCTGTGTTCGATCGTATTATATACGGCGTGATATTGCTATGCGTGGGCCTCCTCATCCTCATGCACTACTACTACCATTATATTGATAGGGTAAATAGCGTTAGTGAGGGAGCTTATTGCAATTATCATAAGCAAAGACAACATGAATGGGACCTAAGACCTTGTCTGTATTTGTTTAAACAATTGTAACAAGAGAGAGAATAACTTTAGTATCTACAAGTGATGCATGTGCATTGAAGAAATAGGTCTAGAGAGAGAAAGAGGATCATGTGATGGGCGAAAAGTATGATGGGGGCTATTGGTGATGCGCTGTTTATGCTTGATCATTCGAAGAAGAGGATGGCTGTTGAGTGGGTGTATTGGATGCTGATGTGACATTGGAATGAGTGGGATTGGCTGTTGGTTTAGAATTGAGCTCCTTGGCATGCTGTTCTAATAATGCCACAATCTGCTCTTGATTTTGAAGAAACTTTTGTTGCTGCTCAGGGCTCAATTGACTGTACTGATTCAATATTTGTGGATTCTGTAATATGGCTGCCATGTAGTTTGCTATGGTACACATCCAATTAGGTCCTCTGTGTAATACATACGAACATTGCTTTATAACTTACACATCCCGCTGGCCATCCGATTTTGTTCACTCATTCGTTGTTGGGCTTCCGCTTGTTGAATCGCAGCTTGCTCGGCAGCCACACGAGCCTGTTCCTCAGTCAAACGTTGCCTTTGATCCGCAAGCAGTTGTCGTTCAAGCATGATTTGAAGTTGTCTAATGCCTCGACCCTGAATATCCTTGATCAGCTTAACATCCACAAGCAAAGCGCGAAGATGGTCACTCACCTCGATAACCTTGTTACATACATCAGAGAACCTCTTGAAAAGCTCTGCTTGGCTCTTGAATATCTCCATGGTTAATTGATCTATACTCCAAAGTGAATAAATATATACAAATGAATGTTGTTAAAGCACATACCTTGCTTGTCCATCGGTATCTTGTTCGCATCCATATCAACCTTTGGATATTGATATATGTGATAAGGAAGTAATCGATCAATGACATCCTGTTTCGACCTGAATGGGGTCTTGTAATCTGGCTCGGTTACTGCTTTGTGATCCGAAAGTATTGAATCATAAATCCTATCGAAAACCATACCCTATCAGTGATCCAAACTATGATCCTTCCTTGATAACCACTTTCCTACCTTCGTTTGACATCTTGATGATGGAGTTCCTCTTCAGGGAGTCGTTTAGCAAGGATTGATTTGGTAGCAAGATGACTTGGTAGAGTAAAATTGGGTGGGATGGGTTGCTGTTGCTGTTGTGGTTGTTGAGCGACCATATGATGCAATGCAATCAGAGGTGGTGCGGATTGCTGATGCTGTTGTTGGTGTTGCTGGTGTTGAGGATGTGGTGGTAATGGGAGTTGACCTGATGAAGAAGATGCAGCTGCCAACTGATGAGGATGATGTAACCGTTTCTTTGAATATTTGCCAGTCTTGACGTATTTGCGAGTCGTCTTGATAGATCCACCCATTGATGATGATGAAGAAGATGTCGTTTCAGGCATGTTGCCGATCATCATTGGTTGTTGTTTTTGCTGTTCTCTTTCATATTCCTCGCGCAATTTGCGTGCTGTTTCCTTCAGTGCATCTGGATCAGGTGAACTTGGTAAAGGAGCCGAGATGCCATTATGTTTAGGTGCAATGGTCTTATTCCCTCCCTGCTCGTTCGTAGCTGAACTTCCTGTACCACCCGTCGCATTGCGTGTTGCTGCTGCTAGTGTTGCTGCATGAAGCTTTTGTATCTCTTGCAAGAGGCGTTCACGTTGATCGTCGGCAAGTGATTGCACCGGTACATTGTCTGGCAACTTGTATATGATCTGGTCACCCTTGCGAAGCATGATAACCTTCAAACCAGCCAGCGTGATCTGTGTAATGATCTCTTCGTCGGCAGCTCCATTCTTTATCTAAGACTATCTTGTAAGTGGCCAAGTTCTTGTTCAACACATGGTGTTGTTGTTTACCTGTGTAGATGGACGATTACCCTCCTGTTGGCTCATCTAGATAGCATTTCGATTCAGTTGGACGCATAAGAAAAAAGGTTGAAAAGAACACAAAGGAGATAAACAAGCGACTAGGGCGAGAACGCGCCGTGGCTCTTTATTTTTTGTTACCTGTTCAACTTTGACCTGTGAGCAAAAAGAGAAGATCAGCTGGAATTCGGTGCCCAGCCAGCCTCAACTTTTTATTGGACCAGAATGATCACTGCTATAAAGAATGGAAAGCCGTTATACGATCCTCATCAAGAGCTCTGGTGATGCAAATCATATACGCGTGTGTACATTATGTTTATTGATGAAGGTATCAACGACCATCAATTGTCTTACAGGGTGTCTTTTCTTTCTAAGACGAGCACTTTTATCAATAGGCCCTTGGATAACGACTTTTGCTCAATTCCAATTGGACCACAGGCTGGGATTGGCCACTCTTCTTTGCATAGCACTCCACAATCACCAATAAACATACTTTATTCTTTGAACATGAGTTTTATTCGTATCCAAAAAGAACATCATGTTGCCAACTATACTAGGTAGTCTTTGTGATCAAAACCTAAGATTTGGTGGGTATCTCGTTTCTTGTAGCCTAATGGATCAGATCTAAAATCTTTATGATCATATATGATGGTTCATTGTTGCCGTGGTCACCATTGTGATTTTGGGTTCTTGTGTCGAGGTAGCAACCTATCTCATGAATGAAAGCTCTTAAAGGTCTCCCTTGTTTTATCCACGTGATATAGGACGAAAGGCCTCAGCTCCATAGTTTAGGTTTGGTGCAAGAATGTAGATCCATATCCCGTCATCCGCTCTCTCTTTCGTTTGGATGTAGCATTCATTATGTAAAAGGTAAGATTCACCTGGCAACAATAGTCAACAATGATGATTAGTACATTGAAGGATGTCTCTATCATACTCTCGTGAAACCAGCTCTTCTGATAAACGACACAACGTGCTACCTTGCATATTCCTCTATGTAAATCATTTATAGCCAAGCAGTTTTACCATAAAATGCATGCTGCAGATGAAAAACGCCACACCAATCCCCTAGCGACGTAGTGTTGTGCGATTTCACTTATACATAGGCGCTACACAAATATGTGGCTATATGCAAGGATGTCCTTGGACATGAACAAGACGAGATTTCAAATGTTTGTAAGGACTAAGGAGCTATCGACTTGTTTGTATATCATTGATCCTCAATAAGAATTTGGCATGCAACTGATAGAAGATGGGAGAGAAGTAATAGAGCAACACCCTGGTTTATCACACGATATCAGTGCTCATCGTTATGGCCATATGTCAAAGTGTATGAGCAACCACTTTTACGTATGGATCATCAGTCGATCTTTGTTTATGGGCTATCCTTAAGAATGGGTGGTTGTGTATGTGTGTGTGTGATGAGCAATGAGAGAGGACGGCTTTTGACAGCGGATAATTTATTAAAAGACAGCAGCAGCAGCAGGATAATGACTCCTTGATCCGATCATTTTCATGTATCAAACTCGCTACAACCAGGAGCAAGCAAGAGAGGACAAACAAACCCGCCTTGAAAGAGTTGGCAGAGGGGGACAAATATAGTAGGTGTAAAAAGGGTGTATGTGTGTGGGTGGGTACTTGCGTGTGTGTGTGTGTGCGTGTGTGTATAGGACATGTTCTCGTATTCACTTTGCTTGACACAGCGTGCCTTCCTCCTTTTTTTTCTTTTTGCTTTGCTTCTCTCTTTTTCCAACCCCTCATTTACACGCCATTGCTGTTCATTAGCGGGTGAGTTGCACGCATTTCCACAGTAATTGAAGCTAACGAGCAAGCTGTGTAGGTAATGCAAGACGACACACGCACCGACTTGGTCTGTGTACTCAATAGCAGCGACCAGACGCCGCCCACCGAGGATACCATTGTCAGTCTATTGGAGAGTCGATTCAAGCGTAGCCATGTATACACCCGCGTGGGCCATCTAAATCTGGTTGTCATCAACCCCTTTCAACCACTGGAGTCTCTCAACGATGCGACATTGCAGTCTTATGCCGATGCGGGATACAGAGATGTTTCGGAGCACAAGCCGTTCCTTCAACCACACGTGTACGACATTGCTGCCAGAGCTTATTTCACCATGCGTAGAACAGGCGAAGATCAAAGCATTGTCTTAAGGTAAAGCTTTTATTGTCTTTATTTAATAATCAAAGGAGGAGGGAGCGAAGAAAGAAAATATGTGGTGAGAGGAAAAAAGAGAATGTAGGCTGCTGCTGCTGGGAGTAAACATCCATAAGAGGAGGTTGAGGAGAGTTGAGGAGGACAAGGAAAAGGAAAGGGGGGGGAAAGAAGGAATTACCAGTCATCGAATGATGCAAGTCTTCTAACTTGTATATATGTAGTGGTATCACTGGTTCTGGAAAAAGCACCACACGTCATCATGTCCTCCACCAATTGACCCATCTATCCACACACAGCAAGAAGGAATCAAAGCTGCAGCTGCAAATCCGGAATGCTGCCAGTGTATTGGAAGCTTTTGGTCATGCAAGAACAACACAAAACAACAGCGCATCCAAGTTTGGCATGTTCCAGGAGTTGCAATTCAGTGAGCGTGGTCGTATTCTTGGTGCAAAGACGTTGACATATGCTTTCGATAAGACACGCACCACATCTGTACCTATCAACGAACGCACATACCACGTCTTTTATGCTCTACTTGCTGGCACCACGGTGGATGAGAAGACAGCTCTTCATATCAACTTTTCAGCCGATTATTTTCATTATCTCAACCAATCCAAATGCATCAATGTGCCAGACTACAGCGACGAGATTGCTTTTCAGGACCTCAAAAGTGCACTTAAGATATGCGGCTTCAAAGCAAAGACAGTGACACAAATCTTTCAGCTGCTGGCAGCCATCCTGCATCTTGGCAACTTGCAATTCGTTGACAACCGCGAAGGTGATATGGCGGAGGAAACTTGCAGTGTCAAGAATGTCAAAGTACTTGAAACCGTATCAGCCATGTTGGGTGTCTCGCCTTCCAAGCTTGAAACAGCACTCACATACAAGCTACGTTTGATTCGCAAAGAGCTTTGTACAGCTTTTATGAACGCTCAAGGCGCTACAGAACAACGTGATTCACTCGCACAAGCATTGTATCATGTGCTATTCACTTGGATCGTCGAATCCATCAATTCCAAGATATGCTATAATGACAACCCTGCCAACTTTATCGGCATCCTCGACCAATTTGGGTTCCAGAATTTCAAGGACAATGGATTTGAAGAATTCAGCGTCAACCTCGCCAACGAACGCGTGCATCAATTTTACATACAGCAATGTTTCAGTGATGATGTTGGGATACATGCGATTATGGTGCGTGATGGCGTACAGCTGCCAGAGGTGGAGACTATGGACAATCAATATTGCTTGGACTTGTTGACAGGCCATGGAAGCATGAAGAACCCAAGTGCTGGTGGTGCTGGTGGTATCATTAATATGATTGATCGAGATTGTGCACGCTATCAAAGTGGTGCTACGGATGCAACGGATGCCAATTTGCTCGCCAACCTACAACGTCAATTTGCAACTCATTCAGCATTTGCCAAGACAACACAAACGTATTCTTTCGGCATCAACCATTTCTCTGGCACCGTACATTACACTGTGGATGGCTTTATTGAAAAGAACATTGATGCATTATCACCCGATTTTGTTACGTTGCTACGTGACAACAGCTCCAATGTATTTGTCAACAGCCTTTTCCAAAGCAGTGCCATGGCAACAGAATCCCATCCCAAGGATAATCGAACCATCGTTAAAGCACAGCTCACCAGCAAACCTACAAGGGCACCCTCCATGAAGCGATCCAACAAACGCAACCGTAGCATCCCACATGACATGGAGAAAAAGGAAGCTGCTGCTGAAGAACCGGTAGAGCACGTGACAACAGTAATGGATCAGCTGTGTGTGACATTGGATGATCTCTTCAAAACAATGAGCGATACACATGTCTACAACCTCATTCACATTCGACCCAATGACTTGCAGACCCCTGATATGTTTGATACGAAGCGTGTCAAGTCTCAAATAAGGACCTTTTTATTGCCCGATTTGACCCTTCGATGTCGACAACAATACGCCAACTATTATGCATTTGACGAGTTCTTGGCACGATACGAGAGATTAATACAATCCCTTAACATTGATGGATCCAAGCAAGAACGTGATATGGTTGGTGACGTATGTGCCATCATGAATTGGACACCAGCACAAGCGTATATAGGCAACGACATGATATGGCTTGCATACGATACGTGGAAAGAATTGGAAGACAACCTGCGTGCAGCTGAAAAGGAGAATCGGGCACGTCACAAGGCGATCAATGATGGCACTGTTGGAGGAGCTGATACTGGCACAGATGTGATGAGCGATGCAGCAGCAGGAGGACCCAATTATCCACCCTACGATTCGTATCAAGAAATGCCACCTGCCGAATATATGGATCACAATGCTATGGGCCGATCATCGTTTTTTGAGGATGGTGCGAGCTATGCTGATAGTGAATATGGCATGAAGCGAGAAGTGGATGGTAGTCAATGGGGCGATGAATCTGAATGGGGGATGAAAGGCTTATCTGAAGGGTAAGTGAAAGAACATAGCAGCACCACCACATTGATTGACATGATGGACCCGATCCAGATTTGGCCCTAATATGGACATGAGCAAGATGATTGAGGATTATTATGCTCCACAGAATGAACAAGTCGAGGAAATGCCAATCACGGCGCTACGTGTTTGGTGGGTCCGTTTTGTGTGGTTCATGACATGGTGGATACCCAATCCATTTCTTCGATGGTTCGGCAAGATGAAGCGACAAGACGTACAACTTGCATGGAGAGAAAAAGTGACATTGTGCATGCTTATCTTTTTATTCTCGGTCATGGTGATCTTTATCATTGTTGGATTGAGTCCGCTGCTTTGTCCTGGCACCAAGGAAATGTATTCACCAGCCAATGTCAATGCCCATAATGTCCAAGATGATATGTACGTCAGCCATCGTGGCGTTGTCTATGATATTACCGGCTTTGCTCGTAGCAACCATGGTACGACCGCATTACCTGCCACCTCGGATACGCTGGTGGATCTTGCGGGTCAAGATGTATCATACACCATTCCCCCACCATTGACTGAGGCATGCCAAGGCCTTGTTTCCACACCCACGGTGCGCATCACGCCCAATTCGAGTATCGTGCTGGGAACATTTGTTCATTATTCAGGAGATCAATTGCAATATCCACAACTTTCTTCAATGGCAAGCAAATCTTGGTATTGGGACAACTTTTTGCCCGAGATGAAGTTATACAAGAAAGGTTCTTTGGTGATTGATATGGATTCGGTGGCTTCCGATTACAAAGGATGGGGACGATATGCCATGGCAATCAACAAGAAGGTTTACGACTTGACCGATTATTTTGCAACGGCCGATACGTATAGCACGGGTTCGACATCGAGCGATTATGCATTCTTGAATCCAGCTGTTGAGGAGATCTTCAAAAAGTTTAGTGGCACTGATGGCACTGACAACTGGAACAAGTACACCACATCATTGTCACCTGAGGAGTTAGCCATGAATTTGAATTGTCTCAACAATGCGTTTTACGTGGGCGATGTGGATGAACGTGAATCTCTTCGGTGTACATTTGCCAATTATCTCTTGTTGGCATTTGCCATGGTGATGGCTCTTGTCATTTTGGTCAAATTTTTGGCAGCCCTTCAATTTGGTGGTGCACCAACGCCCGAAGAACATGACAAGTTTGTGATTTGCCAAGTCCCTTGTTATACCGAAGGCGAAGAATCACTGAAGAAAACAATCGATTCGTTGACAGTGATGAATTACGACGACAAGCGTAAGCTGCTCTTTATCATTGCAGATGGCATGGTCATGGGTGGTGGTAATGATCGGCCCACACCACGTATCGTATTGGATGTTTTGGGCTATGATACCAAGAACGATCCTGAACCACTCATGTTCAAATCCATTGGTGAAGGAAGCAAACAGCTCAATTACGGCAAAGTGTACTCAGGCCTTTATGAATGCGAAGGACACGTGGTGCCCTACATTGTGGTTGTCAAAGTTGGCAAGGCTTCGGAACGCGCTAAACCAGGCAACCGTGGCAAGCGTGATTCACAATTGATTTGCATGAATTTCTTGAACAAGGTCCACTTTGACGGTGAAATGACACCACTGGAATTGGAAATGTATCATCAAATCAAGAACGTTATTGGTGTCAACCCCTCCTTTTATGAATACGTGCTCATGATTGATTCTGATACCGAGGTGGATCCAGATGCACTTAACCACTTGATATCAACAATGCTTCATGATGGTCGTATCATTGGATTATGTGGTGAAACGCAGCTTGTGAATGAGGATCGTTCTCTTACAACGATGATACAAGTATACGAATACTATATTTCCCATCATCTTGCCAAGGCATTCGAGAGCTTGTTTGGATCCGTCACTTGCTTGCCTGGTTGTTTTTGCATGTATCGCATTCGCACGCCCATCAAAAGTGAGCCGCTTATTGTATCGCCCAAGGTGATTGGTGATTACTCGGACAACAATGTTGACACGCTACATAAGAAGAACCTGCTGCATCTTGGTGAAGATCGATATTTGACAACGCTCATGATGAAGCACTTTCCACAATACAAGATGAAGTTCACGCCCCATGCACAATGTAAAACGGTGGCTCCTGACAGGTGGAAAGTATTGGTTTCTCAACGACGTCGTTGGATCAATTCGACCATTCACAACCTCTTTGAGCTCATCTTGCTACCGGATTTATGTGGATTCTGCTGCTTTTCGATGCGATTTGTTGTTTTGGTTGACCTTATTGGCACATTGACCCTCCCTGTATCGGTGGTGTACCTTGCCTACTTGATTTACGTTGTTGCGGATGGCACCGATCCAATCCCTATTTTGGCATTGTGCATGTTGGCTGGTCTATATGGTCTCCAAGCTATTTTGTTTATTCTTAAGCGACAATGGCAACATATTGGATGGATGATCTTCTACATTTTGGCGATCCCTATCTTTTCATTTATGCTACCGGTGTATTCATTCTGGCACTTTGACGACTTTTCATGGGGCAATACTCGCATTGTTGTGGGCGACAAGAAACAAAAAAAGATCATTCTCAATGATGATGAGAAGTTTGATGAAAAGATGATCCCACTCAAGAAATGGAGCGTCTACGAGCAAGAATTATGGGAGATGGGTTCAACTGGATCACAAGAAACGGGTGTCACAGGCAATACTTATCGATCCTTTGTTCCAGGAGGAGGCGGTGGTGGTGGTATTGGCACTGCTGGATCGATCATCTATGATGGACATAGCATGTACGGTGGAATGAGCCAGCCTGATTATAGTGATTACCAACATCGTATGGCAGCAAACAACAATCGAAATAGCCGTGGCACACACCAAATGATGAGCATGAATGGATCAGTAATGATGGGAAGCGGTGGAGCAGTACCACCAACCACGGCGTCAGGGTATCCAGGATCTGTTATGGGATTACCTCCTTATCCCCCTCATTATGGTGCTGGTGCTGTTGGATATACAGGCTCGGTGGTTGGGTCCGAATATGGAGGAGTAGGAGGAGCAGCAGCTGCTGGTGGTGGTATGACGACAATGAATAGCGCCGACCCACAACACATGATATCTTCACCGATCAATCGAGGCTCAAGGACACTTTCTGTAAATAGCTTTGGCAACCCTGACTTTTTGTTGGATCGCAGCAGCTTCATGGCTGGTCCCCCACCACCACATCAACAATATTACCACCATCCATAATCATCATTCGCATCTTGTTTTTGTGATAATACCTAAGCTAATAGATTGCCCCCTTTGTCCTTTACTTCACAAGACAATCAATACAACAAATTCACTTTTCAACTTACCATAACAACGCTGATTCTTTGGGGTCTTTTATCTGGGTTCCAACAACAACACAAAGCGTATACGTAAGAGGGATAGTATCACAATGGTCGTCATGGTTTCTTTCATCTTCTTTCCCCATTTTGATGAACAACGTGCAACATCGTCACTTACTTTATTAGTTCAGCCGCCCTAAAATGTTTTTTCTATCCCGGGAATTTACAATGTTACCCCACCGTAGAAGTTGAGATGTGGGCGAGCTTCAAGGGGCATGCAAGTACCTTGGGTTGGTGCCACTATAGTTCGCTAAGTAAATATGACATTCAATCTATTACAAGATGCAGCTTTCAATACTATACGATGTTCACCGGCTGCTAACGAGCTAGCTGTAAAGCACGCTGCTTTATGGATATTGGTGAATGGTGGCTTCAATATTTAGAAGGGTAATTGTGCTTCTGTTTCAGTACGTTTGCCCCAGCAATTGTGTTGCACTGTATTGCACAATCAGCTCCTACGAATAGATGGGGGCAATTGCCGACCAACGACCACAATTAATCCAGCCATATCCAACGAAACCCGTCCTTTTTGCAAGCCCCAATAGTGGTGCAGTAACCTAGCAACGTGTATCCATGGCAATGAACATCATTAACTTAGCCATAATAAAAAGCTTATAGAATAGACGAAGATAGTACAAGGGTAGCTAGCAAGTTTTATGAAACAAACCTCTTTTATTGAAAGAGCTTTGTGTCATTAAAATACAACATAATAATGTAATGGGGGCATACCAGAGATATGACATAGAAAGACACACAAGAAAAATAACTATGAGAAGTGGATGCAAAGGTGTTATGAAAGGATGTAGATGATAGGTTCGATGCAAGACAAAATGGACATGACGTTACCGAGGAGAGAGAGGCTTAAATGATGATGATGAAATGCTGTAAAGAATTTTTTTCTCTAAGCTCCAGTGTTGGTAAAATCATAAGAAAAAGGTGCTCGACGTCCTTTGTAGTGAAGACTCATGGGGTCGTGGAAATGGCCTAGGACATCTGGGGTGCTTGTAATACGCATGGGATCGTTGAGGTACTTTTGCGTAGTAACAACATAGGTAGGGAAGACAATGGGTGTTGTCGTCGTGCCAATGGGAGTAAGGAAGGTTTGTGGAGGAGATTTTTCGCCTTCATGACACACGGCAGGCTCAATGTGCTTGGACCTTGGTTGCCAAAAGAAAGTGGGCATTGACTTAGAAGGGTGGTAGTGGTAGTAGGATCGCAATTGAAAAAGTACGTAAGTGGATACGAAAAGGAGTAAGTATAGAGAGAAGGAAAGAATGAAGAAGCGAACAGTTTTACTTGCTTTTATAAGGATGAAGTTTGATTACATTGTGGGGTTTCGATCGCAACAAAGAGGAAATGGTTCCAAAGAAGGGTTATACACTGCTGTGAGGTGAGTTGTTACTCCGTGATCCGATAGATACGTTGTAAAGGCTGTTGTCATATGCTGCGGGCGTGCTGTGTATGATGTATGTGATACAGCGGCTCGCCCCATTGCACGTTTTACTTTTGAAAAAAACAAATTGAACCAACCAAAATGCTGTGTGGTTGTCTCAATAGTAGACACGCACCCAGGTGGGAAATCCTCCCATACTTTACCAATGCCCGGGTAAAATAAAAAAGTGGTCTCATGTGATGGCAGTGGCGCGCATCGATTACTTGTAAAGAAATAACAAGCGCATGCTTTTTCCATGCTCAATTGGCAGGAAAGTAAACAATTAATAGAAAAAAACAAGAAGGGAATGGCTTAGAATCACTATCTCTATTGTCTTTTGATCTCATATTATGGTAGCACTTCTAGATCCCAGTGGGCTGGTAATCAACGGTAAGCATCTCATTTTGCAGATAACAGTCCAGCAAGTGCAACATGAGTTTGCACGAATAGGGTTATTGATTTGATGGTGACAGCTGTGAGAAATAGCATTTGTGCAACCCTACATGCTTGTTGCACGACTTGTACGCCCACCCGGATACCTGGGTTAAGCTCGCCGTTATGGATGTTCACTCCTCAATTGGGCCATGGGAAAAGGTGAGGGATTGGTTCAAACGAGAAAAAAAGTCAACAAGAATGCATGAGATTACAAGTGAGTAATCAAACCACCGTATCAGGTGGTGTAGCTGCAAGGAAGGTTCTAGTATTATGGATGATTCGAGTGGACAAAGCAACATGTTGTACAACACTATGAGGGTTTAAGGAATACAAGAGTGAATATAAGGGGTCGGTGTGAAAAACCAAACACTACTTGCATTCTCAAGAAGCCTTTTTTCAATCACAGATCAATACAATACTACCAACATGGTACATCATATCATGAAAATTTCATGAGTGAATCAAGGGATCTTATTCAAAGGACGACAAGAGAAACAGCCAAGGTGTGGTTGGACGGCTGGTGGTTTGGCTGAGTTGAACGGGTAACTGGGCGATTCTGGGAGATCATGAACCCGAACTAAAAACACTTCTTGGTAACTTCTTCCCCGCCACCCCTTACTCGTTATCTCGTCTACGGGCGTACCATCCATGATGATCGAATCATTCTTCTATCTTGATCATGATGTCAGTTTTTGGATCACATGGCTATCCAATCTCGATCATCATGATGGCCAAAGCACCATGAAAAGTGATCATTGATCAAAGACAATTGAGTGAGGAGTTCTCTTTCGAATTTCTAAGACCTTTTGCAATAATATGTGTAAACGCGCGTGTGCGTCACATGCTGTCCCCCGGCAAATTCCTCCAAAGCCAATTAAAAATTTGAGGACGTTGACCTTCTCCCACACACACTCACACACACGTATTTCTTACAAAACACCCATTCATATGAAGCACATGGTACGTGTGTTGTGCAAAAGGCTGCATCTCATCCGCTTCGTGTAATGAGAAAAACCGACCCTGTACGTAGAGTTCCGCGGAATATCTTGTACACCATCTCAAACCCCACACACTGAAACAATACGTTACTCCTGGATACGTACCTCTTCCATAATCTTCTTTTAGCATATTGCCATTACACGAGCCCTATTACAACAAGCCAATGACACTGCAACAAAATCGATTGTAGCATGCTTTGGTAACCATTGGATACCTAATTAAGGTCCTGGTTACCAGGTAGCGGTGAATCAAACGACCAGCTGTTAGGGAAAAAAAGCACAATGGCTTGCTCAATAAAGAGGTTGTGATAAAGCGTGTGATAAGGAGGAAGCGCTGGTCTGCTTCAGCTACCTTAATGCGGACAAATGTTTTGTTTCGGAAGCATCCGGCAGACCAAAACCTTGTATCACCATCCACGTCCGTGCACATTTTTTGTGATAACCAACATTTGTCTCATCTTCTCAATTACAGTCAAGGACACTTGATATGAATAACGTGATCATTTAGAGGGGCGGGTTTACCATTTATTACTGGTAGTCATGATATCAAACAGCCAATAGATCAACGCTGTTCCTTGAACATGTGTTAGTCAACAACTCTCCTCACTTTGCAAGCAATGCTTGCATACAGTCAAAGGCCGCTATTAGCTATACGTGTACCATCAACTGCTTACGTATAGTTGATGGATGGGGTCATGAGGAACAAGGTCCAAGCTTTTGGAATTGAAGCGAGCGTAGTGTCATACCATCTCATCATGGCCATACTTGTGCATTAGTTGACCATAATTCAGAGATCTTAAGGGGTGCATATGATAACAAATGATTGAAAAAAAGCCGTCATAGTGGATGCATGGTAAAAGTGACACAAAGATGTTGCAGGGTTTATGAATGCCAATTCTTCTCGCAATTCTTCGAGGATGGTGGCACCTTGCATACCGATCACCTTTGTACAGCAAACATGATCGCCGTGTCACATCGCTGTGGATCTCAGAAACGGCATCTTGTATTTCGATTTACCATCATCACCAGGCATAACCATATCTCATGTACGTGTTCTTAGTGGGAGTGTTGTGTACTACTACTATTGAGACCCGAAAATGGAGATGTGCTATCCTCGTGCGATGCTATATCGTAATCCACGTTGCGTGGCAATGGTGACTTTATTTACTGACGGATCAATGATATCTAAGTCATAAATGAAAGGGACCTGCTAGTAGTAGTGGTATAACCAACCAATTATGATGTGGCAGGCTAAGTAATTTGCAATGCAACAAAGACCCAATTGAATTCTTTATCATTATAACATTGGCTAATATGAATGTGGGGGAGTGGTCATTGTATGGGTAATGAACGCGTGTGAACAAAGAACATCATCATGCAACTTGGCAACCATTCGTTGGATAGGGATGAAGGTAACACACCAATGGAAGGTGGCGACGGAGTGTGTTAAGCAATCCTTGGCCCCACCTTGAACTTGCACACCTACACCCCCTCTCCTACACGTCGATGTCAGGCCATTGGAAAACTTGGCTACTGTTATCGATAGCATTATTTCAACTCTCGAGCAATGTCATAGGCGATCCTCTGTATACCCCTCCTGGTAGCGATCCTAAACGCAAGGAACTCCTTTTACGCCGAGCCCTCAATGTACGCATGAATGCCCCCTCTACGCCGATTCCTTCACTACCAGCAACTAACGCCACTTTAACATAGTACGAGATATCTCAAACGACAGCCGATGACAGTAATACAGAACCCAAAGAAAAAGGTGTGTTTTTCATGCCGTCATTGAAAAACACACACACAACTTATATATCTCTCAGGTGAACTACTTTATCGAGTTGCCCTCCAACACCTTGAAGCGATCGATCAGTCATCAGCACCCTCTGCAGACGACACACGAAGGATAGACAACAATAACGACGACGAGCACAGCATTCTCGATACAGCATTAGCATCGATTCGCCTAGTATCACAAGCTATATCCACTCTATGGACGCCGCATGATGAAGAGACACACGTTGTCGATGTCACGGATCAACTCTTTGAGGATGAAGATCACCTACGACTGGCTATGACAATGCTTGAAAAAGCAGGAAACACATATGGCAATGATGATGCTTTGTTTCTCTTGGCCGAGATCAACTTTGTAAGCTATATTCGAGATGGATTGGATCATGATGATGGATAATAAGCACTCATCATTGTTATTATGTAGTTTGCAAAGTACAAGCATCCTCGTGATTATAAGACTGCATACAAGTATTATATGGATTTGGCAGCAGTTGGCAATGCAACAGCACAAGAGATGATTGGATTCATGTACGCTACTGGTATTGGTCATGCTGTGGAACGGGATCAGGCGCAGGCGCTTCTTTATCACACATTTGCTGCTCATGGTGGCGACACAGCAGCTGAAATGACATTGGGTTATCGGCATTTACTTGGCATTGGTACCGAACAGAAATGTGAGGATGCGGTCTATTACTATCAACGAGTAGCTGAGAAAGGTAGGACGGCAAAGGATTGGATTGTGTATCATTGTCTACATCTGGTCTAAAATTACATTAGCCATTCAACACTTTTTGTCTGGACCCCCTGGAGGACGCACACAACCCCCGCCCAAAGTACGATTGTCGGATGAAGCAGGTGGTGTTTATGGATATGGTGCAAGTGCTATGACAGACCGCAGACAAAGATCCACAGGTGCAGGCTCCGAGAGATCCGTTAGCATTGATGAAGTATTACAATATTGGCGTTATTTGGCCCAAACAAAAGGTGATTTTGAAGCACAGGTACGATGATGAGAATAATATACATGTATCGGGATCTTGTTTTCTTATACAATGTGATCAACTCTATCTAGCTTATGCTTGGCCAAATTTACTACCAAGGAACACGAAGCATTGCACAAGACTTTAAGGAAGCCTGGTCTTTCTTTTTCCAGGTGGCTGACAGCTTACCTTCCAGCATCACACAAGCCTTCATCAACAGCAAACGTGGTCGTGCCATTGGTCAAGCTGCTGGTTTCCTAGGTAAAATGTGCTGGCGGGGTGAAGGTGGTCCTGTCGATGTGGGAGCGGCCTACAATTGGTTTGTGCTTGGAGCCGACTTGAATGATTCCATCTCGCAAAATGGGCTTGGTATGATGTATCTTCATGGTATCCACGTGCCACAGGTAAGGGATGAGGATAAGGATGATGGATCATACAACTTGCCTTTATTTAACATTTTTCTTTTACAGAACCGTGATAAGGCGATTGAATATTTCAAGAATGCTGCCGCTCAGGATAATCCAGAAGCTCAAGTCAACCTTGCGATCGAGTACATCAAACATGATACGACATTGACACACGCCATTCGTTATTTCACACTTGCTGCTGAAGCAAAACACCCATTGGCTCAGTGGTACCTTGCAAAGCTTCATCAAAATGGTGTTGGTCTTCCCAAACAATGCCAGGTGGCAGTATCGGTAAGTAATTTATGCACAGTGCTCTCAACCGATTTGCTCACGAACAATTTCTTTTTTAGTATTACAAATCGATTGCTGAAAGGTGTGATTGGCTTCATCCGGTGGTTGAAACAGCTTATGCAGCATATGAAAAGGGTGATCGGGAGAGTGCGCTGCTGTACTATATGATTGCTGCCGAACATGGCTACGAGATTGCTCAATCGAATGTGGCGTACCTTTTGGATAATGGTATGTCATTGACTTTTATTTAAGGCTAAATTCATGAGCTAACCCTTCTTCTCATTTTGCAGACAAACGATTATTCAACATCAAACATCTGTTGGGGCTTGAAAAGACTATGGAAAGGGATCGCGACGCTGAAGAATATGCATTGATTTATTGGTCTCGATCAGCTAACCAAAACAACATCGATTCACGCGTCAAGATGGGTGACTATTACTTTCGAGGAATCGGTACAGAAGTCGACTACGAGAAAGCAGCAACATGTTATCGAATTGCAGCAGACATTGATCTATCACCGATGGCCATGTGGAACCTTGGATGGATGTATGAAAACGGTTTGGGTGTTACCAAGGACTTCCATCTTGCCAAGCGTGCTTATGACAATGCACTTTCCACCAATCCTGATGCCTATCTTCCCGTCAAATTATCATTGATCAAGCTATATCTACGCTATTATTGGGGCTGGATTACGCGCACTGAAACTGGTCAAGATTTGATGTATGATGACACTCGACGAGCATCCTCCAATGATGGCGATGGTGAAAGTGGAAACGTTGATGGCCCCGGAATCGCTGTAGACCATGAAGCACGTCGTCGAAAGGAAATTGAAGCGTACGAATACGAGCGTGCACACAGAGAGATTGGTGCTGAGGAAGAACTACGTCGCAAATACAGCAAGCATATGAAACGATTGGAACGTGAGGAAGATGATATGATGGATATGGGTGCTGGATACGATCGTGATCGATACTCGGATAACGAAGACGATGACGATGATGAGTATTCGGAAGAAGATGAATTAATCGAGAGCCTGATGATTCTTGGCTTGTGCATTCTTGTCGGATGGCTTGTTTATATGCGACAATTCCGTTTTGGAAACAACAATAACAACAATAACAACAATCCTGCAGCTGATAATACACGAGATCACTAAGCGTTGTCGCTCTATTATTCCATCCTCCTCCCCCTAAAATTCATAGCAACCACTCCTTTCAATAAACGCTCTTTTGTAATCGTACATCAAATCGCCATGTATACCACTCTTAAAACAAGTTGTCACACGTAGATAAAGCTCCAGGGCAGCTTATTACAGGATAGTACTTTATTGTAGATGCATGATAGCAAAGGGTTGAAGGTCTATACACGTGGTTGCGTTTGCATGATTCGCACGTGATGGTAGTTCGATAACTCAAGCCGGAATTTTGGCCAGCTGTCAAACCCACTCTTTCTCCTCCTTATGAATCGCGGCGCGTAAGTCCTTCAATGCATGCACCAGTGCTCCTCTAATGCAGATCGTTATCAAGATACTTCAAGGCAAAATATGGCAACAAAGGCTTTCGGGGCGGTGGCCGTGGCCAGAAACGATCTTGGGATCAGCAACAGCAACAAGAAGGTAAACTTTGAAATGAAGACGATACCACATGTACCATTGAACTTACTGTAATTGCAACTACAATAGGCTTCCACCACAACAAAGGCAACATTGAGGCATTTCTCAGGTCGATCGACGGACAAGGCTATGGGCGTTATCAATCACTTGAAAACCGTATGTTGGTCTACTACCATGCTACTTCTTCCATGACGCTGATGTATGATATGACATGTAGAGGCGTTTACTCATCCATTATACACGCTACGATTCGACAAAGTGCAAAAGGATCCATTCGCGCCACCGAGTCGTATGCGTATCTTTGCTAATCGAAGCATTGCTGGCTTTCCTGCAGATTTGTACGCCGATAAAGAGACGTAAGTATATTTCATATCCATCACATGAGACATCCTCCTCTTAACATGATGTATTATCTTAGATCCACAGCCACGAGCAATTACGTGCTTCGGCGAATGAGTGAGGAATTGGATAAAGTGCGCCGTTATACAAATGGTGGTGGATTCCGTGATATGAAAGGTGGCGCGCTTGATATATCAAAGCCTGGACAAGAGATCTTGGAACAAAATAGTATCCTCATCCATGAAGGCAATATTGAGGCACGTCTTACATTCGGTCTTCCTGGTCATGGTAATAATGACGGTCCCTCCAATCCAATGAGAGCGCTTGTTCATATGATTTACTCTAATAGGTCGAACCATTGCAAGTGAGCGCGCTATTGAGATGCTGGTGCACAAACTTCCAGGCATTGTCGAGAGATCTTTACTGTATCAAGCATTGGATCCTGACGACCTTCAAAACTTTGTCACATGCTATCGAGATCAAGAATCCTTGAGGAAGCAATTGAAGGCGCATGGTAAGTGTGAGATGCATGCTATAACGTCACCGCACACATTGATATGGTACCTGGATAGATCTAGTGGCCTTCATCCCTGATGGTGCTATCCTTCCTAGACAATCGGGTGTTACGGATTTGCCTATGGATGCCTCAAAAGCAGCTGCTTTCAGATCACCAGATTCACTCCGAACATCAATTACTTGTCAATCGGGAAAGAAGATCTCTGGAATGGGTATCAAACGTGGTGTGACAATGATCACGGTAAGTAATAAGAGAGATATGATATGTGTGTTGATCTGACAAACCATTGTGTGGATTAGGGCGGTGGCTATCACGTGAGTTTTGGACCATCATGGCAAAAGAGCCCGGAACTCAAACCATGATTTAGGGCAAGTCGACTTTGCTTTCTGCAATTGAGCGAGGAATCTACAATCATATACCAGGTAAGAGGCTATTGTATGAACCATTATCCATGTAGGCTAATCATGCAATCATAGGTGATGGCCGAGAATATCTTGTTTGTGATCCAAGCTTGACACGCATCCGAGCTGAAGATGGGTTAGTAGATCAGAAAATCTGGCTCATGTATGGAGACTAATGTTGAATTCAATGTATAGCCGCAGTGTTGAAGGAACCGATATCTCACCTTTCATCAACAATTTACCATTTGGCATCAATACGAAGAAATTTTCAACAGCCAACGCAAGTGGTAGCACATCGATGGCTGCCAATGTACAAGAGATGGTCGAGGTAGGAAGATTTATTCCAGCGGCAACTCTCAGTGATGGACTATAACCATGTTCTTATAAAGGTTGGTGCGCGAGCCATGATTTATGACGAAGACACTTGTGCCACCAATTTCATGATCCGTGACGAACGCATGCAGAAGATTGTACCAAAACGCAATGAGCCGATCACACCTCTTATCTACAAGATCCGCAAGCTTCATGAAGAAAAGGATATTTCGACCATCCTCGTTGTTGGCAGCTGTGGTGATTATGTGGATGTCTCTGACAACATTATTGAAATGCGCAATTACGAGCCAATGTAAGCAGTGAGATCTTTCATCCTGTCAACCTTAACTCATGGAAGCCCTCTCTATATTATAGTGATATCACCGATCATGCAAAAAAGATTGCTGCTCAATATCCAAGAAAGCTTGTCAATGAAGGGGGTAATTACTACTATACAATGGGTACTTTTTCAAGATCCAAAGCTAACATAATATATTGTCTTTGTCAGGAGATTCATATGGCAGCGTCAGCCAACGAAGACTGATGATCCCTGCTTATACCATCGAAAAGAGGTCTATCAAGACAATGCACCTTGTCCATTTCGGCAATCAATATGAGCTATCGCTCTCTTCATTGGAAAATTTGACTCAAAAGCATCAAACCCAGTGGATTGCAGCAGCCATTGCTTATTTGAAGGCTAGTCAGCAAACGAAGGAAGATATCAAGACGTTGAATCAGATGCTTGACGTATTGGAAAAGTCATTGGATGGTCTTGTGGTATCAGGAACCAAACCAAACACTCTCAGATCCCCCTTGGACGTTGTGTTGCAACCTCATGAAACAGTGCATGGTGGTTTTGCAAGACCTACACGCTATCAACTAGCCCAAGCCATTAATCGTCTTAGAGATGTAAAAGTGATGGAATAAAAGAATGTGCTCTGCGTAAACAAATATCCTGCGTTGATGCGTATAATCAAGTGACACTCTTCATTCATTATTGCAACACCTTCGTCAGCCAAGACTCTCGTTTTTCCTTTACCCTTTTTCCCTTTCTTCCCCTTTATTGATAAAAACGAACATGGTTTCATTGTGGTGGAGTCAAAGTGCTTTGGATGAGCAGATTGGTAATGGGTGTTGTTACATGCACGACATGGTAGGTGACTAACATACTTAAATGGCCACAACACATAGACAAAGCAACGTCCGAGCTCTTGCCTACCAATCAGGAAGACATTGCACTTCATTTTACTATCAGCGACCACATACGAAGCAAGAGGGTGAACAGCAAAGAAGCTATGCGTTCTCTTAAACGGAGGTTGCAACATAAAAACCCAAACGTGCAGTTGGCTGCTTTATCGGTGAGTGGGGGATACGCATACATAGAGGGTCGACGTTTATCTCATTCGTTGGTGAATAGCTTACCGATACGTGTGTCAAGAATGCTGGTGATGCGTTTGTCCGAGAGATTGCTAGTCGAGAATTCATGGAGACTCTTACTATGATTTTACACTCTGTAAGTGGCATTTATGATTTAAGGGGATCATTGGATTTACATTATACATAATAGCCGGATTGCAACTTGGACGTCAAGAATAAGATCCTTGCTGTCATCCAGACGTGGGCTATCGCTGCAAAGAACAATCCAAGCCTAAATTACCTGACCGACACCTACCACTTGCTTCAGCATGAACGATTTCAATTCCCGCCATTGAATGAACACGTTAATGCATTGCTCCTGGAAACCGCAGCAGTATGTTTGAATCTCATCATCACACTTTTAAGGATATTGACATGGATATCTTTAGCCACCTGAATGGACCGATTCGGATGTATGTGAACGTTGCAGAACACCATTTACATTCACCAACCGTAAAGTAAGTTTTATTGTCAATGAAGATTGGGAATGGTCATGGTGATGCTTATTATGCACAATGATGTAGCACCATTGCCGAAATTGTGGTGGCACTTTTTGTCAAGAATGCTCTTCCAAGAATCTACCCTTACCCCATTTGGCCATCGATGATCATGTCCGTGTATGCTATGGATGTTATATCAAGCTAAAGCTCTCTCGTGTTGCGAAAAAGGATCCTCTACCACAACAACAAGAGCCAACACCAAAGAGCACAACGCGGCATGAACAAACTCCTACGTCTGCTCCTGTTGTCAATGAATCGGAGGATAAGCAATTTGAGGAGGATCTGAAGCGAGCAATTGAGTTATCCAAAGCAGAGGCGGATCAGCATCATCATTATGCACCATCAGTGGCTGCTGTTGTCAAGGATACAGATTTGGGATCGACAACACAATATGGACTGGTAATGTTTATGATATGATGGTTTTTAATAAAGTTATTAACAAGGTGGTCTGCTTAGAATGGCATCAAGGAAGAGGCGGCAGAGGAGGAGGATCCAGAACTAGCAGCAGCCATTGCAGCTTCTTTACGTGACATGGAGGATGCACAAAAGACCGAACTCGAGTATTATAATCAGCAGAGCAGTTCACGAAGGACAAATATGGAAGAGCTCTCGAATACAGAAATGGACAACATTGAATTATTTGCGACGTTGATGGACCGAATGAGCGCGACTGCAGTAAACAACATCGGGACGGATGAGCAAATCAATCAACTCTACACCCAAATCGCGACCTTGCAACCAAAATTGGTTAAAAACCTTGATGATGCAATTCAGAGGCACAGTAAGTGTGAGCCATCTTTTCCCTAGTAGTCATCTCATTAACAATGGATCCACAGATAGGTATTCAATGTTGCACGAGAAATTGAACAATGCAGTGAGAACGTATGATCGACTACTTGAACAAAAGGTAGCAAGTTCCTATCAGCGCGTATCCAGCGCTTCATTACAGCAACAACAATATGGTGCACCACAACCGGTTTATAATGCTGCAGCTGCTCCACAGCAATACCCTGTTTATTCGCAAACGTCTTCTCAATCCTTGTATCCAAGTATGCAACCTCCCAATGGAGAAAGATCGTATCCTGGTCAACCATCGCCATACCAACCACCACCCTTTGCAACATCCCCACGACCAACAACATTATCACCCACTGCACCGTCTCACGGGAATCCCTTAAGCGGTATCCACCCTCCTACTTCGATGACTATACCCACGCAACAAGATCCAACACCATCCGCGGATCAACTTGAACAACGTCATTTTCCACAAACAGTTTCAGCTGTGGGAGACAATCATCACGTTTCGTACAACTATGATAACAATCTTGGACGATGGGTGACGACCAATGTGTCACAAATCCAGCAACAAATGCCGCCACCACCCGCGCCACAGCAAGTGATGAACCTTCCTCCTGCACCTACACATGTCCCTCAACAACAACAGCAACAGCAACAACAAGCTGCAAGACCACAAGTGGAGGAACCCTCATTGATTGAACTTTGAATATATAGCGTAGTCATAGCAACACAATGATCAATACATTCATCTCAATGGCTTGTTTTTATTTATTGAAGAATCATCATTGTCTTTTACGCAGCCTTGACAGCAGCTGATTGCTGCAAAAGGTGGTTGACAGCCATATCGCGATAGGATTCCAGATCAGGGACCTTGAGACCTACAACCTTTGCAGCATCATCCCATTGACGCACTTGCACCTTAAGTTTAAAGAGGGGATCTTGTTCAAATTCCTTCACTTGCTCAGGGGTAAATGGACCACCCTATTGCAGGTGAAAAAATATACATATCAGCATTGAAGGTTCATGTTGTAGTACCAAGATTACAATAGGGTACCTGGTATTTCAGGGACATTTTACTGGCAGCACTCAATCCGTCATAGTAAGTGGCATCTTTACCAGTTAAATAGCGTTTGACTGCCACATGGGCTTCCACTAATTGAGCAACCTTGTCTGAGAAACCAAGCCTGCGGAGATATTGACCACCAATGCGCTCGTGGCCAGTGACGCCCACACTGATTGATTGCTTCTCTCCACCTTTTTCAACAGCCGAGGGATCCAATTCTGCCAATGCCGATGCATCGCACATTATCCGCTTTTGTTCCTTTTCTATAGGAAATTGACCAATATCATGCAACAATGCACCTAGCACAGTTTCATCGTCAGCACCTAATATCATACAATAAAATCAATCAGCAACAACCTTCTTTACGAGTCAAAATGAATGCTATTATCGTACCTGCATCAACCGCTTGTGCTGCAGCTTGAAGACAATGATCAAGTTGGGAGATTTTTTCACCAATGTAATCATGCTTGTATCCATCCACAAGGACTTTGAATAAGTTGTCCACGATTTGGTTGCAAGCTTCAGGGGTTGCCATGATGATGATAGATGAGTAATAGTAAAGAAAGAAGATGCGTATGTAAAAGGATGAAGAGCCTAGACAAATAACCTTTTCTGGGGATTTTGGCTATCCTTGTACACACGCACACGAAATAAAGGATCCGCGGAATCACCGCAACTGACAGCATGTGCGCAGCTGATACGCCCAAAACAATGCACACGTGCGAAACCATGATGTCCATTCGTCTCTTGCACAATGATTCAATTGGATCTTTTTCATGTGGGAACATGACAAGGTTTGGATCGGGGGCTCCATAGACAGTAAGAGCACATACACACACAAAGCATATCGTGATGATGATGGGGTATGATAAGAACTAAAACGACAAAGTATGTTATGTTCATCGTCGCAATAATGGTACTACATAAACCCCCCTCCGCAAAAAGAAAACCCGTCCTTTACCTATATAAACAGCATAAACTGCTCGATTTGTGAAAGCGTGAAAAATACATAACAACAACCACCATGGTTTCTTCAATGATCCAAAACACCGAGCCATACAAGCTTACCGAGGAGCAACTCAAGTCCTATCATGAACAAGGCTTTCTTTTGATCGAGGACTTTTTCTCAGAGGAGGAACATGCTGAGCTAAACAGCTATTGTCAAACATTCAAGCAATGGGGTGAAGAAAAGGGCAAATGGATGCAATACTATGAAGTACATACAAAGACCGGCGACAAGCAACTATGCCGTACCGAGAACTTTACACCTTTCCATGATGGTATGCGTGGCTATGTCAAGAGCCAACGTCTTTTGGACGTGCTTCAAAAGTTGCATGGTGAAGAATATGTCCTCTTTAAGGAAAAAGTCAACTACAAGCTTCCTGGTGGTGGTGGTAAGTAATAATGAAATGAAAAGAAGGGTCAATGTGGACCCTGATCCTTTTTTCCCAGGGTTCCCTGCACACCAAGATGCACCTGCTTTTGTCCAATTTGGTCAATCCTCTCACATGACTGTTATGTTTACCATTGATCCTACCACTGACGCCAATGGATGTCTCGAGGTGGTACCTGGCTCGCATAAAAATACCTTTGAAAGAGGTATCCTTCCTCAAGAAAAGCACGATGGCTCCATTTCTGTGGATTGGTGCAAGCAACAACAATGGCTTCCTGTTCATTGTAAACCTGTAGGCATCACATGGTATCGGCTTAGCGCGTGCAGCACACAATGAATTCATTCTTGTTGCTTGGTTTTTATAGGGCTCTGTGTTGATTTTTGGTGCCTATTTGGCGCATCGATCGGGTGACAACAATACCGACCAATCTCGCATTGCGGTGTATTTGACATACAATGCAGCCCGTGAAGGTGATATGCGTGATCATTACTATAATGAAAAGCGCAAGCTCTTCCCACCTTCTTATGAACGTGAAGAGGGCAAGGATTATAGTAAGTTCTTTAGAAAATCATTCTCTTCTTGGCATACTAATATAGACTTCGTTTGTTTTATAAATAGGTGAAGGAGCTGTCATTTATAATCTTGCTACACCTATCAAATCATAGATGTGTGTATGTCATTGTTACCCTCTCTCTCTCTATCTCTTTATATGTATCATTCTTTGTTTCTATCATTATTATGCAATAAACAACTCCCCCTCCGGGACCCCCCAATTTTGAGAGTCGTCAATGTATGTGTGTGCTGCAATTCCAGCCACCTGCAGTTTTGTGTTCCGCCCCTTTTCTTGCTTTGCTTTGCCGACGTCCGACTCCTTACCTTCCTCCCTCATCCTTGTAAAGCAACTCCACCCCCTCTTATTCTTCTCTCCATCTCACGCATCCTACATCTCTTTGCATTACCTCATACCAACATGCTCATTAAGGAATTCCGTGTCATCAACAACTGTACTGAAGCCGAGTACAAGATCGGTAAGCTATAGGATCATCCATCATCTGCCATATTCCCCCATCGCTGCTCAGCATCCATCCTTGACAATGGTATTGATATGCTTGTGTTGTCAACTTCCAGGACAGCTTTACGCGACTGCCATGGCTTCCAAGGAACAAACTGGTGGTGGTGAAGGCGTCGAAGTCATCAAGAACGAGCCATATGAAAAGGAGAATGGTGAAAAGGGCCAATACACATACAAGATCTTTCGTCTAGCATCGCGTGTACCAGGTTTTGTGCGTGCTCTTGCTCCTGCTGGTGCCTTGGATCTTTATGAAGAGGTAATAAGGGGGGAGGATAATGGATGAAAAGGCTGTATTTCGTTGCCAGCTCACGACGCAAGGATGTCTTTTTTCGTATTAGGCATGGAACGCTTATCCCTACTGCAAAACAGGTAATTTATTGGGACATATTGGGTGGGTGGGTGGGTGTGTGAAATGGGGTCAGCAGACTCACATTCTTGGTTTCTTTCTTTTTATCTAGTTTTGAAGGTTTGACATCCCAAAGGAAAAATACACCGACAAGAGGGATCGGGAATACTGACATTATGCAACACTTTAGAATGGCTACATGAAGGACAACTTTTCGATCGTGTATGAAACTTTGCATGTCGACAACTCACGTGGCGAACGGGAGAATGCGCTCAACATCTCAGATGCTGATCTCAAGAAACGTGATGTCATTATGATTGATGTTGCCAACGACCCCATCGATCCCAAGGATTATAAGGCCCAAGAAGATCCCAAAATGGTGCATTCCTTCAAGACCGGTCGTGGCCCTCTTACTGAGAAGGATTGGACACAAAAGGTCGAGCCTGTCATGACTTGCTACAAGCTGGTGTACATTGAATTCAAGTGGTTTGGTCTTCAGGGCAAGGTGGAATCTTTCCTCGCCAAGACGATCCACAACTTATTCATCAAATTCCATAGGTAAGAGATGGGAGAGGGGAAAATGGGATGAGTCCACCAGGTGATTAACAGTGATGATGATGGTTGCACAATAGACAATTGTTTTGCTGGATGGATCAATGGTATGGCATGACAATCGATGATATCCGAGCATTAGAAGAACAAATCAAAAAGGATCTCGACGTGAAGCGAAATGAAGGCACCGTCCCTGGTTCCGGATCTGATTCAGCTAGCATTGCTGCAAGCAGCGTTCATACTGCAAATGGCAAACAATAAACGGGAAATGAAGCATGTGTTTTAGTTTTTGGCATAAATGGACTTGTTGTATATACACGGAAACAGTAAATACCCGAGAATTATGGTGAGAGAAAATGGAAGTTCTCCGAGTGGCTACAGGTCATTTGGTTGTACAAGCCAAGAACTTTGCTTTATAGGCCTATCACATTTTAGCACTATCCTTTCTCTCAAGTTGATGATTTGCTTATAGATTTGTATTCTAAATCCCATTATTTATTCATAAAGACATCTACATAATGAGCCCTATGGAAGATCATTGACTTGTTGACAACATGTAATAGCATCTGTGGTCCTCTAACGTGGTGGATCGATGGCCTAAAGTTGTGTTAGCGTCAACGCCTTCTCCTTAGAATACCCATGAGATGACAATGGTAGTGTCGAACTAGGCTTTGACGATACGTATAAATTGTTGTATGGTGTGAGCTTGAAAATGAGGTGGATGTTGCCACGTGAGTCGTTCAGGAGCTTTGATGATGAAGAAGAACGATAGCCGACATGCTTTGCATTGCTCTATCAGCTCCAGCTATGTTCTCATTAACCACCATCAACAGTGTATAGGGCGTATACGTACCTTGTGTTGCTGCATTATTCAAATCACGCATGATGAGAAATGGAGGGGGGGAGAGACAACCTGCTGTGACTTAAATCAGCCGTCTTTGGAGTACAATTGCCGTCCTTACTCCCTTGTCTGGAACAACACATACACACGTACTCAAATGACTATGCAACTCTATGTCTGGAGCCCAGCACTCGATGCACCCTCCATCGATCCGAAGTGTATTGTCGTCGAAGCCTATTTACGTCTGCTTGAAGTCAATTTCACCATTGTCTACGCCAACGATCCACAATGCAGTCCAACAGGTGAGAATGAGATTACGCGCTTATTCGATCCCCAAGCTTATCCTATGTAAATACAAAGGCGAGTTACCATTGCTGAAGGACGGCACAACATGGGTAGCAGGCGTGGATCGTATCTTAGCTCACTTGGCGAAGCGTGGACTTGACGGCAACCGTGAGTTGTCACCCGAGCAAAAGGCTGAATACCTTGCATACAGCGCCATGACAGAAGAAAAGCTGATGGATTGCATGGTAAGATGAGGATAGATCAAAAGGAATCAGCATGGATGTATTGATCATACACACATACAGCTCTTTACATGGTACGCCGACATGACCAACTTTGTCAAGAACATCCGACCAACCTATGCCAAGATCCTATCATTCCCTTCTCGGTACTTGGTTCCCATTCAATTGAAAAAGAACGCCAAGGCACGCCTTGCCAAATACAGCGTTGAGATCACGGATGATGACAAGGGTTTACCTCAAAACGAAGTGGAAGAAATGAAGGAATTACAACGCTCAGGATGGCACTATGTAAGTTACATTATGATCCATACGAGAGGAAAAATCACTTACATTCGACATTTAGATGTATCGGTTAGCAAGAGAAACATACGCCGTCCTTGATAGTCAATTAGCCGATAAGCCATTCATGTTTGGAGAAAGGTAAGTGGTATGGGCCTTGGTTTATAATATGCTTCAAGAAGATTAATCTATTTCGCCATAGACCCAGCACACTTGATTGCGTTGTATTCGGCTACTTGGCACTTCATCTTTATCCCAACCTGGCACATCGACGATTACAGCACATCTTGATCAACGAGTATCCTCGCTTAGCAAGCTATTGTGATCGTGTCAAGGAACGATTCTTTTCCACTGAGCAATCTCAATCAGAGGCAGCACAAGACATCCCATCATTATGGCGCACATTTTGCAATAATCCCCGTGCCTTTTTCAGCAATATCAAGCAAGATGCAATGGCCTACATGGGTAATAGCGATGCTCAAGATAAGCCCAAGAAATCAGATGCACAGCTCGAGTTTGAACGCAAGAGGATATGGTCCATTGCAGGAGGCGTCACATTTTTATTGGCTTATGTGATTTACAATGGCATTGTTAGTGTAGAGTTTGGTGATGAGGATGATGAGGACGTAGAATATGAGATGGATTATGAAGAAGATGAGATGTATGATGATGAAGAAGATGTTGATTTGTAGAATAAAAGGATACTAGATATTGAATGAATTGAGTGATGATACGGGGATATAAAAAGTCATCCCATCTCCTACAAGAGATAGCATGTTCTCCTAAAGCACTACATCAGCAGCAGCATGACCGTGGAGTGTACAAATCCAAAGTCAGCCCACCCCCACCCTGTTAAAGAGCAACGCGCTTGGGAGTAGGTGTTTCTCTACTCATCTTTCTCTCTCTTTTAACTTCATCTCATTGCAAATATGGTAAGACACGCTTGGCCATCATGACCCGCACGTCCACCTGACACGTTGTTCCATGCTAGTCATCCGGTGTTGCTGTCAACGATCAGTGCATTGAGCTCTACGAGGAGTTCAAGCTGCGCAAGACTCTCAAGTACATCATCTTCAAGTTGTCAGGTAAGTTGGGAAGAGCATGCATAAGGGACATGGTATTGATAGACTCAAAATGCTCTTTTTAGACGACGCCAAAGAAATCGTGGTTGAGAAGTCTGCCGAGACTGCCACTTATGATGATTTCCTCGGTTGTCTCCCTGCCGACGAGCCTCGTTATGCTGTCTATGACTTTGATTACGAAAAGCCTGGTGAAGGTCAAAGAAGCAAGATCACTTTTTACTCCTGGTATGCCATGATCCTCCCATCCCTCCCTTGTGGCTGTTATCTACCCCATCCCCTATTATCCTCCTCGTCCTCCTTCCATAAGCTAACTTGGATTGCTTGGTACTTAGGATCCCCGATACTTCCAAGGTCCGTCAAAAGATGTTGTACGCCTCCAGCAAAGACGCGTTGCGTAAAAAGTTGGTTGGCTTGGCAATTGAAATCCAGGGTACCGAGTTCAGCGAGGTAAATGAAAAAAAGAGCTTTACACACAAGGAGGATCGAGAAAGAGAGAGATAGGCAATGAGACTAACACTCTTTCATTCTCTAGGTAGACCACGAAGCTGTCTTGGAAAAGGCCAACCGTTCCGCTTAAAAGACATTCCCAAGTAGTGATCCACTCATATTACCCGTATTCTTTAAACAACGGCACGCTTTCTGCCAATCTATTTACTTGTATCATTGTGCATATTATAGTGTCATATGTTTTATCTGAGCTAAGCTTCGTGCGTGTGTGTGTGCGTATGTGCTGGCTTTGAAGTAATCAATGTGGCATGTTTGCTTGGCAACTCACGTGTGTGGATGTGTGTGTGTGTGTGTGTGCACTCTTTAAAACATGTGGCTCGGCTTGTAACTTCATAGCTGTATCAAGTGAGGTAGTGATTTGCTTCAAGGCATTCATGAATCATAACATTCGTTGTTGAACCTTGTATTTGGATCAGAGTTATAGCTGCTCGTGCACGAGAGAAGGTGACAATGGCTGCCAAAAGGTGACACAATACGGCTGCGGTGTATCGCTGCGGTTTGATGCTTGGCATACATAGATATCATACATGACAAAAGTCGCTATGATGATAGATCACTCGTGCATCAATGATAGATCTTGCGATACACGTTATTACTTTTCTAGAGCCAATGTGGGAACCACACACAGCAAAAGATCAATGAAGAAGATGATGGGGGGACGTTTCTTTGACACCAATGGAAATCCACCACATCCTATTTTTATGCCCAGACACCAGGTTTTCTTTTTGAGCCAACCGAATCCCTGGGTCACTACTATTATCACATACAGAAATTGACATGCCCCTGGAATGGCGAAGAGGTGATGTATATAAACATTTGAAATGGGATAAAGCACAAAAGGAGATCGAATGTATGCTATTTAACGAGTTGGTTGGTGGATGAGGTGTTTTCGGAAACAATGCAATGGCTCGGATGATAATGGTATGGTGGTGGTTGTTGGCGGTCGGCCAGCGATGCTAACCCATCAAGGGTTGGGGAGGATAGTCTGTTGTTTGCTGGAGTGTTTTGTTGATTTGAAGATGTGGATAGATTTGCTGTTTTAGAATGATCATCAACAAGTGGTGGTTGTCGTGGTGGTAAGGCATCGTTCATTAAATTGCTAAAATAGGATGTTGTTTGTTGAGGAGAGGACGCTGATGTTTTCATATCGTGATGCTGTGGTGGCGGTGAGACGAGTAAGGATGACGACGTGGTGAAAGCAGGTTCATTGTTGTGCAAATACCGGTGTTCAGGTGCTGGTGAATTTGGTTGTTGGTGGTGGGTAAAACGTTCAAGTGATGGAGAACTTGCTTGCTGTTGGTAATGGTGGTGTGTAACAGCGGAGCGCATAAGCTCGAAATCGTGGTCGGCTTCCTGTTCTGATAAAGGAACAACTACTGAATGTAAAGGAAAAGAGTTAAGGATCAAGCCACATGCAGCTTTTCATGTAAATGTGAAGCATGTTTAGGGTCTAAAAGGATATCAAGCCTAGAAGGGCGATGATGGGGTATCCAATCTGCTACGTGCTGGTCATCAAGCGTATTATCTAATACGTCAAGAGGAGTAAATAATGTTTAGTACCAAGCATGACAAGGAGAAACAAACATTATACATACTTGATTGTCGATTGTGGGAATAATACTCCTGCTCAAGAGCGTTGATTTTCTGCTGCACGTGTTCTATCATTCGTCGACGCAATCCCTTTTTCTGTAGCTGAAAGTGGTCATTGGCTGATTTACGTGCTGCTTCCATGATAGCTGTCTGATTGCGCATGGCATGCTGATATTGGGCTTCTCCCACCTTAAGCCTGTGGATACGTTTTTCTTCGATCTCTTCAATCAGCTTCAAATACTCGGGATGGTTGCCTTCTTTGACAGCCTTTTCTAATCGGTCCAACTCGGCAAGCCTAACATGTGTCAATAATAAATAAAAACAGACTTTGATGATGAAGATGAAGATCAACGCCATCTTACTTTTCTTTTGCTTCAGCCTTTCTTTGAGCTCTTCTTGCTTCGCGAGTTTCCTTTGTCATCCGTTGACCTGATTGTCGAGTTTCCTTTGTTATCCTTTGATTGGTGTGTCGGGTTTCCTTGTCATCTCGCACAGCGGCAGCCTTATTGCTTGTAGAATTTGGTTTAGACCGCTTAGTCTTTTGGTAGTCGCTTTCGGATGATCCCTTGTCAGCGATGGTGGGTGTGCTTGTGCTGCGTAATGCTCGTTTACGGGTATTGGTTGCCTTCCCAAATGATTCCTCAGGTATCTCGTTTTGATTGTGATGGGATGTTGATTCGGCTGATTGTGAGCGCGTTACTCTCGTGCTGACATCAGAGGGGGAGGATCCATTGCTCTCGATATTCTCACTAGTGGATGGTGGTGTATCATTGATCATGTCTTCAGATGATTGATGTTTTGCTTGGTCCACGGCAACAGCAGGTAATGGTTGTTCCGAAAGGGAAGATGGTTGCTTGTTAGCGGTTGCCACAGAGCGACTAGCTCGTCTTGTAAGCATGCGACCCACTGAAGTTGTGTCGTCTGACATAGTTGTAGCCTTGACTTGCGACATTGCAAACGTGGTGATTCGTACGAGTGGGGGTTGTGTAGAGTGAAAGCAATATGTGTTAGAGTGGGTGTAAGCTATGTGACAAAAAGAGGGAAAAGGAGTGAACACAAGCAGCGAATTGCAACGCCGAAAGAAAAAAAAGGGCCGGTGCTGCTGTTGTTGCCTGCTATTGCTTGTGTGTGTGTGTGTGTGTGTGTGTGTGTGGTTGATGGGGTCACCAGGCGAAACCACCCAGCATTATGCTCCTACTCCTTCCCCATACACCAATCAATCCATCCTAGTCGTCATTACCATATCATCTTTTCTTACTTCATTTGCTATCCTGCTGTCATACTTTTTGTGTTTGATGCAACCAAAAGGGGGGTCGAGGATCTGCAGAAAACAAACGATGCGACATGCATCAACCAGCCATGCACGTACCTCTCAGAGTCATACACACATACACACGTACCCATCACTTTTATTGACCATTGTATGATGATGAAGATAGCCATGTCACACATCATGTGTATCGGTGGTGGCTCGTGTGCTAGTTTATGGTTTATGGTGACACGCCAAACCATAGTGGAGAGGGATTTTGATAGTGGCACACGCAATCCTATGATCCATTTAATGGATATGCATGTGTTGATTGCCCCTTTCTTCTTACATGCAAGATCAGTAATAAAGAATTCACAGGATTTTTCAAGATAGAAACGGCTCGTGGCTGCTATGGTTACACATACTAGCCAATCAATCAATCTCAGGTTTAAAAATGCTCAACGCATGTTGGCACGTGTCCATTTATGTTCCACATTCACCAGATCCCGTCGTCCGTCATCATTGAGATCCTTGGGCATTTGCCTGGCAACCATCCGAACCAGATATCGATTCACCGGACAACGAAAAATGATGCCTGACACAGTGACCTACTATAACAAACCATCAATGGCATCCAATTAGCTATGCATAAGGGTACTAGTTGATATAGGAACAACAATGGCACCATCATGTTGTACGTTGAGTATGGTGTGCCAAAAAGTCATATACTGTATCATGGATTCTAAAACAATGAAAGCCGCATTCCTCTACTAGCCATTGTCAATAACATGCCAATAATGGTAAAACCCGGTTGCTACGTTCTTTATTCGTTTCATTATCCACCTTATTCATGGGAGATTACAAGTGAGAACCAGCCCGTTATCGATTGCAGTATGCAAGACATCATAATCCTTTTAATCAATGCATGTGTAATGTCTCTAGTGTACTAGGTATTTCTGCTACCATGGCTATTTCATGCAACGCTTATTGACGCCTCTTGAAATTGTTGGCTCGCTTCTCTTGTTTGTTGTACCTGCTTTGCTTCCATTCCACGTTCCCACCAATGTCCACCACGTCCAATGAGTTCAAGCTTCCTTCAATACACAGCTTCCCACCATTCTTCACGTACGTGTATTCAATGCTGCTGGCTCGTCAGGGATACTGATACTCATCAAAAGACGACAACCGACCGAGCAAACATGGGAAAGCCAAGTCGCTCAATGGACCGATCTCATCATGAGCTATTGCCGCCACCATCGTATTTTTCGCATCGACCTCCATGAAGTTACTGTTCCTGGTGGTTCCAAGCTGTTTGAAAACGAGCAGATAAAACGTGAGTGCTTGCAAGGTCCAATTTGGTGATGATGATGATGATGATGGTGTCATTAACTACCCTACTCGACGTTGTAGGACGTCTATCGTTTGAAACTTTACAAGAGATCATTGATGATATGGTACAAAAAGGTAATGCCGAGTGGGAAGGTGGTGCCAAGGGTACGAAATCACAAGCAGTTATCTATTGGCGTAAACCGGATGATTGGGCGAACTTGATATGGACTTGGGTATGCATGCATCTCATCTTTTATTACTTGCTTTTCACACACACACACATACTCACGTTGTATATATATATACATAGGTAAACCAATCGGGTATGAACAATGACATTTTGACCTTGCATGAAATTGCCCATGGAGATTTGGTAGAGGATCAAGGTAAGCAAGAGAGAAGGATTTAGACAAATGGGGCAGCCATACCTAACGATGATCCATCCTATTTTGCAGCATTCTATGAACTCGATCCATTCATCCTAAACAAGGCAATGAACATTCTAGCCAAGCGTGGTGTGGCACAACTTTTCAAAGGATCTTCGGATGATGATAGCATGGGTGTCAAGTTCTTTAGCTCAACTTAGAAGAATTGAATGTTGGATTAAACACGTGGCATTGACATATACACACACATTAGCGAATGAGATTGAGGAATATTCCAGAGATGAACTAGCATTTCATTTATGTATACATTTGGAAGCAATCAAAGTAAAGAAAAAAGAGCAAACGATATATGTATGGACAAACAAATGTGATTACGAAAAGGTTTCTGTACAAAGAGAAGACACACTAGAGAATGTTGATAGTAGGTGTGTATAGGGGAATGTGTTGATCGAGCGAGAGAAGAATGCGATTGTGTTGTTTGTGTAAAGTGGTTGTTTTACTTGGAGCTGGTGTACTTGGTGACAGCCTTGGTACCTTCGGAGACGGCGTGCTTGGCCAATTCACCAGGAAGGATAAGACGAACAGCGGTTTGGATCTCACGGGAAGAGATGGTGGAACGCTTGTTGTAGGCAGCAAGCTTGGAAGCTTCGGAGGCGATACGCTCGAAAATGTCATTGACAAAGGAGTTGAGGATGGACATGGCCTTGTTGGAGATACCAGTGTCAGGGTGAACTTGCTTCAAGACACGGTAGATGTAGGAGGAGTAGGTTTCCTTGCGAGTGACCTTGCGCTTCTTGTCACCAGAAGCCTTAACCTTCTTCTCGGTAGTCTTAGCAGGGGCTTTGCCAGCAGGAGCGTCTTTGGGAGCCATGAGTGATAATGTGTGTACGTGTGTGAAAAAAGTAAAGTAGGGAGAAGAGTGCCAAAGTAGCTGGTTTTTATAGGCTCACGAGAAAAATGTCTCAAAAACTCCGCATTTGCAGGGTGCACGTGGTATCGCGTTACCCGCTCACTCACACCTTGGCATACCCATCTTTTTTGCCATCGTGATTCCACGCGGTTAACACATACACTTGACGCGATACAAGGCGTGATAACACGCAAATACGCGCTATACTATCCATTGACGCTCTTTTGCTTTTTTGAAAAAAAGTAAAAAAATAACGCGTACGTACGCGTATCATGGGAAAGGGGGTTGCGGAGGATAAATACCTGGCAAGTATAAAAGGCACAATGCTCGTGCCACTATCCCTACTTTTTCACTTTTACATTTTCTCAATCACCCACAACTTTATATATCATCATCATGTCTGGAGGCAAGTCTGGAGGCAAATCTGCTGCTGGCGCCAAGTCGCAAACCCGTTCCGCTAAGGCCGGTCTTCAATTCCCTGTTGGTCGTATCCATCGTCTCTTGCGTCGTGGCAACTATGCTCAACGTGTTGGTGCTGGTGCTCCCGTTTACCTTGCTGCCGTTCTTGAATACTTGACTGCTGAAATTCTCGAATTGGCTGGTAACGCTGCCCGTGATAACAAAAAGTCCCGTATCATCCCCCGCCACTTGCAATTGGCCATCCGCAACGATGAAGAATTGAACAAGCTCCTTGGTCACGTTACTATTGCTCAAGGTGGTGTCCTTCCCAACATCCACTCCAGCTTGTTGCCTACCAAGACCAAGAAGGCTGGTGCTTCCCAAGAGCTGTAAATTGGTTCTCTTTTCTTTTTGTCATTTTCATATCCTTCCCCCTTTTCAGCAATACATACTCTCACACATGAGCACACGCACGCATCCATATTCCATTCACATATCACCACCCGTCGTCTTTTCAATCCCGTTTAGTCATTTTTCTTTCCAAATATTGTACAACATGCTCATCTTTAGCTCTTGATCTTTGCATCTTGTAAATACTGATTGGTTTTGCGTTGAGCGAAATACAAATTTTTTTGATAACATACATACGATGATGCTTGTTCTATTGATGGGCTGCAATGATGAATGGTGTTTTTGTATGGGTTAGTGCATAAGGCTTTTATGGTCATGGTCATCCATTTTCATCTAGAACGAAAACCAAAATGCGATTCAAGTCGTTGGTTCATTGTGTATCCAAGGGGGGGATAGTATAATGACCTACTTATTCATTGTCAAGCATTCCCTTGAGTAGGCATAATAAGTTCAGCTGACAATAGCACACGCAATGAAGCAATCCTTTGCCACTTTGCAACTACCAAATGCTACGTGCTTTGATGTTTCCCGTTCCCTGATCCTAAGCTCACTCCCAAAAAATCATTCAAGTTACATCAAAGACATAGACAAGCGACAAAGAAATGTGTTTTAAAGCACTTTGTTATTGATGAAAGCAGACGCTATATACAATTTTGCAAATGGGAAGGTAAGGAATTATCGTCTGTGGTGTGTATACATGTCGAATAATATGGATAATAGCGAGACGTGAGGAAAACGTAAACATTGGGGAGATTGTTGGGAGGTTTGACGAGTATGTGGATGCTGTGTGGATAGGTGTTTAACCGCCAAAACCATAAAGGGTGCGGCCTTGACGCTTGAGGGCATAGACGACATCGAGGGAGGTGACGGTCTTACGCTTGGCGTGTTCAGTGTAGGTGACAGCATCACGGATAACGTTTTCAAGGAAGACCTTAAGAACACCACGAGTCTCCTCATAGATCAAACCAGAGATACGCTTGACACCACCACGGCGAGCAAGACGACGAATAGCAGGCTTGGTAATACCTTGGATGTTGTCACGCAAGATCTTACGATGACGCTTGGCACCACCTTTACCGAGACCTTTACCACCTTTACCGCGACCAGTCATTGTTGATGTTATAGATTGAAGGAGAAAAAAGAAGAAAGACCACACGTTGCACGCATTGGTCACGCCCTTTTATAGCTGTGTCTGAATTTGTACAGCAGCAGCACCGCAAGAGATGTAGTAGCGCGTCGCCATTTTTTTTTCTATTCACGCTTTTCCAACCTCCTATTTTTGAGCGCGTTTGAATATCGCGATACATCTACACCCAATCCTTTTGACCATTTACATGGATGATACTTGCACAACAAGCAAAATAGATGGTACGGGTATCTTCGTAATGACCCCAATGATTACAGCAGTGATAGGTAGAATGCATGAGAATGATGATTTTATTGTATTGATCAACATGTAAAGGTACGCGATACGTGCATTATGGATTTCAAATTGGGCGTAATTGCAAAAGATGAGGAGGCGCGTAACGCGTGTTGAGTTGTGCAACGTTACTCCGCGATGTCGCGTGCGTGCAAAATGAAGGTTACACGCCGTTATAAAGCGCCCGCTTTTCTTTGTCCTCTTTTGATTCCACTTTTTCTTTTCCTTCACATTTTTCAAACATGGCTCGTACCAAGCAAACAGCTCGCAAGTCCACTGGTGGTAAGGCTCCCCGTAAGCAACTCGCTACCAAGGCTGCTCGTAAGTCCGCACCTTCCACTGGTGGTGTCAAGAAGCCCCATCGCTACAGACCTGGCACTGTCGCCCTTCGTGAAATTCGCCGTTACCAAAAGTCCACTGAACTCTTGATTCGCAAATTGCCTTTCCAACGTCTTGTTCGTGAAATTGCTCAAGACTTCAAGACCGATTTGCGCTTCCAATCGTCCGCCATTGGTGCATTGCAAGAAGCCTCTGAAGCCTACCTTGTTTCCCTCTTTGAAGACACCAACTTGGCTGCCATCCACGCTAAGCGTGTCACCATCCAACCCAAGGATATCCAATTGGCTCGTCGTCTCCGTGGTGAACGCTCTTAAACACAACACACACACACACACACGCAACACATACAACACACACATGTCATTCACTTGATCCATCCTTCCAATCACCTATCAGTCATTTGAGCAACCCCCGTTTTACTCTTCAATAGCTTCATCCTCATGTATACATTTTCCTTCCTGTAAATCTGCAATACAACGTTATATATCATAGCAACACAATTGGAAGTCGTTTGGTTTTATTATGGATTCTATTATGGTTGGCAAGGAGATATGGGAATGAGATTAGCGCGCATAAACTATCATGGCATAGTGAGGGTATATAGGAGTAGCATAATGATGATCAACATGTTGGCATAAATACAATGCTGGAAGATGCAAGATGATGAATGAGAATGATGCTCTATGATAAACTGGTACAGCTGTCAACTGTTTTTTGTGAAAGGATGTCTTCTTCATAGGATGGCAAGTGATAGCTCTCATATGCCGGTAAGCAATCCTTGTATTCGGCGGTAGATACGAATTCAGGTACTGGCAATGGTGGTAATGAGCTGTCTGATGATCTATCAAAAACATCTTTGAAATCGGTGTAGGGTGCAAGACCACTCGGGCCACGGATCCCATAACCGAGGGTGCCGATTTGTATCGGGATGTCGTCAAAGGTCACAGCTGCCGTTGACGGTTTGAGTAGTCGAGAAAGTAAACCAGTATTCTTTTGCTGAGCAATGTTTGCCTCCCGAGGATATACCTTGATGCATAATGAGTATTGAATAGTCATGAGGCGCCCATATGAAACGGAAGGAACAAGATCCGAAGGGATGACCAATTCCTCATCCGTTGCCTCGGCTACAATCGTTGTGATCATGTGTCTTTTGTTGGTATCGCGTGTGCTGATGGTCGACCGCAGTAATGCCATTTGATAGCTGCATTCGGTTGGGGACACAATGCGTGGCGTAATGCAATCACCTGCCACAAAAGTCAATGACTCTAATCCAACCCGGATTATTGGCCCAATGTTATTATTGCCATTGCCACTGCCGCTTGATGATGACGATGGACCGGGCCATGTTTTAGCTATCACATAGGGTTGCGTAAGCTTGGTGGTACGAGTCTCGATCAATGGCGTGTACGATAATGGACATTCTGCCGCAGCAAGTTGCTTGTCATCGCGTGTTTCTAAATAGGCTTCCAATCGAAACTTGCAGCAGTACACGTTCTTAATAAGCATGGAAGGAGGAAATTGCACCAATGGCATTTGGATTGTAAATGGAAAATCCTGAACACGGCCATGGCTATCTTGATAGGCACCTGTTTTACAACGCCATAGGATACGTTGCGTTCCAAAAAACTGTTGACGTTTGTATTTGGACCCATTGTTGTTGGGCTTCGATAACGCAAGCGCTTCGGATGCATGAAAAAGGACACGTAAGCGTTCGATCTTTTCTTTGAGCGGCTGTTCTGGTAATTCGACTCGAACGTATCCTGAAGTTGTTGTAGTATACGGTGTTACTAATAAACGTATGCAAATGCAAACAGCATCCATCACGCATTCGTACCTTGAAAAGCTGATCCAGGACCATACACAGGTTCACCATCAATGGTCCACCCGAATTCTGGTAATAAGTGTATGGATATCTTAATTTGATCTGAGAAAAGTGACATTTGTATGCAATGAGGTAAAGAGGTGATACGCTGCGCAACTTGCCCTATTTAAACTAGAGATCAAAATGCCAGCAGTGCTTGTCGCCAAGTAAGGACATGCTCTTGTCTCAACTTGGCACAAAAAAGATCGCCAGTGGGATCAGCTGAATAGGACTACAACCCGGGGAAAATTCTTGAGCCAAGCTCTAGAATCAAGTTGTGTGTTACAGTGACCCATGTATAGGGAAATCATCATAGCAATAACCTGTTTTCAGCCAAAAGGCATAAAGTATAAAGCACATCAAAGCATGCTGAGGCACAATTAAACTTTGTCCCTGGTATGCAGCACTTGAAGTAATATGCAGGGTGTGCATAATTACTGATAATGTCAATAGGCCTTGGCAGCTTGCTTGGCATCACCATCAAGAATGAAAAAGATTGTCATCATCATCTCAGGTAACACAAAAAGATTTCCCCACATGGGTGACTCAGCTGCCAATGGCCCATGCTCTTTCATTGTGTGTTGCAAATGACGTTGTTAGCTGCCTTTAGCTCCTCGATCTAGGAAGACTTAGCACTGACGCAAATTAAGCCTTGCCCCTTACAGTGATATTTTTGGTCATCCACACTCATGGGTAATCAGTAAAAAAGCCATCTCGAGTGTATCCATGATGCATGAATGCTCGCCATGATATTTTTGGTGATCCATATCCATGGTGTTAAGTAATCAATGTATGCAGCGAGCATGATGCATGAATAGTAGTTGTCGATCAATGACCGGCTCAATTCATCCCACTGGTCAACCGCTTTTAAGGAGCACTTTTGAACATGACATCGCATGAGCTCAACATTAACCAGGTATTTACAGCGATTGAGCAAAGACGTGTATAAGCTGTGCTACATCACATGATGCAGGATGACACAGATGCCAATAAAGTGTCCATCTCCGGAGGGCCGGATTTTGTTTAACTTATTTAGTAGTTGTCGAATAGCTAAAGCCATAAACATGCCTTTGCCATGTTGTGCATAAAGCATACGCTGGGATAAGCAATAAAATGGATATTGCTGGTGAGCTATGAATAGGAATTATTGCTTATTACCATTGTTGTACTAAGCTGTTGAAAAAGTTGATGCACGCATTGCCTCATATTCACCCGTGCTTTGTTAGCAGCACGTCTTGTCAATCGAACAATGCTTATTACTCTACTACTAAAAATTCGATGACCATTGAAAAGTACAACCCTTGTCATTGTTGTCATCTCATATTTGAGGCATGCTGTATGGTAGTCCATGCTATCCATTTACTCCCACCTAAGCACAAAAGCTATTACAGCAGGTGTCACGTCAAGGAAACGATGCTCACATCATGCATACGTATTTGATTGCATTATACTTTTGGAATTTCCATGGATTTAAATGGGCATTGATGTTAGCTTATAGCACCACCATCATCCACTGATGACCAGGACACCTTGTTATGATACGTTTGCCTAATAATAAGGAGCTATATATGCAACGTTCATGGTGCTCAGAAAATGATGGTAGCTATCGGTGCAACGTACTAATCAATGAGCCATCATTTAAAGGTTGCAGCAGTAAGAGATACTTCTTTAGCTTTCATCCGGTAAATCATTATTGATGTTGTTGCGTTGTATAGCTCTCTAGCAAAAACATGTAAGACATAAGGACGTCGTTACTATGGTCGGTTTGACTAGGGTCCAGGGACGTATAAAGGTACCTAATGTTCGAGCTACAAGACGCCTAGTACCTGGTATTGCTAAAAAGAATAGGATGTAAGAAAAAATGGACCAAATCACGTGATTTCAACGACAAAAACATCAAAAATCAAGTGTATCCTTGATCATTCAGGTCAAGTAAACAAGCTAATGCCTACTACTGGAATCGAACCAGTGACCTTCCGCTTACTAGGCGGACGCTCTGCCAACTGAGCCAAGCAGGCCTGGCTACGAAATCGCCAGGAACATGATAGGCGGGTCAACTTCCGTATTTGGAAGGTGATTCAATCCCTTTCGCAAAAATTTCAGGATGTAGCGGAGCATTTGCTCAATTCAAAAATGAAAACGTGGATGTTTTATGGAGGGAGAGTAGTATGCAATTTCAAGTCAAAGGCGAATTTACACTTTTTACTTCCGGTGGAAGGGGTGTGTTAGTGGCCAAGCATCGTTATCTCCGACATGGATTGAGTCAATGCACATGTGCCAAGTCCATCATCATCTAGGCTCACCTCGATGCTAGGTTACTATACAGTCGTCTTATTTATCGAGAATCACTTTATCGTATTATCGCATGTATACACGAACACACACACACCTCAATTCGTATCAAGGAGTCATTATGAATGATAAAGAAAAGGGCATCATGTTACAGCATATGCAATATATGATACATTTTGTTTATGGTATAATTATGTACGTGTATGATCTACCAAACGGGGCATGCCATGACCTTGTCGATCACCTTGTTGAACACTTTACGTTGCTCTGCCATTTCATCCAAGGGCTTGAGTGCGATACCAAGGAGGATGGGTCGTTTCTCATGTGGATTCATCGCTGCCACTGCTTGTGCAATAGACGACGCGTATAGCATGTACAAGTCGCTTTGGGGTCCAGACGACTCACCAAATAAAAACTGTGAAGTGGTGGGAACTGAAGAAGGGTTCGTGGCGAGATGGGGTGCAATGTCGACGGTGGTTCGAATCTATAGCAAAGCAAGTAATGAGCATGTGTGTGTGTGTGTGTGTGTCCCATGGGGAGGGTGTTCATTGTACCAAACTGCCAATTCTGCCAAATTGAGTCACCACAATAAAGATCTTGTCAGCGAATCCAGTAACAAGGACTTCAGTATGAACACCATCAATATCACAAGCGGCTTGTTTGTTTGTCAAGGGAAATTGGACTTGTTCGTCTGTTGAAGCCATTTGGTACAAGAAGATCAAGAATGTATTTGTAGATTAAGCGGAGAAAGGAATCAAGTTGTCAATATTGTTGTATACAGAGGGGGGACTATTCTAATCTAATTAAGCATCGTAGGCGAGGATCGTTGACAACCATTTCTCAACCTCTTGAACATCCATCTTTTTGCGTGCCGCGTAATCATTGATTTGATCCTTGTCAACCTTGCCAACAGCAAAATACTTGCTCTGCTCGTGTGCAAAGTACAAACCACTAACACTAGCAGCAGGCTCCATAGCTAATGAATCGGTAAGGGTCATGCCGGTCTTTTCTGCAATGTCTCCAAGCTCCCACATGGTCTTCTTTTCAGTGTGATCAGGCTGTGAAGGATAACCAGGAGCAGGACGAATACCCTGATAGCGTACGGCAAACATCTCTGCAGCCGAAATGTTTTCTTCACTTGCATAGCCCCATTCAGTCTTGCGTACTTCCTCGTGCATCAATTCTGCAAAAGCTTCGGCGAAACGATCAGCAAGTGCCTTGGCCATAATGCTCGAATAGTCATCCTGATCCTTTTCAAACTTGGCAACCAATTCGTCACATCCAAATCCACCGCTCACAGCAAACATGCCAATATAATCAGGGATACCCTTTGGTGCCACAAAATCAGAAAGACAATAGTAGGGCTCATCGGTCTCCTTTTCAGATTGTTGTCGAAGACCATAAAACACAGCCTTGACCTTTTCACGCGAGTCGTCCTCGTATACTTCAATGTCATCGCCAACGCTATTAGCGGGATAGAAACCAAGAAGACCCTTTGCTTTGAATAATTTCTTGGATACAATCTCCTTGAGCATCTTTTGTGCGTCATCAAAGACTCGTTTGGCTTCAGGACCAACATTCTCATCATCAAAGATCTTTGGATAACCACGGTTGGGATAGCGACCACGAAGCTGGAAGACTTGGAAGAATGGATTCCAATCAATGCGAGGAAGTAATTGTTCAAGTGGCAAGTCGTCATACACCTTGGTGCCAAGGAAGGTTGGTTTAGCTGGTGGTGGATGAAGGCCCCAATCAATCTTGAATCCCTTTTCACGAGCAGCTTCGATGGTCAATAAACGCTTGTCTTCAAGGCCTTCATAGTATTCTTCACGCAACTCCTCATATTCTTCACGAATGTCTTCAGCAAAGTCTTCACGTTGATTGTCATCAATGAGAGCAGCAGCAACAGGTACGCTACGAGAAGCATCCAACACATAGACCACGGGTGCGCTGTATTGTGGGGCAATCTTGACAGCTGTATGCATTTTGCTGGTTGTGGCACCACCAATCATGATGGGGATATTGAGACCCGCCTTTTGGAATTCCTTTGCATTGTTCACCATTTCTTCCAATGAAGGCGTGATGAGACCAGACATGCCGACAATATCCGCCTTTTCCTCAATAGCTGCTTTGATAATCTTGTCGACTGGCACCATGACACCAAGATCAACCACGCGATAATTGTTACAGCCGAGCACAACACCAGTAATGTTTTTGCCAATGTCATGCACATCACCCTTCACAGTGGCCATAATGATAGTACCATTGCCCTTCATCTCCGTAGCACCTGTACGAGCCATCTCCTCCTCCTTTTCAATCTTGATGAATTCGACTAAATGGGCAACAGCCTTTTTCATGACACTAAGATTTCAAATATTCATATTAGCGTCTTGATGTTTGATAATGCATTTGTAACGTACCGAGCAGAACGAATGACCTGAGGCAAAAACATTTTGCCTTTACCAAAGAGATCACCGACGACATTCATACCATCCATCAAGGGTCCTTCAATGACATTGAGAGCACGTGGATATTTTTCCTTGTTTTGACGAGCTTCCTCAGTATCTTCAAGAATGTACTTCATGATACCCTTGACAAGTGCATGGGAGATACGATCATTCACAGCCCATGTACGCCATTCTTCTTCTTCATCATCCTTTTTGGCGTCCTTTGAATGTGCCTTGGCATACTCGAGAAGCTTTTCAGTCACATCAGGGTCTCGGTTCCATACAGCGTCTTCACAAAGTTGCAACAAGTCCTTGGGGATATCATCGTACACGGTCAAGAAACCAGCGTTCACGATACCCATATCCATGCCAGCCTTGACGGTGTGGAACAAAAAGACTGAGTGCATAGCTTCACGGACCTTGTCCATACCACGGAAAGCAAATGACAAGTTGGATACACCACCACTGATCTTGGCACCAGGAAGTCTCTCCTTGATCATGCGACATGCTTCAATAAATTCAACAGCATAATTGTTGTGCTCCTCTAAAAAGGGAATCTTAATTAATTACCCATACTCAATGTACAAGTTGTCAAGAGCTTACCCATGCCGGTGGCAATCGTCAAAATGTTGGGATCAAAGATGATATCATAGGGATTGAAGCTAATGATAGAATAATAGTAATTAGAGTGGAGTAGTAGTACAGCAAGTATGAATAATACGTACCCAACTTTGTCAACGAGGATGCGATACGAACGAGTACAAATCTCAACCTTGCGATCTTTGTCAACTGCTTGACCAGTTTCATCAAACTAAAGTGTGTTGAACATTAGTGTACTGTAAATAAAGCATGTGATGTGTGTTGAACACCCACAGCCATGACCACCACGGCAGCACCAAAACGCTTGATGGTTCGTGCTTTGTTAATGAAATCTTCTTCGCCTTCCTTGAGTGAGATGGAATTGACAATGCATTTGCCTTGAGCACACTTGAGACCAGCTTCAATCACACTGAATTTGGATGAATCCACCATAAGAGGAACACGTGCACAATCTGGATCCGAAGCCAACAAATTCAAGAAACGTGTCATGGCTGCATGACCATCCAAAAGACCTTCATCAAAGTTGACATCGACCACTTGAGCACCATTCTCCACTTGGGCACGAGCAATGGCCAAGGCTTCTTCATATTCACCCTTGAGAATGTGGCGACAGAATTTGCGTGAACCAGCAACGTTACAACGTTCACCAACGTTGACAAAACCAGTGGTCTCATTGACAGTAAGCACTTCAAGACCTGAAAGAAGCATCACATCCGAATTGCTTGGAGGCTTGGGACGCGGCTTGTATTGACGACACACATCAGCAACGGCCTATCAATAACGGCTATAAGTAACATCATCTTATTGGGGTGCATGTATAATCCTTTCGTTACCTTAATGTGCTCAGGAGTAGTACCACAACAACCACCAATAATGGTAACTAAACCTTCTTGTGCAAAGGGCTCCACATTCTTGGCCATCTGAGCAGGACTTTCATCATATTCACCCATGGCATTAGGAAGACCCTACATCGCAAGATGTTGGTATGCATACTCATTCCATTGTGCTTTGCTTTTACTTACAGCATTGGGATAACAAATGATATGGGCATCGGTGAATCGACTGATATTTTGAATGAAAGGCTTCATTTGAGGAGCACCCAAAGCACAATTGAGACCAAATGCCATTGGATTGGCATGCTTCAAGGATGTAACGAAGGCTTCACCCGTTTGACCAGAGAGCGTACGACCACTTTGATCCACAATGGTACCTGAGATGAAAATGGGCACCTTGGGTCGTCTATGTTGTGCCTTGTGTTAAGATTGGATGATCGAGTAAGGGCCTTGTAACTTACTTGTCTTCGTCCATGACGACATCAATGGCATACACGACCGCTTTGGCGTTCAAGGTATCAAAGATAGTCTCCACGAGTAGAATATCAGCACCACCATCCAATAGACCTCGTACTTGTTCAGCGTAGGCTGTTACCAGCTCGTCAAATGTAACGTTACGATAGGCTGGGTTCTCGACAGAGGGAGAGATGGAGGCTGTACGATTGGTGGGACCAATAGCACCACATACAAAGCGAGGGATACCCGTTGCTTCGGAAACCTATTGCATAGCAATGAGTGATCCATATCCAAACAATCCATGAGATGACATACATCCTTGCATGCGCGTTTAGCCAATTCGGCACCCTCCTTGTTGAGACGATAGGCATAGGCTTCCAATGCATAATCGGCTTGTGCAATTGACGTTGAACTGAAAGTGTTGGTCTCAACCATATCCGATCCAGCTTCCAGGTACATTCTGTGGATATCATAGATAGCGTCCGGTTTGGTGAGCGTCAAGAGATCGTTGTTGCCTCGAAGATCAGTGTGGTGATTCTTGAATTCCTCGCCTACAATGGGAGTGTCAATACCTTTGCTGCTACCTGTCCCCATGCTACCCATTTACCGCGGAAGTCGGCTTCTTCAAGCTTGAGACGTTGGACCATGGTACCCATGGCACCGTCCAAGTACATGATTCGCTCCGTCAACGTCTTTTCCAAGTACTTGAAAATGTCTACACGTGCAAGGTTAGCTTAAAAGTCGCAAGTCTTCATAGAAGGAATTCGTTACCAATTGTCATGGTGAATAAAGTGTAAAGACAAAGAAAAGAACGACGAGTGAAAATTGAGAGATTGATTGACGGTGGTTGTAGATCGCATTTCGTGCTCGGTGCTTGGAATGCGGCATTATGATTTGACAGCGGCCCATCTATCACATGTCCTCATCTATCCGACATTCATGCACGGATCTCCTCTATCCACCATCCATTGTTTACTTGTAATAGCCCACTTTTATCATAATCCCTTGTTTCTATTGCAATTGATCATTGCTCCTTTTATGTAATTCCGAGAATAAAGAATGATGATGGCTTTTTGTCTTAGGTCGTCCTGCTGCTTATGATGTTTACCATCACCAAATTAGGGGATAAGGCTTGTTCCTTTGTCACAATGAACAAGGTAGCACATTGAGGTGGGGGTATGGGATGAGCGTCGGTCACGCACTCCCATCTCAGAGTTCTGGTCCAATGGATGACTTTCAAATGTATCAAGCATCGCGAGTGGCTTTGTTTCATGCAAAGTTTCAACTTGGTGATGTAAAGGGGAGTGGTTGCCATGATATGAGTAAAGAGAATCAGATGGCATGTAACATTGAGGTGATCCCTTTCTAATTGGCATGGATTTATTTCCAAAGTAGTGCCAAATAATATGTTTTGTCATAGCAAAGGTAACCATTTATATAAACGTTCATGCGCTGAATCCACCTGATTACGTGAAACGTATACCAATCAGTGACTACGTGTTGCAAATAGCTTTGATGGAGCCGTAAGAAAGCACTGAGATCTGTAAAAGGACTAGCACTCAATGGGAAATAGGCTATGCAGCACCCTTGGAACGAGGCTAGGGTTAGGTGTAGGGGTCATTCGGTGCTTCATCTTTATACGCACTAATGCACGGGGATGATGATGATGACGAATGAAAAAACGGTGGTCCGCACATCTTTAATAGACGTCTTTCATTGTTGGATAGCAACAAAGACCTCATTTAGAACAACATCGGTTATGTAATTGATTCTTTGTCATTATCATAGCTATAGCATACATAAAAAAAGACACAATGAATCAAAAGAGTGTTCCTGGCCCATTTGGTACCTGCATAGGACATCATCGGTGACACAGCTTTTCCCACGGGACCCGCCACTTAAATTCAGCCGTTTACCGATGAGTGTGTTGCTTTTTCTTTCCCTTTCTCACTTTTTCCGTACTATATCATGAGCCCTACAAATACATTCTTAAAGACCAACCAAGTATCTGTGATTGGTGTACCATTCAATGGTGGCCAACCTCGTGGTGGTGTTGAACACGGCCCTGCCAAGCTTGTCGAATTTGGATTGCTGCAGCAGATTGAAGAATTGAATTGGAGCGTCAAGTACCAAGATCATAAAGAAGCTATTGAAAAGCTTAAGCCTGCTGAGGATCCCGATGTCCAAAATCTCAAAAAGCCCAAGTATGTATCAGCTGCCACCCGCTATGTAGCAAGCGAGATTCAAAAAGAAGCCGAGCAAGGTCACTTTATCTTGACACTTGGTGGTGACCATTCGATTGCGTTGGCTACCGTATCGGGTGTCTTGGGTGCACATCCTGATGCATGCGTTATTTGGGTGGATGCACATGCTGTAAGTAGATAAGCGGATGTTGTAAAGGAGAGAGGGGTAGCAACAAGGGGGCGAAAAGCAAAGGGTGGTGGTATTGTTCAATGTTTGTATGTGCTGTCATCATGCATGGCAACACAAAACTCTGTATACCCGTTCACGCGTGCTGTGCTGCAAAAATTTTGTAATCTCGGTTTTGCTGATAATCATCCTCTTTATGGTATAGGATATCAACACACCCGCATTGACTGAGTCAGGAAATATCCATGGATGTCCGCTCAGCTTTTTGACTGGTATTGCCGAAGACCATCCTGATTTTCGATGGGTTAAACCTTGTCTCGATACACAGCGACTTGTCTACATTGGCTTACGTGACGTTGATGATGCCGAAAAGAAGATTTTGAAGGATCACAACATCAAGGCATACTCGATGCATCACGTTGACAAGTATGGCATTGGCAAGGTATTGGATATGGCTTTGGATGATGTCAACCCAGATCGCAACCGCCCCATTCATCTTTCATTTGACGTGGATGCTCTCGACCCAACCGTGGCTCCAAGCACAGTAAGTAGTAGTGTGTGGTGTAACATGATGGATCCATTATGCTGGGAAATTCATATCTCTATTTTAAAAAAAAACCAGGGTACGCCTGTTCGTGGAGGCCTGTCATTCCGTGAAGGTCATTACATTTGTGAAGCTCTCGCTGAGACCAAGCTTTTGGTATCCACTGACATTGTAGAAGTCAACCCTGAGTTAGAAGATGAAAAGGCCGCCTTCCAAACGATCCAAGTCGGATGCTCACTTGCTCGTTGCTGCTTGGGTGAATCGCTTTTATGATAAGCCTTATCGTCGCTGACATGAGCGCTTGATGTGATGATCCCCCCCAATGCATATATCTACCTCTACTTCCCCACTTTTGTCACAAGTACCTCACACAATCCGATTTTGTACAAATCTTGTTATTACTCTGCTTGCAATATATACGACACTTGTATTCTTCAAAGATGATTAAACGTGATTACTCTTTTAAAGTTCTAAAGGATTATACAAGTGACTAGCTGGTACAATATTAAACGATGATGAGGTATAAAAGCTATGCTGTAAATAAAAAAAGGATGAAGTTGGGATGGTGATATATGAAGAAATGATGCGAGAATGAGATAGAATGAAGATGATAAAAAATGATGCAGATAAGATAGCGAGGGGGATGAAAGAGGAGAATAGGGTGTAAGCGGATATGTGTTTTACGACGGCTCGGCAATGGATAAACTTTCGATGGCTGATTCAAAGCTCTTGTTATCATCATCGTTTGCCGAACTTTGTGATTCATTGTCATCATGTTGTCGCATGAGCTCCAATTTTCGCGTCTCTTCGATAAGTGTCACCATTTCATCTGTATTGGCAACATTGGAGAAAAAGGCATGCTGGGGAAAATGATGCAGGTTTTAGTGAGGGACATTCTCATCTTTCCTATTCTTCCTTCCTTTCTCACCTTGAGTAAACCTGCAGCATCGGGTCGATCTTCAGGTTCGGTCATTGTACAGAGCTGGACAAAGTCTTTCAATTCATTGGACCAATGATCAGGCTTGATAAGTGAAGGGAGACCACTCGATGCGATCAAGAATACAGCCTATTTGAAAAAGTATCATCAGCCAATTGAATGCTCATCCATGTTGCTGTTCAACGTACGCGTAAAGGAGGATATTCCACGTAAGGTGGATCGCCTTGCATCATTTCCAAGATCAAGACACCCAAACTCCAAATATCCGCCTTGGCATCATATGCTTGTCCCTTGATTACTTCTGGAGCCTAAACAGTACATGTGTGTGTTAGCACAAGACAATGTCGTATACATATATGGATTACACGTACCATCCAATAAGGTGTACCAACAATGGAGCTTCGTTTTGGTTGTGCTTTGCTCAATTGTGCACAATGACTGAAATCACCTGGTTTCATTGTGTATCAGTATGACATGGCCTCATTAAGCATTGTGACACACTTACTTAATTTCACCTCCCCGCGGATGTTGAGCAAAATGTTGTCACTGCGGATATCACGATGAATACGGTGCAATCGGTGGATTCGTGTCATGGCACGCAAAATGTCTCGGGCAACTCGAGCAATGATAGGTTCTGATAGGATGATGCCCTCTCTTTTATCTTGTTCCATAAGGATGGCAATGATGTCTGCAAGCGATACATCCATACATTCCGTGACAACCTATTCGAATCTGTGAGCGAAAAGAAAAAAGCACCTTCTCCCTCATGGTTTATTCTTTCCCCATTTACCCATATATCATTGCTTGTTTTGTAGCATCCAAAGTATTCCACCACGTTGGGATGTCGGCTCATTTTCATGATTGTCAACTCGTTTCTTATCTTGTTGAGCTTCTTCTCTGCTGTTTTTGGTATTTTCTTGATGGCAACCTTTTTCCGTACTTGACGTAAGTGATACAACCCTTTCCCCTTTGTTGACCTTTCCAATTCTTCTTACCAAGCGATTGGTGGTAGCGTGCTTTCCTGCAAACATAGGTCCTGACTCTCCTTCGGCAATGAGCACGAGATCGGTGTATACTGTAGTTGGATCAACCTGGTCAATCAAGTCATCTATTACGCCCCGTCAGTATCGAATACCAAACTCTCCCTCAACTTGGGTATATACCAATGAAATTGGATGCCAGCGATAAATGGCTCTCTGAAGCTGCGAGTGCACCGGGTAGAGAATCATCTGCACCTTCGGTTTCATTGATGGGCGAATGGATGATGGTGGAAGACGTGTTGCGTTTGGAAATGTTTGACAAATGCAGTAATTTGGATGATCGTGCGCGACTTGGTGGTGCAAATCCAACAGGTAGCAAATCCTTGTTATCGTCTTTTTCCTTTATGTCTTCCTCTTTGCTGTCACTGTTGATGATGTCGTCGATGATGTCGTCATTATCAATGCCGTTATCCTCTTTGCTGTCCTTTCGTTTGCGAATCGAACGATTGATTTGGTCGGCTTGCAACGAGTCGGGCATAGGAGCCTGGTGCATAAAACCTTCCACAGCCTTTGGATGTGATTTGATAACGTCCTTGGGGATACCAGAAGCTTCAAGGATACGTTCCCATTCCTTTGGTAAACCCACAAATCTTTGACCACCCGAAGCATCTACTTGCACGTGGATATGATGCTGAATATTGAAAGGCTTGCCAATCGTTGACGCTGTGCGTTTGAGAGGTTTGGGTAGTTTACCTAATGAAATCAATGAATGATGAATAAATGCTTTGTGTTGCTTGAATATGCATGAATACCCTACGTTTTGCTGCTTCATTCTTTTGTGGAACAAGGTTGGGATTGATAAAGCTAGTGTCGAGAATATCATCGCTTGGTAGAGCTGATTGTTGCCACACATCAGGTAACCCCTGTAATGGATCAAATCAGTCGATCGATCTATGCATCTTGATCTCTTTTTGCTTCTTACCATATAGCATCCGCTTTCCTTATTGTATTCAACATGGATACCATGTTCAAATTGAGTGGGTTTACCAATATCCAAAATAGTATCATAATCACGATGCTTTCTTCTGCTGCTGGTGCTTTTGGATGGTCTGGATGAAAGTGATAGAGTGGATGGGCTATGATGGTGATAGAATCGTGAAGCTGAGCTAGCCAAAGTGGAAAAGGAGCCCATTTTTCGTAGGCTACGGCCGCTGTGAGCTGAAGGTGGCAAGCCAGCTGTTGATGGACGCGATCCAGGCTGATGATGCCCATCGCGCTTCTCAAATGCACTCTTTGTGCTACTCGCAATCGAATAGTTGGAGGGGACGGAATGTGTTGCTGTGGGAGTCGAAGTCGTGTTTCCCATTGAGATGCAAAATAACAAGCTGTGGCGAATAAAGTAGAAAGGACTCCAAGCTGATGTTTGCAGTGAATGACAGAGACGTTGTAGAGGTGAATGAGTGGTTGTGTGTGCAAGGTGCTAATCGCAAGAAGGCTGCATGCGTACAATTGTATGAGAAGAAGAGTAAAAAAAGTGAGTGTGAACGTGCAGGCGCGGGCACGTTCACCGGGGTTCCTGCGAGAGAATTATGAAACGTGATGTTGATCCAACTTTGATTACAGACCCACATAAATGCTGCATGGAAGATCGACGTTGCATGCTTACTTTATTAAGCTTTATATCAAACAGGTTTCCATCGCGTATCCATGACGACCGTCCAACCCCTTTTTCCTTTGTCAATAGCCAACAACAAGTACCTGAAGGTTCATCATCATCATCATTCAGGAACACGTTTCTGGTACGTACCTCGTGTTCGACCATGACCTGTTGTTTTTACTGCCACATCGCTTAAAAAAAGGAAATGGCTTCATCATCTACTTGCTTTATCGTATCATCGTGCAAATATAACCTTGTAACTCTCTTCTCGTATGCAGTACGCTTTCAGTGACATGATGATACTTTGGGTCAAGATCATACGCCTTCAAGATCAGGAGCTCTTATCAATAAGATGACGACTACCAGGGCTGGAGAAGAAGCATTCCAAAGAAGAACCATGTGCGACAAATGCTATGATCCAATGACACACAATCTACTATGTTTCAAAGATCCCGTAAACAATACCTGTAAATAAAAGAGCAGCCTGAGATTGTCAATGTTGCCTTTTGTTCATTTGAACATGAAATTCTTTACCCTATCTACCATCATCTTGGCAAGTTTGAGTGCATTGAGCACTGATGCAGCCATTTCAAGGTAAAGTTATCATCATCACCCTGCTTTTTCCCACAGTAATCACCATGCACGTAAATGTAAAATTGACATGTCATTATTAGGGTCGCTATCAAAAAGACGCAGGAGACTGCCGGTCAACGGCTACAGCGTTTCTCGCATACAGCCGAGTACTTGTCCCAAAAATACGTGCCACATCATTGCATGCAACAAGCCGAGCATGGTATTCCTCTTTCCAACTACATGAATGCCCAGGTATAGAAATGACACAATAGATAATGTACATGGTGTTCACTTTTATGTTTACTAGTACTATGGCGAGATCCAACTTGGCACGCCTGGTCAAACATTTACGGTGGTATTCGATACAGGGTCATCCAACCTATGGGTACCCTCGACCCATTGTAACTCAATCGCATGCTTTTTGCACACACGCTATGATTCGACTGCCAGTGATACCTTCCGTGAGAATGGTACCGAGTTTGCTATCCAATACGGCACTGGCTCCTTGGAAGGTTTTATTAGTGAAGAAACATTGACCATGGGTGGTATCCAAGTACCACATCAAGGATTTGCCGAATCCACCAAAGAGCCCGGATTTACATTTGCCCTTGCGCAATTTGATGGCATCCTTGGCATGGGCTTTGACACCATTGCCGTCAAGGGGGTGGTGCCTCCTTTCCAAAACATGGTTGCACAAGACCTCGTGGATGAAGCTGTCTTTTCATTTTGGCTTGGCAATAGCGATAATGATGATGGTAATGGTGGTGGTGGTGGTGGTGAACTAGTGCTTGGTGGTATCGATCATTCCCACTACAAGGGCGAGCTTACATGGGCACCTGTACGTCGTAAGGGGTACTGGGAAATCGAATTGCAAGATATCAAATTTGGAGGCAAGAATGTGGGCCTCGATCCAGTGGGTGCAGCCATTGATACGGGTTCATCTTTGTTGGTGGTTCCGACAACTGTCGCAGAGTTGATCAACAGCGAATTGGATGCACAAAAGAATTGGGCTGGACAATACGTCGTTGATTGTGACAAGATCCCTGATTTCCCAGAGTTTTGTTTTACCTTTGTCAACAAGGACTTTTGCCTCTCAGCTGATGAATACGTGTTACAAATGCAAGGCCAATGCATCTCAGGGTTTATGGGAATGGATATTCCTGAACCTGCAGGTCCACTTTGGATTCGTAAGTACATAATGAAAATGCTATATCTGTCACATTTTATTCATGCAAGGATGATGCTATGTAGTGGGTGATGTCTTCCTACGCAAGTATTATAGTGTATATGACTTGGGGAATAGCCGAGTGGGTCTTGCTTTAGCCGCTTGATAACGATGGTGTGTCTCTGCTACTCTTTTTCAAATGCAAATGCCAAATAAACGCCTACAAACCTATCATGAGCCTTTCCTTTTCCTTTTCATATCAATGATCCACTCATACTTACGTGCTGCTTCCCATTCCTCCTCTGACATTTCAGGTAATGGACCACCAATCACACCAATACGTTCGAGCAATTTTCGGGAGTCATCATCGCGAGATGCGTTGTTGTAGTAATCATGGAAGTTTTCTTTGAACAAGAGTCGCAAACCATAGGATTTGGCCAATCTAAGTCATAAAAGCAATTAGCCAAAAGAATGAATGGATATATCCTTGAGTGATTGTTTATACGTTTCAAAAGTTCCCCAATGGACAAGGTATTCGGGACAATCCACAGCGTCAACGAGATGAAACATGTACCGGCATCCAAACTTGGTCAAGCCTTTGCCAACGCCTTCCTTCAATGTGTCTTCAAAATCGATGCTGTAAATACTGTTGCCAAAGCGATAAACACCTTCAGGTTGCTCACGAACACGCTTCACAATCCAGCTCGCATCAGGCATGGTGCCAATGAATCGACCTCCACGACGTAGCCGGCCAGCCACATTTTGTAACATCATGCGTGCCTTTTCTTCAGTCTCGAATGCATAGTGCAAGCAGAATTGCATTGATACGGCGTCGAATCGAAGGTTGGGATTTAACTTTGGTGCAATTGGTTCCTGAATACCAGCCATGGTCAGAGTCTTTGATGATGCATTGACCTTGGATATCGTCTCTCCTACCTGATAACAATCCATTGCATAAAACTCGGCTGTGAAACCAGGCTTTCGCATCGTTTTGTATCGCTCCTTCATTTGTTCAAGTGATACATGGGCGATATCTGTCATTCACTATGAGTCTCCTCCATTCAATGATAAATGCTTCGGTGTGTTACCTGCTGCCACCAAGTGCCTGATATGCGCCTTTGCAAACTTGTTAAGGTCACCACCCTTTCCACAACCCATGTCAAATACAGTGTACTGACGCCGAATATGGTCTCGAATGAGGGTGCTCTTGATCCAGTTGTTGAAGCTGCGTAGTCGTATGATTTTGGATTCCTTTCGCTTCTCACGGCCAACGTCGGGTCGATCGTTGTAATGTTTGGCAACAAGATGGGCTTGAGTAGCAGCATCCATAGCATTGTGTGCACGGCTGATTTTATGGTGTGAATGTTGGTCGTCGTCTTGGAACTTGCGTTTACGATCAGACATAGTAAGCTGTATGGAATAGCGCTGGAAGAAGGAAATGCAAACTCCAACTCCTCCCCCACAACCACTGCCTACTTTGCTTGACTAGGACACAATCAGCAAAATTGACTTTTGATCCCTCTCCTTATTGATCCATGATCCTCTTTTTGTTAAGCCTCATCCATTTTCCTAACTTGTCATAATAAAGAATGTACATTGTTCTCATTATTCCCTCGTTGAAGGTGCCTCTTCTAAAAAGCTGTATTCATTTTGGGCTTTCGACGCATTGTTCAACACTCTCTTCCATGGGATGAAAGCTTGTGGCAATATAATGCTGCATACTCCAGAATCAACTTTGAATTCATTGTATCCCTTGAATGTACCCCAATTTGAATGAACAAAAGAAATGGGTCTTTATCATCATATGCTATGTAGCAGACATTATTACAATACTGATAGTTGATAAATGTGAATATGGGAGGAGGAGAGGTAGCGATGTGATTAACACAAGGCATCTAGCGTACAACATAAACAACATGCGGCGAGACTAGTAATTACCCATTGAAGATGTCAATAAAAGCGGTGACCTTCTATTACGATAACAGCACTTACCATCCCATGCAAAGTCCTTCTCCAGCACCTCGATCTTGTTGTGGTTGTTGTTGGACATAGAATGCTTGGGGTTGTGGCTGTGGTTGATAATATTGTTGACCACCACCAGGAGGAGGAGGCTGGTAATATCCTTGCTGTGGTGGAGGAGGTTGATAGCTTGCACTTTGTGGTGGTGGAGGAGGATAATTGCCCTTGTTGTCCATGATGATGATGTGAGTAGAAAACCGAAAGAACCAGTAAGGAAATAGGCACACCTTTTCCCTTTGGTTTAATATGATCCCAAGGAGTCACCATGAAAGCTCTTGGCAAGCCACGTCAGCTGAGAACAATGATAGGTTTCTTGTTCGTTCTTTCTTTTCTCTTGGCATACAGATTGTTCCATGCAGCGTTACATGAAAATGAACGTCGTTGTTAAATCAACGGCAATAGCTAATAATGGTACGCTTATCGACATGATGGCAAGGAGAAGGTTACGATAGTGAATCATGCATTTGGGTATCCTGCGCTGATTGTTGAGTAACAGCGGTTCTCTTTATAACCAAGCGTGATCTGATTGTGGCTGTTTTGTACTCGAAAATGTGATATGTGTAAGTGCAAGTAGTATGAGAGTGAGATCTTTTACTCGCTTGTGTTACGATAGAAGCGTAGGAATGGTAGTAGTGGTATTCATTACTGAATGATTTTATGGAAAAGAAGCGCATAAGTGAATTTGTTTCTATTTCTGCCAGTAACATGATGGTGGTGGATATGTATATAGGAGCTGCGTGTGTGTGTTTGTGTGTGTGTAGATAATTGAGATGCAAGGGACGACTAGATAAATATATACACATTTTTTTCATTGTGCCAAAGGGAGGGGAGGAGGTAGTGTGGAGTGTTAAATGGTTTTCTTTTTTCGTCTAGGAAGGAAAGGAACATGCTCGGCAAGTTGAAAGGAGATCATGTGAATGGTTGGATAAATGATTGATGCGTAAAAAAATGTGGTTGCTGGGGATGTTGTTGTTGGTGGTGGTGATGGGGATCGTTTATCAAGAGTTGTTGTTATTGTTACCGGATCGTTTCAAACCACGCACCAAAGTAACAACGCAGGTGATGTCGTCGATTTTGCCGCCCCGATAATTACTGCCGTGAGCCCGAGCATCGCGTGCCCAAGGACTTAAACGTTTCGGGTCCAAGCTGAATCGTCTTGCGGCATCGGTTAATGTTTTGGCCAATGTACGTACAGCATCTGCCACTTCCTCGTCTGAAAAATCATCCCGTTCGGCCTTTAGTACGTTGCCCATGCCATTGTTGATCAATGCTAATGTCTCTTGTGGGTAAACGTTGTCGAAATAGCCATCCGTTGCGAGCAAGATAATGTCATTGTCTTTGAGGAAAAACGTCTTTTGATCAGCATCCTTTGGCATATCGGTAACAAAGCTATCCCGATCAGGATACGTATCCGGAACAACCGTCAGCTGATACCTATGCAATCATTCTTTGTTTTAGAAACCATAATAATATTCACACGGTGTGAGAGCGAGAATCACTTACGGGCAGTTGAAATAATGTTGTTGGCTTGGACTTTCATAGACGATTTTCTGATCACGAATCAAAACAAAGGCACTATCGCCAAGATTGACACTCGTCATCTCGCCTGTGGTCTTGCATAAATTGAGGATGCATGCTGTACTACTTCCAGCCGCCACTTTGCCGCCTCGGCGTAGTTGATGAAACGCTGTGTCCAAAATCTGTAATGCATGAATCGGAGGGAGTTCTTCAGACTTTTTAGCGATGCCAGCTGCATTGTTCATCAATGTCCACGAGAAAATGGCTACAATGAAAGCATAAAGTACACGTGTGAAAAATAATGAAACGGAATATCCCGGATGAAAAAGAAAAAATTACCTGGATCCACACCAGCATCCGCCCATCCACCAACGCCATCAGCTACGCCTAATGCCATGCCATAAGGTGTATTCGTGTGAAAGAAAGCATCTTCTCCTGCATCCACTTTGCCAACTTTGGATCGTTTCCAATATGGAATCTTATCTTCGGTCTGTCGTTGTCGAGCATTGCGATTCTTAGGATGCCATGCTGCATGAGCAACAAATTGAAAACAATCCGGTGCTGCTCCACTATCCTTATCATCAGGCTGTGCGTTATCAAGTGTACTTCCACCCGTTGTAGATGCTGCTTGTGCTGCTGCTGTGGCTCCTGTAGGCTGATGCTTGAGATGTTTCGTGTTGGCAGCTGCTGCAGCGGCGGCTTTGCCTACAGCATCACTATGCACAGTAAAAAGCCGTTCGAAATTCCCCGGTGGAGTTGCAGTAGTCGTTGTTGTAGTAGTGGAAGTCGTTGTGGCATGACCTTGATCAAAGAATGAAGTGCTTTGTGGAGATGGTGGAACAGCTGTTGTTGATTGAGCTTGGTGTTGTTGTTGTTGGTGAGGATGAGAGTTGAATGTCAAAAGACGTTGTGCATTGATAGTGGGTCGTAAATAAGTCAATGAAGGGGTAAGGAGAGGTTTGGCAGAACTCCATTGAGCGAGTTGTGAGACGGTTGTCAGTCGTTGGACATATTGCCGTGCCATAGTTTAGGAGCAGGGGGGGTTGGGTGGGTTGGTTTGATAATAGAAAGAGGCAGACACCAAAAACAGAGGAGAAAAAGGAAAGGAGTAAAGAATTGGAAACTAAGATCGGCCAAGTTGGAGAAAGACTTAATTGCGTCACAGCCTCTTTGTCTCTCTTCCCCCCGTGCTTTTCACGGTAGCAAATCATTCATCATCGGAGGTCTGTGCTTTTTTGGATCTTCTTCATGCTCCCATCAAATGTCATCCTTCCTTCCCATTTCAACCTTCTCATCATAATAATGATGCAGGATGCATGGATGAAGCCGTATTGGATCAAGCATCACCTGCACATTACTCTCTACGTATACCACATGGCACATGCCAATGTCGATGATGATGATGATGATGATCATATCCTTCCTTCACATGTGATAATAAATGTTGATAAAGTACCATCACCAACAACAACCACCTCTATCAAATGTACCCTATCATTACAAACAAAGCGTAAAAGTCATTGTGAACATTCCAAGAAAAGATGAAAGAGAGGGAAAAAAAGACCTTGACATTGTAACCGGGTTATGCACAATGATTCTTCACGAATGCAGACAATGTTACTTTGCACAACAAGAAGGTTTACATAAGATTTGCAGATACCAACCCTTTTTCAGCTAGGGCTTGAACCCTGATACAAAGTTGCACATTAGAAGGATGGGATGATGTGTGTGCGTGTGTGTGGTAGTGGACGCCACCAAGGGTCTTTTGTGCAAAACCACAGCTAAAACCAATTCTGCATATTTGAAACCACCCCAATGAAATGCATGTCCCATCCGCTTATACAAGTGGGTGAACCACATTCTTGGGGACATTTTCTCTTTCACACGAGCCATAAGAGTATCACAACAATACAAGTGTATGCATACAAATGCGACACAGAGCTAATGTTGTGCGTTTTGACATAAGCCAAGGTTCCACATCTCGCATGTCTAATCGATTATGGCGTGTTTGATATTGGAAGTGGTGAGAAAACCTATGGCTACACAGGGCGAAATCAGGGCTCTGTAACTCGTGGTTTCATTGCTTTTGTCCCTGAATGTGGCGATTTTTGTTCCAAAGAAAGTTGTTTTAATCGTGGCACTAAACGATAAAGGAACCATTATTACGCTACCAAGAACAGACAATATGTCACACGCTTCCGGTAAAAGTTCCCCCAAGAGGAAATTGCTGGATTGCTATGTTCAATGCTCTCTTTTCTGGTCCCGTGCAAAATATCGGAGCAGCATTGCAACAAGAAATGGAAAGTACAAATCACAAATCGTGCAATGGAACATAGGGCGGACTCTATGTGTGTGTGTGTATGTGTACGTGTGTGTACGATATAGCACGGTGAAAAAGGAGAAGAGGCGAGATGAATTGCAGCAGCAAACAGCGCAAAAAGATTTGTGTACCATGACTCACACTTTTGGCCTTCTTCTTTGGGTGCACATAGCTGAACACAAAAATGAGCATCTATGCAGCAGCAACTCTGGACCTCGGAAACAAATTCCTGGATATGCATGGTATCCCCCAGTAAAGGCATTTTTTGTCGTCTCCCCCCAAAAGACGTTGGTTACCATCGTCGTCCCTCTGTCAGATTTTTCGAATTTGGTTGCCGCGATGGGTCAAAGAGATGCAAATCTAAATCTAGAGTAGTCTCGATTTTTGGGTGTGTACCACTCCTTTGGTTACTAAAGTGATTGATGTATGCTGCACGGCATTGCGCACAGTTATTGCATACTTTATTCAACGCATGTTTAAATTGCCTTTTGATCACGCACCTATTTCTGCTAAGGGATACCCCAATGTCAACATATGACAAAAATATCTTGATGACCGTAAATGCAAATGGATACTTGTATCTCCTCCTCTTTCCCCGCGTAGGGCATTGACCAACAGTGTTACTCCCCGCTTGTTGCTCACACACAAGCACACAATTCTTATCTCAAGTCCGACAGATCTTATTTCACAACATCCTTTGACTTTTTTTGTATCACTTGTCTCTTCTCTTCCCTCTCTCTACCCACCATCGCCACCTCGCTCGTTCGATTAGCAGAATGACAGACTCATCCAAGGTCGAATACACCGTTGAAGAGAAGACATCCAAAGTCGAGTATACGGTCGAGGAGACGATAACCACCGAGAAACATCAAGGAGATGTCCTCACACCCACCACCACCATCCAAGATGCCAAAGATGCCGAAGCCATTGTTGACGTGAGCGAAGAGTTCGATAAGAATGGTGATCGTATCTACGTTAGAAGTGCTGCCGAGAAGGCTCTTGTTCGAAAACTTGACTTTATCTATGTCATGCCATTCGTTGCTGTCCTCAACTTTTTACAGGTACATAAAAGAAAAATACCATGCAATGCCAACTAAACTCGGTTAGCTTCGAGCACGTTACTCAAAATTATGCTTTTTTTCTCTCACACATAGTTCTTTGACAAGTCCACTGTAAACTATGCTGGTGTATTGGGTATCAAGGAAGACACAGGCACTACCGGCTCACAATTCAGTTGGCTCGGTTCCTTGTTTTATCTCGGCTACCTTGTCTACCAGGTAAGAAACCATCACCTGCCACTTGTGATTGAGGCAGTAAAACTCACTTTTGCAATCCTTATCTAGTTTCCTAATCAATTCCTTTTGCAACGTGTTCGTCTTTCATGGTACATTGGTAGTCTTGTCGTTCTGTGGGGCATGGTGCTTGCCGTCACCTTTACAGCCAAGAGCTTTGCCGATCTTGCAGGTCTTCGTTTCTTGCTTGGTTTCTTTGAAGCCGCTATGTATCCATGCTGTATCATGTTGATCAGCTCTATGTATCGTCGTCGTGAACAAGCTGGTCGCCTTGGTAACTATGAAGCCAAAAAGTGCATGTACGTGTGATCTAATCCCTTTCTTTAGGTGTCGTATACGTCTGCAATGGTATCGCTATGGCTGTTGGTGGTACGTATCACCGTATTCTTACATCACAACGCATACAAAATGCTAACTACTTCTCCCGTAGGTTTCATCGGCTATGGCGTTGGCTTGCATATGGATGGTGTCGGTGGTCATGGTGCCTGGCAATGGTATGTGATCAAGCCTTGTTCCTAAGACAAAGAAGATGCTTACGTTAACAATGATAATTAGGCTTATGCTTATTCTCGGCGTGATCACCGTTGCATTTGGTATCATCCTCTTTGTTTTCCTTGTTGATGATCCCCGCTCTTCTTTGTTACGCTTGACCCCTGAGCAACGTGAAATTGTCGAAGAACGTATTCGCGATAATGCCGTCGTTATTACCCGCCAAATCAAGTACCATCAAATCCTTGAGGCCTTGAAAGAACCACGCTACTATTGTTTCATTTTCGCATCGATGCTCATCAACTTCCAAAATGGTGCATTGAACACGTTCCAAAGCATCATCACCGCAGGCTTTGGCTTTTCGGTACGTATTTAGGAAAATGCTCCTTCGCCACACAGCATGACTAATTGCATTTCCTTATCATCATTGTTTAACATTAGGGTGTTAATGCTATCTTGTTGACTGTGCCCTCAGGTGTCGTGGATTGCCTCTACATTGTAGCTGCCATCTGGTACAACAACCGATATGGTAACACGTTGTATACTGCTTGTGCTATGCAAGCTTTTGCCATCATTGGTTTAGTATTGTTGGTAGCTATTCCTTTGCCCAAGGCAAAGCTTCTTGGTTTATACCTCTGCTGGGCATTTGCCGCAGCCTATACCATGTTCCTTGTATCAGTAGGTAAGGTTGTCTCATAATCCTTCTATCAATTCATTCCACTAACATTGGCAAAAACAGCAAACAACGTCTCAGGTTATACAAAGAAGATCTTCTATAGCTCAAGCATCATCGTCTTTTATACCGTAAGATCTTTGCATTGCTTGCCCTTTTTCACTTTTACTCATTTGCAATGGTATTAACGCCAATAGATTGGTAACTTTGCTGGTCCTTTGATGATGGTTGACTGGCAAGCACCCCTTTACCTTGGTGGTAAGCATAAAGAAGATACAATGACCTTTGTATTGGTAGGGCTCACGTGATGTTTTCAATAATAGGTATGATCGCATACATGGCTGCAAATGCAATTTCCATTGTATTGTTCTTGATTGCTCGCTATTCCATGGCCAAGTCCAACCGTGAGCGTATGGAGCGTGGCATCACCAAGACAACCACTGGAATGACCGATTTAACCGATAGAGAAGATCCCAACTTCATCTATCGACTCTAGAAACCAGGAGATGCCAATAACAGGGTACTACACAAGCTTTTTTTTATTAGACAAACCATATTCCCCTCCTCTAGCTCTCCCAATCAATATCCAAACATAATCCATTTATACACTTTAACAATATAATGACTCACTTTTTCAAGCCAAGAATGATAGCATGTGTTTTGTAGATGATGGGTGCAACCCAAAAAATCAGCTGGACATAGCATTTGTTAGGAAAAGATCACCATTGTTGGTTGGTGTAAAAAAGGGCAATGCAAGCTGATGTCAGCGTGCACATAAGCTGAAGGAGAAAATACATCAAGCTCCTGCCCCTTGATGGTGTCGGAAGCAAAAGATGGCATACGGCACGATAGGTGAAGCGCGTTATTAGGATGTAGATGATGATGATGTGGGTGTCCGCCTTGGCCCTCGCGATACCCCCTACACTTATCCAATAAGAATAGCTCCGTTTCGCAAAGCAGTGTAACCTTGCAATCAAGAAGGCGAGTTCCCAATCCTTAGTGAAATCAAAAATATTCATGACTGGATACAAAGGTGAGACAACGGGACACAATCCTCCCAGACTAATCCTATTGAGTAACATCGGAAAGGTAGTGCAGATTACATTGATCAGCTCAATAACCCACTACTGGTGCCCATCATTATGGCCCACTCATATGGATCAAGAGCCGCGCTGTGCTTTTGGTTAATGTGAGACATGCTAAAGTACGGATAGCAAAAAGGAAAAATCTACACGTATTTATCCTTTGCATGTATACACAAAGTGGGAGATGCACACAATTGTGTCAAAACCTTACTTTTTTATTTGTGCTCAACCTATTTTATTCTTCCTTCCTTTGTTCCCCCGGTTCTTTTTCCTTCTTTCACTTCTTTGGTTATTGCTATTCTCTCGCATTCATACACGCTCACGTCGACACAGTGATATCGTTGACTAGTGTGGTTGTTATACCCCTCCTTTGCCATCCCCTCTTTATCCTCCCTACGGCCATTCGTCTCCGCTAGAGGTTATAAATGCTATACAACGACCGCTCTGCTACCAGCCAAGACAACAAGAATATTAACGGCTCTGACGTCGAGCTCAACACAATGGAAAAAAGACTTAGCCCATCACTTTACGCTGTCGAAGCACAATACGACCATTATGATACGTCTTACGGCTATAGCGTCGACGAACCAGTGAAAACAGCAGAAGAGCGTGCCTTGGTTCGAAAACTCGACTTTTACATCATGCCTATTATTTGTATTCTCGACTTTTTGCAGGTATACCATGATCACCATATACCTTTTCACATGACGCATTTGTGTATTCCTGACACATTACTCCAATTGGCATTGCTCTTATTCTTATCAACCATCATTCAACTACTTCTAGTTTCTCGACAAAACCACCATCAATTATGCAGCATTGTTCAACTTCAAAGAAGATCTCAACTTGACGGGCTTCCAATATAGCTTTCTTGGGTCGATCTTTTATTTAGGCTACTTGCTGTATCAGGTACAGGACCATCTCATAACCGTATCCAAGCAAGTAATACATGGCTGACACGTATAGCGTAGCTACCCAACAACTTTTTTCTACAACGCTTCTCGGTGGGACGCTACATTGGTGTGATCGTGACCGTATGGGGCATCGTTCTTGCATGCACAGCTCTCGGCGAAAACTTTTCCCAAGTTGCTGCCATGCGATTCTTGTTGGGCTTTTTTGAAGCTGGCACATACCCTGCCCTTACCTTGTTGGTTAGCACATGCTATCGACGCTCCGAACAAGCTGCAAGACTTGGTGAGTGGTTTGTATCCATCCTATGATCATGGCACCCAATCTAATCATCTTTGTGTGTTTAAAAAAGGCGCCTTTTGGACATGGTCAGGTGTCGCACTCATCATTGGTGGTACGTATGCATAGACTCTTTTATGATGATCATAGCAAATTTTAACTCACGTATCCATGTAATCAGGTCTTATCTCTTATGGTGTAGGCAAAATGGAGAACGATCTCGGCATTGCAAAGTGGAAATGGTGAGCCCCTTGTTCAGCCTAAAATCAGCTGTTTGCTTATTCATCATGTATATTACAGGATCATGATCATTCTCGGATGCGCCACCATCTTTATGGGCATTGTCAGCTTCTTTTTCCTTGTTGACAACCCCAAATCAAAAGCATTACGCTTGAACGCAGAGCAAGAAATCTTGGTTGAAGAGCGTACACGAGACAACTCGGTTGTGCGTACAACGACTATCAAGAAACATCAGATCACAGAAGCCCTATGTGAGGTACGCTTTTGGGCTCTTGGTTTTGCTTGTCTCTTTATCAATCTCCAAAACGGTGCTATCACCATCTACAATGCTCAAATCGTACAAGACTTTGGATTCAATGTAAGCGCATCATTATACGACATCGTTGCTATGACCATGTATTGATTGATGGCTTATAGCAAATTGAATCCGTATTATTGAGTGTGGGCTCTGGTGGTGCCGATATCATCTTTATCATTATCGCTGTGATGGTAGCTAAGCGTACAGGCGAAACGCTTTTGACCGCATGCGGTATGATGCTGATTGATTTGATCGGCTTGATCTTGCTTCAAGTGATTCCTGTCATGCGCGTTAAACTTGTTGGCTTTTACATGGTTTGGTCCTATTGTGCTGCTTACGTGCTTATGATCGCAAGTGTCTCGAACAATATTTCTGGCTACACGAAAAAGATTTTCTACAATGGCAGCCTCATGATCTTTTACACTGTAAGTGCAAGTCGCCTTCTTTCGCTTTTCTACTTTTACTCATTTACGACGATGTTATCGGCCTTAGATTGGAAACTTTATTGGACCAATGTTGATGTTTGATTCCGAGAAGCCTGATTATCGCACTGGCATGGTCGTCTACTGTGTTACGTCCTTTTTGGTTATGTGCTTGTTTACTTTGACCCGATTCAAGATGGCAGCTGTTAATCGCGTGCGTTTAGAGCGCCCATCGGGCGTTGTGACCAATGTCGAGGATGATTTAAGCGATGTACAGGATCCCAATTTTATATACCGGCTTTAAACCCTATTCTGATCTATAGAATGGAACGCATACGACATCCGCAAACATGATAAAAGCATTAGCCCATATCACTGCTGCACATCATTTTCCTCTTAATCTAGCATTACTACATTACCACACATTCCTTTGTATTTCTTGTTATTCTATCTACTACATAAAATGTACTACGCTTCCTAACAAGATAATGTGCTACATAGATAATATTGATGCTCGTTCCTTGATTGACGAAGCATGTATGCTATGGACCGGGGCCTATTTGTACACCCAAGATGCTGGGTGCGTATTCATGGTGTAGTCTTTTTTTCCATTCTACCAAGCCACTTCCAAGTATACATGGTGATCTGCACGTTGATGAAAAGGAAAGAGAGTAAAAAAGATGCTGCACATCAATCAATATCGTATCACAGCGTAGTTTATTCTTGTGTAATGCTCTTGGATGCCAAGGAATATACGATACATTATCCGATAAATGCTGTTGACTTGATCTAGATCGGACACAAGTCGTAAGGATAAGAAGGAATCTCTCCTTTGATGTATGATTTGCCATAGCAACCAGCCTTTTTCGACTTTTAACAAGGTGATGCCGGTATAAACGGCTTTCATTCCGCTCTTTTGGTCCGTGGCATGGTTACTCAGGCGAGGATGTTCCCAAATGGGTAGGAGAGGGAAATGGTTGCGGAGCACGTGCTCACTTTTGTGTGTGTGTAACAAGATGTGCATTATGCACATCTTGCCATATATGTCATATGCGTGGGATCTGTTCGCAGCGTCGCGGACATTGATGCCATAAACACATTTTTGGATATCAATTTCATAGACCAATTGTCATATTGCTCACCATTGTCGCTAAATCCAACAATGGTATTCATAGCTCAGAATCTTCAATGTATCACCAATGTGTGCGCAGCGGATAATTAGCCGGTTTTTAGAATCAGCAGCAATGCTATACACACCAAGTGACGTTTTTTTGGTTGACAGCTATCCACATTTAATGTATCCATGATGTAGTGATATATACAACGGTATACAAGAACGATTGAATTACATTGTTTGCTTGGTTCCAAGCGCCACGAGTGTCTCTGGGTGCACATCTAACAGCGTACTACTACCAGCAGTGGTTTGTAGACAAAAGTATCACCCTTGAGAAGAAGATGCGGATTCAATTTTGCTTTCAAGTGATATACAACGGGGTAGCTAATATGTTTTTTATTATAAACGATTGACTATGTTATCCGAATACGATTCAAAATGGAACGCAAGATGATGAACACATGGAATGGAGGTGGCTTTGGTATTTCTATAGCAGCATGTGGGATGTGGGAAAGCGCGGAAACCACGACGAGACGAAAATAGTGGAAGAGTTTCGGCGGTTGCGTAGCAGCGGATGGAGTGATCGATCTAGTGGCAAAAATATCGACATGTCCAAATAGCAGCTTGAAAGTTGCTCATTTCAATCATGCGATATCGACTTGTAGAGCCCACCATCCAAGGAAATCATACATGCATTCCTTATCATCCCATTAACGTACGTCGTCAAGTCCTCAACAGAGTGCTGTAGCATTGATTCCATCTCGTTTCCAAGGTTACTTTGTCATGGCAAGTACCCTCAGTGCTGTAGCAATACGGTGGATCGCCTTTTTCAGCAAACAAAAAAACACACCACATTTTGTGCTGGATGTGCGTGGATGTCATGTAGTTTTGGTGGATCCGTAATGGAATCGTTGGCGATAGCAAGAAGATGAGGCGGCTTTGTTGAGGTGGTGGGGGTGTAGGTTGTCATGGTGTGAGTTCTAAAGGACTGGATCCCCTCGCTTGTTCGACTTGGATAGGAGAAGTAGACATATGGATTTGTATCCAGGTATCATTGCATCGACATTGGCACGTGTAATTTTCTTGCTCACCCTAGCGTTTAGGTACTTGCATATTAGCAATATTGGATGATGATACCTTCATTCCAACTTACCAATGATCGGCGAATACACCGTGTTCTCCAAATGTAACATCTAAATGATCGATGACAGTGCCATAGTAAGGGCATCTTTGGAAGTCATTTAGTACAGGGCGTTGGAACTTCATGGAGCACTAAGATACGTAACAATTACTAAACCCAGGCATGAAGCATCTTTATCATGGAGCTCACTTACATGTCATGAAGGATATCCGCAAGCATAGAAGGTAGTAGTCATTGGAGTTATCATTGTCACCACCATTGTTGTATGTATCAACGTTCATGGCACAGTGTACTTTCTCAGGATGCGTAGCAACGCGCTTGTACCATTTGGATGCCTCAAAAGGAGGTAGTCATTGATGGACTTTCCGGGAAGGTGGAATCACCTTGACACGGAGAGCTGAGCGATCATGTTGCAAACCCCTTTATTGGCTGACGCGGGTGCTGCTTTGATGAAATCCTCTCCCACAATGTGCACATTTTCAGTAGTGGCTACGAGGTAAAAGAAATGTGATATGGGTATATGAGTTCATGAGACGTTTTAAGGAGATGACTAGATTTTCCCTTGTTACAAGAGTCAAGTATCACAATGACGATCATGACAATGAATTATGGAGACAATGAAAGTAGTAGGGTAACAACGAGCCACTAAAGAGGACACAATAATGAGCACAAATGTCCACTGGGTTGCAATAGAACCATCCTTCGTCCATGATACCTACGTAAACTTGGGCTTTTGACGATGCATGTAACCAAAGAGAGATATGGTAGATGAAAGAGAGGCGCATGGAGGTATGGTGGGCGGCGACAACATCTTTGTTTATATCTGCATGGTGGGCGTGAGTATTTCAGTGCTCACAAAGTAGGAAAAAGTGATAAATGTTTGTTGGGATGATGCATGAGCTGATAAAGTGGCGGGTCTGCGGGTGTGATGTTCATGCATAATTGATAACTGACATAGGAAAATCAAGAGAGGTGTGTAACATCCATCACAAAAGAGACATGCAATTGCCGTATCATAGCAATAAGAGCGTACGCATTCATTCTGAGTTCCTCGAAATTCAGCAGCTCCACAATGACACAATGACGCTGGTAACCTCATAATCCATATCCCCTCCTTCTGATTGCACAGGGCCCCAACTCTTCATGTCGTCTGATCCACTCATATAATTATGGTCATATTCCTTTATGTTACAATCATGGAGATATGACGTATGCTGAAGCGGGAAGGATGACAAGATCATTGGCAGCTCTCAAAGCGATGATTCATGACTCTGGCAGTTGATTTCAATGATAAGAGACGGCATAACAAATAAAAAGAGGAAATGTCATGTATATTGGCGGTAGATTATTTAAGCAGTGGATCCAAGAACACCCATCTTGTCTAATGCACGAGGGCCCATTTCTTCCCATTCTTGCTTGGTGACCCACCAAGAATCCTTGTTCTTCATGATATCTGCCAGCACAGCACCACCAAGGTAAACCCTATGAGAGGATGAAAAGTAAGCATACGCATCAATCACATATCCATCCTAATCAAACATACATATGACGACGTCTTGGAGGATCTTCAATACGGATCTTGAATTTCTGTAATGAAAGAAAAGGTCATGTTAGTTGTCAAATAGTCATATACACTTGTAGCCAACTTACGTTCAATCGGCTGGGATCACCATTCAGCACATTGACAAGGTATAACTGCTTCATTTCCTTCTCCAAACGACTAGGAAGACCAGGATACATGGTTGAACCACCAGACAACACAATGTGCTTGTACAAATCAGCTCGCATATCAATATCAGCAGATTGGATAGTATCAAACAAGAGTTCTACATGTGACATTGTTAACATGCTGTATCGCCATGTCCTCCTTTTGATATTCTTACCTGCCATGCCCTTGCCTTCAACATCAACGAGATGTGGCTGGAACAAACATTCAGGTGCCTCGAATCGCTCAGAGCCAACCTTGATCACTCGACCATCAGGAAGCTAAATTTGATCAACGTAAGTCTTGTGCCAGCACAACACCTCTCTCCCATCTTGATAATATACCTCATAAGTCTCTACAAGTGTGGTGGTCTCATTTCCAAGCTTTTGATCCATACTCAGGTCATAGCTGACATAGCAAAGCTTCTCTTTGAGTTGTCGCACGGTCTCAAAATCAGCGGTACGGTTGAATGCATAACCACGACGCAAGAGCAAATCAATCAAGTATCTGGTGACGTGACGACCTGCTACATCCAAACGGCGTGTCAAGTTCGTTGGCGCATAGCCTTGATAAACAGGAACCTAAAACGCAAATAAGCCGCCTCATTCAAATACAGGACATATGCCAAACTTACAATGTGGGTTACACCATCACCAGAATCGACAACCACACCTGACATAAGACCTTTAAAGTATCGCCAATATTAGATATGATTCGAATAATCAAAAGATGTCGTATTTTACCTTGGGCAAAAAGAGTGAGGACGGCTTGGATGGCGACGTAGATGCCTTGGAAACCATATTCTTCAAACATGATTTGGGCCATAGTTTCACGGTTGGCACGTGGATTCAAGGGTGCTTCGGTCAACAAGATCTTACACTCGCGAGGGTCGACTTTGAGCTTCTCGTTGAAGGTATAGTTCCATAGGTGGCGCATATCCTCCCAGTTGCGGATAATACCATTCTCCATGGGGTACGACATTTGTAGGATATTACGAAGAGCTGCAGCTTCCTCGCCAATCATGATGTCCCTGACTTGCACATTGCCGATTTGTTCTTCTGCTCGCAAGATGGGTCGACCGACAACACTGGGGAATACGTGCTCGGGAAAGTTGGAACCGGCATAACCGCACTTTACAAACTAGTAGATGATGGTTGCAAATGCCTGTTAGACACAATGGCTCAATGTCGCGTTACACTAGTTCCTCTTTCGCTCCTTCATCTTGAGAATGTACTTACGCCAGTGCCATTGTCTACAACAAGTGTCTGGTGCTCCATTTGTATTCAAGAGTAAAGTAGTGTGTAAAGCGCGCCAAGCGGGAAAAGCTTCAGCGTGTTATGTCTCAGCAGCCCAACTTATATCAACAGCTCCGCTTGGTTCCATCTTCATGTGGTGTGTGGGTGTAGTTGTCTTTTCACTGGTTTATACACGCTTGGCAAACATGACATGTGCCCATCCATTACTACATAGTGCTACCACATAATCCAAAACTAGTAAAGAGAGGTCAACATTGGTTAAAAGAAGATTATCGATGATATTGTTTATTCGTATGCAAGATAATAAAAGACGATGGTTGTGTATAAAGATATGTATGTATCTCACTACTACTTTAATGATCGTGTGTTGATGCGGATGTTACTGGGGCTTCAGTAGCAGGATACTCATCGTCAAGAATAGAACCCTTTTTCTTTGAATGCTCATCATTGTCATCATCGTCGTTTGGGGGTTGTTGATGATGATTGATATCGTCGACATCATCCGGATGAAGCTGACCACCATCCTCAAAGTCCATTTGTTCAAGCGCTTCATGCACCTTGTTCCACAAGTTTTGACCAAAGAATTTCCAGGCAACAGCAGCACAGATAATTTCAATGACTGTGAAGAGAATAACAAATCCAATCGCAGTGACAAGGCGACGATGGTACATGTAGTATCTACATTATCAACATGAGTCTCCATTTCCTTGGATCATAAACCCTTCTCTCCACCATACCTTAATCCATGGAAATCAGCAATCACTCGCAAATCGGCATCATAAACTTGTAGCTGGTGGGTGGAAACTGAAACAATAGCGTGGGTCACGGGATGTGCCTACAACAGCTGTCAGATATCCATTGCTTCGTATCCTTGGATACACTCTACCTTATTCTCCATGAAACCTTCAATCAATGGCACAGTGATAGTTTGGCTCTCCTCACTTAATCCAACCAAAAGTGGCAGCGCCTTGGCAAGCACACGCATGATGCGTTGAGTCTTGGATTGATATCGCAAAATACCCTATTGTTGCCTCGTAAGCATTTTCCTATTGCCGCATACTTGAGGTCCTTACCGGTCGACTCGAATGAAGAATGCTGCTGCCATTTGATGTTTGAAGCCATATCCTGATCATGAAATTACCTATATGGATCGTATTCAGCAATTGTTCTTGTTTTTTCTCACACATCCCCCCTTTCTTGTTCCATCATCCTTTCCTTACCAAGGTCGAAGTTGATATCTGAGGTGGGCACATGGAGTTGTACTGAGACATCATACGTTTGTTCATGTCGCAAAGGCTACATTGACCATTTAGTCCCAATGATCATTTCATCCACAATCACACACTTACGGTATAAGGTTGGCCTCGAGTCAAATCAATTCGATCTGTAGGCCCTTCCACTTGTTGATCATATTGGAAAAAGATGGGTTCAATATGGGCTGTTTGAGGAACGTATTGTCGATAGAATGTCAAGTAGGCGCCGATACTCGTTGTCAAGATCATCAAAAAGACGATCACCATTGCTGTGCTTTTGATCAAAGTGCGTTGAGCCTTGGGTGCAAACAACACGCGTAGGATGGGTGTCACCATCTTCTTGACAGCTCTGGCTACTACCAATACTGCAGGTGGCCACTCGAAGGGTTCAGGTTCTTGTTCATCCTCCTCCTCCACTTCACGTCGATGCTGAAGAGCTGCTTCGGTAGCTGCTGCTAATATGGGGTCCTCGGTTATCTCGCTGCTTGGTGTAGAGGGAACAACTTGGAAATTGTCCTGAAGAAAAAGCGACCATGTGTCAATGTTGAGCGAGTCAAGTCAATGTGCGTTCTCCTTACCGGGTTGTCGTCGAGATTACGTCCAACATCGCCACTAGAAGACGCATGGGTGTCCATGGCGAAGAAAAGTAAAAGGAAAAGGTGAATAAGGAAACTCACTTGTGGTGGGGTGATACAACATGATCAGCTAAATCATGTGAAATCCCAGACATGCCCTCGCTCATATGGATGCAGGAATTATCGTTGCAGATTAACACATGAGATTCAGGGTCTCTTTACAATACAATAGAGTTTATTTGTGTACCATCACACTATCTTATTAATCAAATAAACCACTGCAGCATACGCTCAATTATGAGAAAGTAGACAATTGCATCATGTTCCTTCTCGTCAACGTTTACAAAGAACATTAGTCGTGTGGTGGCTCTTTGTCACAATCACCCGCTGTACATATAATCTTACAAGATCTAGATCACAAAAAGGGACGCATGTTATTTACGGCGCATTAACAAGACCTAATCACAAAAGGGAGGCGAGGTTCCACTATTGAATGCGGTCTTTGTTCACGATACAATGAATCAACCAGACCCTCTCTCTTCCTTTATCACATATAGCTCTACACCCCTGCACTTGTTGTCTATCATGATACAATGCTTCAAGTGCCCATACACAACGAAGTTTAGAAGCTTAGAGTGGTTGGCCAACGCAATCCCGTATTCATGAAGTAATCCTTTAATCCGCATCCTTCGTAAGAAATAGACTGAAAAGTACAACAAACATACTCCAATGGGGAAGATACATTTGATTTGGGAAGTTTCTATCCTTTGGGCGTGCATTTTGCAAAAGTGAATGGATGGATGCGAGGTGGCGAATCATATGCAAGGCGTGTCAAAGCATACAGTTGGATGATGATGATGACAGTGGTTGGCAGGTTGCACAAAGGAGGATGAAGGTAGCTGCCGTGTGATAGGTTGTAAAGTACGATAATTGAACACACCAATCGTTCATCATAGCATCAAGCATAATGGTCAAGTTGACAATAGATACATAAAAAACAAAGATCCTTTTGCCACGCGTTGTATATACCCAGTTCCTTCCATCCCATGCACATACCGATATCCATATCCATATCCATAGCAATAAGAAGTCGTATGCATCAAAGCGAAGTTGCTACACGTAAATAAAGCTGCTTCTATACAATGGCTAGCCGCTGTCCACGTAACAAAGGCTGTAAGGCATGTTGCTGCAAGTAAAGAACGCTGTTTGGAGACAATGCAGTGAAGTTGCTGGAATGAATGCTGTTACGATTGATTGTGGCAGAGGAGCGTGCAAGAGCGTGTGTTGTGTCAAGAGACTCGTGTGTTGTAGTGGGGTGTACACGCTATGGGCTTGTCATTCAGTCGAAGACAATCGGATCAAGGCAATTCTAGGCTTGACATGATGGGTTGAAGCAGGACAATCGTTCGCAGGTGGTAGTTGTATACTTGAATGGGGCAACAGTTGAGAATGGGAGGAAGACACAAGAAGCGGGACGTGGAAGAAGTGGGAAATTAAGTAGCAGGTTGAGATGACATTTCTTTGTTCAAGCGTTGTTCACCCAAATCCTATTGGATCAAGAAAGTTGAAGGATGAGCATGCTGGGCTGGAGCAGGTGAATCTTTCTTATGCATTGGTTTGGACAACAAAGGTGAATGGAAGGAATGGGCTATCAAGTGGCAGTTTAAGTAAAACTAACTAGATAAATTTTTCTCAAATTGGATGATACTTCTGTGTTTGACAGTAGCTCAGTCAAATCAGCTCGGATCAAGAAAGTCGAAGGATGGAAATGCTGGGCTGGAGCAAGAGAACGTAACCATGTCGTGTAATGCATAAAAAGTTGAGAGTGGGAGGGAGAGACTATTAGCTGCCAATGATGACCTGTTGCTAGATATCCATAAAGTATCATGCATTCATCCTTCCAGTCATGCAAAGTAGCTGAGTTACACAAAGAGGTCCCTCTGCACCTTTTGCTCTGCCAGGGTCCATCTGCTTCACAATGAACAAAGACCACCCTTCATATAGCATCACGCATACAGCATATGTAGAACTTAATGTCAGCTGTATCTCCAAACTTTACAATGAAGCGTAGGGTCTTTAATAGAACAAATCTGCTCGGCGGGGTCAAAGCGATCTTGTGTCAAAGTATGAAGTTCATCGTGGCCATTCCAAGATTTGCCAAATGTCGCCACCAGCCAAAGTGGATCGACCTCTTGAATTTTTTTCGACGACGACGAAAATATTTTTTGGCTGGTAGCGACATTGGGTGAATCTGGGATCGGCCACGATCGACTTCATAGTTTGACACAAGATCGTTTTCACCCCGCCGAGCAGCTTTGTTCTATCAAAGACCCCACGTTTCATTGTAAAGTTCGGAGATCCAGGCACCTTTATATTCTACATATGGTGTAAGCTTGATGCTATATGGTAAGTGATCTTTGTTCATTGTGAAGCAGCTGGACCCTGGCAGAGCAAAAGATGCAGAGGGACCTCTTTGTGTAACACAGCTACTTTGCATGACTGGAAGGGTCGATGTATGATTACTTTATGAATTGTTTAGGAATAGCCATGTATTGGCAGCTAACAGTCACTTCATCATAATCGGCACTTTGGCAAATCCGCTGCATGGGAATGATTGTCCTGTTCCAGCCCAAGATTTCCATCATTCAACTTTCTTGATCCGAGCTGATTTGGTTGAGTTACGGTCAAACACGATTACACCAGTTGAGCAACATACAGCATGCTCTATGTTGCTCAACTGATGTAATCGTGTTTGAGCGTAGCTCACTCAAATCAACTCGGATCAAGATAATCCAATCATGGAAATGAATGTGTGGAGCAGGAGCATCGTTCACATACAGTGGGTTTGCCAAAAGCGTTGATTTGGAAAAAGTGGCTGTTAGCCGGCAATAATGACTGTTACTAGAGCCCTAAAGTATCATACGTCGACCCTTCCAATTCAATGTAACCAGATGTATTACACAAATACCCCCCTCTGCATCTTTTGCTCTATCGGGGTCTATCTATTTGACAATGAACAAAGACCATCTTTCATATACAATCACGCTTACAGCATATGTAAAACATAAACGTGCCTGTATCTCAAAACTTTACAATGAAGCGTGGGGTCTTTAATCGAACAAATCTGCTCGGCGGGGTCAAAGCGATCTTGTGTCAAAGTATGAAGTTCATCGTGGCCATTCCAAGATTTGCCAAATGTCGCCACCAGCCAAAGTGGATCGACCTCTTGAATTTTTTTCGACGACGACGAAAATATTTTTTGGCTGGTAGCGACATTGGGTGAATCTGCGATCGGCCACGATCGACTTCATAGTTTGACACAAGATCGCTTTCACCCCGCCGAGCAGCTTTGTTCGATTAAAGACCCCACGCTTCATTGTAAAGTTTTGAGATACAGCTGACATTAAGTTTTACATATGCTGTAAGCGTGATGGTATATGAAAAGTGATCTTTGTTCATTGTCACGTAGCTAGACCCTGACAAATCAAAGTTGCAGAGGGGCGTGTTTGTGTAACGGAGCCAGAGTCAGAGCTTGAAGAGTCAATTCTATTGGTGGAGAAATGCATGATGAACCCTTACTCTATAGTAAGGTCCGGCAATGATAGTTGTATGGAATGGCTCATTCTTATACAAGGTTGCATAAGATAGCGTTAATTGAAAGTTGTCATAGTAGGCATGGCATTTTCATGTACACGGGGCACATTGTATCAGATAGCATATGATAATAAAGGATACAAAGAAAAAGACAAGGAGGGCATGTGCTCTTCTCCGTCATGATGTACAGCATATAGGATGAGCACAATCTAGCTTGCTTTATTGTTGGATGCCATCCTTTCGACGAGACGTAGCTAGCAGTATCTATTTTACTAAGGTTGGGTGTTGCTTTGGTGGTGGCGTATACTGTGCGAAGAGTGGATATCAAGGTTTTTGACTTGAAATGAAAAATAGTAACATCATCCGGCTGTTGGCATACTGTTGGAATGACACCTTGTCCTTTGCAAGCTTCTGCAGTAGGATCCAATGCATACTAGATGGATAAGCCTTAACCTATGGAGCGAAAAAAGTCATGCCATCATGACGGTACAAAAAGCGTACGCGGACACCTTGAAGATGTAATTTAAAGTGGTGCCTATCAATGCATGATGCGTTTCAGGTTCCTCCGCTCACCTTGAACTCATCACCAATTGCGACTTGGCTTACGTTATGTTGCTTGTGCACACACCCTAATTGTCGTCCCCATCTACCTCGCATTGTCGTTTGGAGTCAACGTAGCGATCGAAGCTTCTAGTAATGTACACGCGCCAAAGAGATTGGAAAGCAGCACTTCTGATACGGCCTTTTTTTCCTGATGTCCCTTCTTACACCACCATTTCGTTTTATTGTTCGCTTCAGCAGGTAGGATAACAAGGCGTTATGGAATGGTTAGTAGTCGTAGATTGTACTGATACAGGGTTTGCGTAGAGTGTCAATAATACAAGAGACCAGTATCATAGGTAAGCATTACTTGCAGGCATGTGCCGTCATTGGATTCAAGGTGATGACACCACGCCTTTACTTGCAGTACAACGACAACCACGTGCGCAAGGAATAAGTGCAACAATGGGTCGGCTCAACATCTACATGAAGGATCCGTTTTTTCTACCGCGTGGCTTCAAAAGACCTCGAGATTCACTTGAATGATCATACGAATGTAACTAGAAGGAGGTAAACAAAGAGGAATATTGGATAATGATGGTATGGGATATGTGTATCTCAAATCCTCATAGTTTATTACAGATGTTGATGGCGGGGTATCCATGGCAACAAGAGCAAGAAAACACATGGTGGCTTTATCACATGAACAAGCAATGTTGCTATACCGACGGTGTCGTCTAGAGATACCATTAGCTTTGGTGCACAAGCGTTGAATTCCCTTGAGGACGACCTTTTTTCTGAGGAAACGCAGGAAAAGTCATTCATGGATTGTATTGCAACAGAGCTCGAACGACGTATAATTCCACGTAGTAGGTAATGGGGTATCATTGTTGCATTTTCAAAGATACGCTAATGTACCACACAAACATTACATAGCAAGGACGCAATGTCGTCGCATGTTGGATGAACAATGGCTGGCAGGTTTTCGCGGCAGGAAGCTTCCCACGGAGCTCAACCAGGCTACATGTTGCAGGAACAATGAAGCGCTTTCTGTTGCACAAGGTATTATGGCATCATATTCAAGCAAGATATACAGACCTATCATCATCATCATACATCAAGCTGTAGCAAAGTAGTGGGCGGTTATGGATAGAATAAAGCTTCCAAAATGTCTCTCCACACAACCTGTATCTTATCCAATGGCTGTATTTTGATATGCACCGCTTTTTGTAAGTAACTAGCATCTTTGTTTCGATGCACGAGCATGCGTGATTGTGAAGGAACAAGCAGAACGATAGCATTACACAAGGAATCCGATGATTGTGGGGTACCAGGGGTGTTTACAAGTATATGTGAAAGATGAAGGTGGGTCGAGTTGCTTTATTTGCTCATGTTGAGCATGATGAATGTGCAGGTACAGGGTGTGAAAAAAGGTTGATTGTGAGGGCATTGTCATGCTCATAGTACTAGTAGTATTCTATCAATGAAGAGGAAGCGGCTAATCAATTTAGTCCCTACATGAAGGATGTATATCTCGATGAGCGGACCCAACAATGTGACATTAATATCATACTTGGCACTTTATATTTACCACGCCTCATCTCATAATGGAACATGGGAATTAGCGCATACGTGTACAATGTATCCCAATGACAGTAAATATACAGCTGCGACATGTACACACTACACAGCCTCCCAGCGCGTAACAATAACAACAACAACAAGTAGTGCTATCGGCTCAAAGGATGCCATGGCCTCATGTCAAATTGTTGTATCCAATGACGAAAATAGGTGATTGATGATCAGGGAGCGGGGCCGACACCATCTGAAATGACGCATGAACAATATGAAATATACACGCATTTACGTTGTTGAGTTTTGGTTGCCTGGCAATGCATACAGCATGTTGTTCATGCTCACCCTCAGCTCAATCCCTTGATAAGCTTGTAACCTCCTCTCGATTGTGGGGTAATGCTCCACATTGGTACGCTCCCAAAAGATACAACATAAGAAATTGTCTATATGTCATGCATGTGCAACTATGAAGGCGAGAGTGTGGAGAAAAATACAAGCCGTGTATGGTTTCTGTGATCGTCATGTCAACCTTATTGGGCTTTGGGCCTGTATATGGGAGCAACTTCCCCACACCAAACCAATAACACACACATAACCAATGCGAGGCACATGGTTAGTTTTCCATGGATCACGCCACTCTTTCCAAGTGGTCCACGCATATAGCTGAAAGGAAACACAAACTAAAAAAGAAAATGCGCAAGTGAAAGAAGCGGACAGCTATTTTTCCCAAGAACAGCGCTCCAATCAACAAGTAAATATACCAAATAGTGCCTCTTTAGGTTGGGTCAACTCCGTTGTACAGAGCAAAATATACCGAAAGAGGGGCCAACCATTTGCTTTGCAAATTAGTAAATTAGGTGGTTGTGTGGTATATCTCAATTCGCTACCCCCATGCAAGCTGAGTTGGGGGAGGGAGCTGAAACTCGATATATAAAAGAAGTTTCGCAGGCTTTCGTTGTCATCTCTATCTTATCTCTTCTTCTTATCTCAACAAGCACTTTCAAAGATGTCTAACAACAACGTTTACCTCAAGACCGCCCGCTATGGCAAGGATCTCGTTCGCCTTCTCCGTGTCTACCGTGAGGGTGAGGTTCAACGCTGCACTGAGTTGACTGTAAGGATCATTACAAATATTTGTTTGTTATGAATGTGCTTGTATTGATTGCAATGGGCTTTTGCATAATAGGTCAGACTTCTTCTTGAAGGTGATATTGAGACCTCCTACACCAAGGCTGACAACTCTGTTGTCGTTACCACTGATACTTGCAAGAACACCGTCAACATTCTTGCCAAGCGCAGCCAAAACGTCGACAACATTGAAGTCTTTGCCCAAGAGATCACTTCCCACATGCTCAACAAGTACCACTGGATCTCCAGCGCTCACGTTGATATCATCAAGCACAAGTGGACTCGTTTGAACGTCCAAGGCAAGCCCCACCCCCACTCCTTTGTCCGTGATGGTGAGGATGTTTCCACCACCAAGGTTGATCACTACCGCCAAGGTGACAAGATCCACATCAAGTCCGGTCTTGCTAAGCTTTTGGTCTTGAAGACCACTGGCTCTGCTTTCCACGGCTTCCACAAGGATGACTTTACCATCCTTCCTGAAGTTTGGGATCGTATCTTCTCCACTGCTGTTGACTGCACCTGGACTTTCACCTCCAACTCCGCTGCTGTTCTCCGTAACATCAACTACCCCGCCATTCACGCTGGTGTTCGTGAAATCACTACTGACACTTTCGCCACTGATGACTCTGCTTCCGTTCAAGCTACCATGTACCTCATGCAAAACCGCATCCTTGAGCGTTTCCCTGAAATCGCCGAAGTTTACTATGCCCTCCCCAACAAGCACTACGTTGGCATGGACTTCTCCAAGTTCACCAAGCTCAACATTGACAACTCTGGCAAGAACATGGATATCTACTATCCCCAACCCGATCCCTCTGGTCTCATCACTGCCACTGCTTCCCGCAAGAACCTTGCCAAGTTGTAAGCTGGCTTTATGGCAGTCTTTATCGGAACACATACCGCTATCATGTATATATATATATAACGAACGATTCAGTAAACGCTGTCAGCGCATAAGGTCGCACAGCATTTGTCACAAGAAAGCTTTTTATATTGTTTGGATTGGATTGGTACATGATGCAAAGGGGATCCTATTTGGTGAGAAAGGGTGAGAGGAAGGGGAAGAATCATGGGAAGGATAAAAGGGAATCATTGGAACATCTGTGTTTAGATTACTCGCATATACCTTCTATTATCAACAACGATAGTCAAGCATGGTATCCACGAGGTAAGTAACGCAATGGCAATTAGCAGAACAAAGTGTCAAAATCATCATCCATAACAATCACGTTACACTAGGAATTCAAGTAGCTTCATTTGGGAGCTGCCGTATTCTTTCTTTTGACACCAACACCAATGAGCAAGGCCCAAGTCATGTTCTTCGCCATGGAGTACCAACAATGTGCAACGCAAAGAAGAGCGTCTTGATGGATAAGGAGAAAAGGAAGGTTTGGAATTGGAAACACGTGGTGACCCATGTTGACGTTGCTCAATCAGCGTTCCCATGCCAACTGCCAGTGGATGCGTGCAACATGGTGAGGTGCCCTTGTTCAATAGCCAGCGACAATCAAGGAGTTGTGAGGAAGCATGCGAGATGATTATCAGCAACCAGCAACAGTAACATGATCAACAGGTTTGGTAGATGAAGGTGGTAGGGAAAGGGCAAGCCATGGTTGATGCGAAGGATGAAGGATGCTTGGTACTTGTTGGCAAGGGAAATGATGGTTGGATCGTGCGAAGGCGACATTAACGTGAGTGTTGGTGCTTCAAAGGTGTTGTGGTATACATGGATTCCCAAAACGATCGATGGTGATGTTAAATGGAATAGTGCAGCAGATGTAGCAGTAGAGATGTGAATACACAATAAATCTCGAGAAATACATCCAAAAACACTCTCTTTTACTGTATGACAAGATCCTACGATGATGTATGCTGCCATAGGATACATATAGAATCTAATCGACAACACCCACGGGATAAAGATCAATGCATGACCCACGTGTAGCTGCAGCAATGTGCGGTGTTGGTAACTTTGGGGTATATCCCGAATTGAGATGGAATGTTTAATTTGGTACATTCAAACCATATGCACGTTTGGTATTATTCTATGCTTCATTTGATGCAATATGTATGCTTAGTGTAAGGGCAAAATGATCCTGTTTATTGACGTATCCATGTCTGCATATTTGTCCTTGTTAATTAGAAGCTATTGCTGCATTTGCAAGAAGTGCGTACTATTGGAGATGAACAAACGTGATGCTGTATAACGCGTGTCTTATAGTTGTTGATAAAGTTGATTATCTAGGGATGGGTTGTATGGATTGGACGTGTAGCAATGTGGTGTGTGTGGTGTATAAAGCATCATCACGTGCGCATAATGTTGTGGTCTGATGTGGCTTTGAAATAATTTTCTCTGGTCTCTGATCCTTGCCACTTACCACCTCTTTACCTGCATAATACTATGTCCAACGAATCAACCAACTACACGGTGGCCGACTTGATACCGCGCATTCAATCCAACATTGACAGTCTCGAGTACCCTGCAGCCTACGCGTTTTGTAAGAAGGCTCTCGAGCTTGAACCTAGCAATGCCGAGTTGCTTGAAGTCACCGGCCAAGTCGAAATGGAGTTGGAACGTTTCCAAGAAGCTCGTGACGTGAGTGTATAGACTCATTAGACGCTTGGGATCTGGACATGGGTTTACTGATACTATGGTGCATACGTATATAGCATATGTTGGCAGCTATCCAAGTCAGCCCCGAATCAGGCTATAGCAAATACATGTATCTCGGCCAAATGTCGGTTGAGAAAGAAGCCATCCAAGCGTTTGAAAAGGGTGTCCAATTGATGATTAAGGAGCGAGAACAACAAGCTGAGGGATCTGAAGGATACATGCTAGTATCAGCCAAGATTGCAAGTGCATTATGCTCCATGACCGAGATCTATCTTACAGACTGCTGGTAAAGGGAAAAGGAGAAGGATACAAAATGTTGGATTGTATTGACACGACATCTAGTTTTGAACCCGAGGCAGAACAAAAGTGTGAGGAGTACCTTGAACAAGCACAGCAAATCTCCCCCGAGACACCTGAAGTATATCAATTATTGGCATCAGTACGACTCAGCCAACAACGCAGCGAGGAAGCTATATCAATTCTTCAACAAAGCATGTCATTATGGATGAACAAGGAATTTGGTGACCCAGCAATACCCATCTACGATTCACGATTGTCACTTGTACGCCTATTGCTTGAAATCGGCATGTTTGAACAAGCATTCACTGTACTCGAGGGATTGCAAAAGGAAAATGATCAGGTGGTGGATCTCTGGTACTTGTATGGTTGGGCATATTATTGCCTTGGTGACGATGAGCACACATCACAAGAGGAACGACAGGGTCATTGGGAAGATGCACGCGATTGTCTTGAAACGGCGGTAAAGGTAAGAAAGAAAAGGGATTGGATCAATATTGAAAGGAGGAGAAAAATGATGAGGAGGAAGAGATCGGGAATCAAGAAGAAATGTCTGAGCGCTTTGGTGGGCGGTTGCTAGGGGAGGGAGAAAAAGAGACAAGCAAGAAAAAGCGGGCATAGCACATGGAAAATGATGGAAGGCTGATTCATTATTATAATTTAGTTGTTCTATACTGTGGGCAGTGACGACCAAGCCATGTTTGATCATAGTCAAGAATTGATATCAATCATCAACCAAGTGGTACCTCCATCAGCTCCTGAGGAAGAGCAACAGCAACAACAACAGGCAACAGGCGACGACATTGATTTCGATGATGACGATGACGACGCTATGGAAATGTAATGGAACCAATATCCAGGAGCATCCCACAACAACGATTTACCCTCCCCCAACCGACCACCAAACACATATACATCACTCACACGCTTATTACTTGTACACACATACACATACAACATCCATGACATCTTAACCTTTTCTCTCTTCATTCCCATCTTTCTCTCTCTTTCTCTTTCTCCATAATGTATCATTAGTATTGACCTTCTCAATCATCGTTCTCTTTGCATATGCATAGATAGACAAAGTTACCAAAACATGTGCCATTGTACTCACTTGTGCCTTTATTGGATGAGAAGGGTTTAGCGCGGGTTCATAGATGAGGAGCTTGAGAAGAGGAGGAGGAGAAGGAAAAGAAAAGGGTCAATTTCTCTCGTTGTGCGTGCGTGTGGGTCCATTACTATTTTCTCCAATACCCATCTTCTTCCCTTTTTCTTATCCCTAAAGATGGGGCTTGCCCGTGAAACGTGTGTCTTTCCATTAGTACAGGGATTATCACATACACCTACAATAATCGCATGCAGGGGACTAGAGGGCCATTATTGTGCACGCACAAACACGCACACACACGGACGTAGAGGGCTGATCAATCACTTCTTAAAGTTTGATTGAGAACCACAGACATTCCCAGCGAAGAAAACAGTATTGGCCGTTTCGTTGTTCCATTTGGATGGCTGTTTCCTTTTACCCTGACATCAATCACCCATACGTCATGCCCTATTATCAGTTACACTTGTGTGATACATGACAATGTCAAACATGTGTTCTCGGATCGTATACTCGATAGAAAAAGTGAAAGGGATTATGGCACCCACACTTCATGCTGACTCTGGGACTGGGCACAAACCGGTTATGGCGCCTGCCGATATGGCACGCTTTTTTCATCAAAGGCACAGTAAGAAAAGGGGAGACATCTGCATACTAGTATAATTAAATCGCTCAAGAGCATTCTTTTTGCTTCTCAATCTACGTACTTGTTCAATCACCAATGCATACATCTACGCTACCAAGCCGAATACATTTATCTTTTGGATACCCATGATTGGTATTTGAATGACCTTATAGAGTGATGCGTACATACGATCATGACTATCAAAGAAAAGTGTTCACTAGTGGATTCAGGGTATGAGTTAGGAGGATATGGTGGTATAGTGACCACATGATGATGGAATGGCAATGGCGAAGGCGGGAGGGCACCCAAAATTATTGCAGTAAATGAAAGATCTTAATGTTTCAGCCGCGTGTCTGTGATAAAGTGCCCAAGGGGAAAGAACACGCGATCACCAGTAAAATGGATTTGGGCGGGCAGATTCACATAGCATTACAGCATCAGTACATTAAGAAGAACGGTGTTGGCAAAGATAAGGGAATAAGCAGGAGGAGAAGTGCTCCTCTTCCCTTTCCACACACGTCCTTGAGGATCCCCCTGAAATGCAAGTGCAATATGGGTATGCATAAGCCGACATCCATCTGTGCTTTTCGCTCCTGCCCCTAGCGCGCAAAATCCCTATATCCTTTCTTTTACCCCACTAACCACGATGATGATAATGATGCTGATGGGGAAAATGGACCTGAATGATTGAGTACGTGTCCATATGAGGATACCGTAAAAAAGGGGGTATGGCTCTTAAAAGGAATAGGAGCGTTAGAGAGTGCTGCACAAAAGAGCGTGCACAGGTACATGACCAGGATGGTGGAGTACATGTACACATGCGGAACAAGAATATTGATTGATTCTTATAATCAGCCAGGTTAGCCAGGGTGTCACTGAAAAGGACGGAGGATGTAAGAACCTAGTGATGCACATGTGCCATTGAAGATAGGTGCCAAGATCAAGGACTTGTTGTATCCTACTAAGAGTGACGACACAATCATTAACAGCAATGCTTGTAGCAGCATCAGCTGTAGATCATGGAGAGAATAGATGGCTTGTGTGTAATGACGATAATGTTACGCCATCCTCTGCTCCTATCAACGTACATATGAATAAAAGTGGAGTAACCATATTATATTATTGTGCGTTGGTTAGGTATTGTGAGAGTGAAAACCCCTTCTTTGTGAATGCACACAATATGGCGATGATGGGGCTGGTGAGCAAATGTGCCTACGTGCACCGTGTGTATTTGTGGAGACTCGCCCTGATCCTCCTAATCCCTTTTTTCTTTCTCGTGTGCAAACAATGAGCCACAGCATTGTTTTGCCTGCCTTTTACTTATGGCATCGCCGTTACACAGTGTTATTGCTTACCTATGCTTTGACAGGAGCACATGATCAACATGCATTCCACCAAGCACCGACCCATGACCTGCATAAAATGTCAAAGCAAAAATGGCATCATCAACAACATCATTGGGTCATCTTTCCAAGTTCAATCGAGGACATAGATGAGGGAAAGTTACCTGAATGCGTTACATGTGCCTTATGATGATGGACACGCGTGTATGATTTATTACTTCCCTGGCTAACTCTCTACATGTTCGCTCCCCGAGGGGTGTGGTGGGAGGTTAAAGGGCTCTCATCACACGTACATGGTTCAAGCACAAACGATGGAACTGATTTCATTCACACACAATCTCTTTTTTTGGCTCCTTTTCTTGTTTTAGCGATGGTGACCTTGTAGGGAAAAACATTTGCTCCCCCCACAACATGATAAGGACGTCGACAAATGTAGTAATGATCCGATGTGGGTCATCGCCCCTTGGCATCAGGGCCGATCCTTTTCCTTTACACCCAGGGAAATCTCATTATTATTTGTTATGCTGTCCCATATGTGGTGTACCGAAAAGTATAAAAGCATCCCCACTCATCACGGACAATGAAAACCAACAACTTGTCTTCTTTTTCTTTTTTACAACTGTTTACACAAAACAACAACAACAACAACAACACTTGAAGCATGAAACGTACGTATACCTTGCACTTTGCATACATCTATCTATAGGATGCTGACCCTGCTCTTAGTCTCAGCCATCTTGAACCCTGAAACGCAACAACAACAACAATCCGGTGTCCACCAAAACCACCAAGTCAATCGATTGGTGTCGCCACCTCTCTCACCCAACAACACCTGTGGATATGATACCCATATGCTTCCACAAATCGTGATCCATGGTAAACCACGTAGCCGTTTTTCTGAAATGGAAGATGCCATCATTTGCGAAGGTGTTGCCAAAGGCTTGACGTGGGGTCAAATTTCTCGACAATTACCTCATCGTAAGCGAGCCACTTGTTTCAATCGTTATCGTACCTTGCAAGGTATTCGCAAGTCTCGTAGACGTTCATCATCCTCATCCAACACGTTGTCATGTGCATCATCATCCACATCATCGCCCTCGCCTCCGTGGGTACCATCTACTCCACCCGATCTTACTGCTACTGCTACTACTACTACAACAACAACAACTGCAACCCCTTCATCAGCTAGCAGTTCCTTCAACACCACCACCACCACCACCACCTTGACGTCTCCTCTTTCATCGACTGCCGATCTTTCTCGTTTCATCTTGCCCTCTCCGAGTGAAATTCTCCACAGCAAAGATATCAATCTTGTCTCCAACAGCAGCCGTTTACCACCCCTCGTTGCACCTACAGCCCGTTATGCCTACAGACCCTTCACACCCTACTAAGTCACTCATTCACAAAAAGCATTCGTTTTACTCCTCCTCTTTCTTTTTGGAGCACACTACACGGGCATCACATCCAAGCATAATCTCTCTCACTCTCACTCTCACATTACCTCTCCTTGTTTGTCCTTGCATCCACCATATCGCACATTTTTACTTTCCTCACACATTACGGCCTTTATTCATTTACTTTTACTGCCGCTGCATCGAGACCCACTACCAAATTTACACTCATGATATACGCAACCATCATCACACATACCTTGCACTTGTAGATAGCTTTTCTTCTTCCTATTCATATTTCTTATTTCATGTGCATGACACACGATCGGGATCTATATGGTTTCTTATCTCTCTTTTCTTTCCATTCTTGTAAGACACACACACAGCAACACCACCCCACCAACCTCAAAACATATATATACACACTACATAGTACATTGATTTTCCTTAATGTAATTAAATTTGTCAGTGCACATTTTACGCCGTTGTTTATGCAACCTGGTCTTATTTGGAAAGAGCGAGATAGCAATGCTTGACACAAAACGGAAGGAGAGTGATTGTAGGGGGGAAAAGATAGTATAGGATTCAGCATGTATATATGGAATGATGTGCACAGACGGATGACAGCTTTAAAGAAGATGATGATGATGACACTATAAGCAATAACTTAAAAAAAGAAATGATGCAAGAGCGCATTCGTTGGTAGGGAAATTGATCACACGGTTAATTTTATTCATTGTAGAATGATGATGAATTGAGGTAGGAGGGGAGAGTGGATTGATCCTATCATGATCTTACCTGGTTGATCTAGATCTCTTTTACAAGATGGCATAGGTAGTGGTAGTGGTAGTAGCATGTCTCCTTCTTGCTGCATGGATACAAGTTGGCAGGACGATTATAGGAGGAATGAATGAACGAGGGTGTGACGGTATATTCGGGTATCATCGACCATCATGTAATAGCAGGTGACTCCTAGTATAGATGAAAGAGGTTTCCAGGTTGCTGGGCAGTGGGGGAAGAAGCAGCTCAAAAAGAGGAAAAAAATCGAGGGGATAAATGTGGGAGGCTGTTGTATGTTGCTCACTTCTGTTTCAATGCGACAACACCGAGGTTTTACTCCTAAGATGGATGGGAGGGTGGCATTTCATGTGTTGGATCACTATATCGACTTTGTTGTCCATGGCAACCATGACATTTTGACAGGTTGAGTTAAAGTGGAAGGGTCGTCACAATTTTGAATGTGTGTGTATGTGTGTGTCTGATGCTGGGGTGGAATCGTTGGGCTTATACATCTTGTCAAATTCTCTCTCTCTCTCTTTTTACCCCCTTTCTATTATCACATTCCGTCCCATGTTCAATCGTGCAGCAGCAGCAGCTTCGACAAAGCGTTGGTTTGCCACAGCCGTACCGGCACAAGCTCCATTGGTCGTAAAGAACAATCGTATTCTCGCTTCTGTTATTTTGTCTCGTGCTCCTCAAATCACTCGCGATTCGACTTCGTTTGAAAAGGCCTACTTTGACTATCGTGAAAAACTCGAACGTCAGCAAGCTACATCGTTCCCTACCGAATTCTACTTTAAAAAAGGATCGCTGGCTGAGCGACGCTGGAAGGAAGAAGAGGAGGCTCGTCGTGCTGCCATGACAGACCCAACAACGTCCCTCTCCGATGCTGTTGCTAACGTCGAACATGAAATGGACGATGCTGCTGCCAATCTCAACAAGGTCGTCAAATCGAGCCGTATCACCAAGGCTGACCAAGAAAACAACACCAAGAGTCTCGATCGTGCTCTTCAGCGTACACTTTACCTTGTCGTTCATAAGCCCGGCAGTGAGCAACCATGGCAATTTCCCCAGGGACAAATCGACTCAACTGAATACCTTCACGAGGTAATTCTATTCCTGTTTTGGATGGAGGAAAAAGAGTACTGATGGTATTGTTTGTATGTATAGGCTGCAGAGCGTCAATTAGCAGATGATTGTGGCAAGGATATGGATGTGTGGTTTGTTGGACGGCAGCCCATTAGCCATTTCAAGCAAGCACCTTCCCGAAAGAACGATGAACTTGGTGTCAAGGTAAATTCATTATTGAGATCCATGAGAGGGATAGGATCATTGATTGAATATGGGATGTGGCTGTTGTGTATAGACCTTTTTCATGAAGGCACGGGTTTATGCTGGTCAAGTCAAGCCCAACAAGGATGTATCCGATTATGCATGGCTCACAAAGGAAGAGTTGGAAAGCAAGCTTTCTCCAGAATATTACAATGCCGTCAAGGACAGCTTAGGTGACCTGTAAGCTGTATGCAACAACGACCCAATTGTACAATCATACACATACACATCACCTATTCATTCATCCCCCCCTTTCCCTGTTACTAAAAAAGAACATAGATTTCTCTCTCTCTCTCTCTTTCTTTTACGCATGTGAATACAAAAAAAAAGTTGATCATCTATTGCTAGCATTTGGAAAAGGGGAGATGGGTGGTAATAGGGTCCGAAAATGGGCACATTTTATTTGGTGAAGTCGACTAGATACGCCTCTTAATGGTCTTTGCTAAACGGTGCCAAAAGAAACGAATCAATCTTTGTTTCCAAGGAACATGTACAGTGATCTGCTTGATGCATGGGATATCATTCTTCATGTTACACTGCGCTTTGGTTTTCTTGGAGTTGGATTTGGCAGGTGCTCGATAACAATGTTGACATACGAGATCATGCCTACCCATCCACACAGGCCACGTTTGTTGTTGAACAAGTTGGAGACATCGAGCACATTCGAATTCAATATACTGCCCAGGAGGATTTGCCAAGTGTTCTTTACCATGTCGTATACACTCGGCGTACTCAAAACATGCCATTTGAAATGTCTTTTTGGTCCATTCATTGTTGTTGTCGTCGTCGTCATCAATTTCATTATCGACGTTGCTTAATATTAACATGCGAGCTGATTCACGTACGAGACGGGCTTGGTTGAGCTCAAAAGCATGCCAAAAACGACGACGTTCTACAAGAGCCACAATGGTAGAATCAAGGGCTTTGAGACGTTGTTCAAGAACAGCAGCTTGTTGACGAGTATCCATACTCTGGGTATTGAGGTTTGCCAATGTTTGTGCAATACGCTGCCGTGCACGCCGTGTGTGGTCAATGGCAATGCGGAGATTGGCGAGCTCGTGCTCTGCAGCTGCATGTTTATTCATTGCATGCATATAGCTTTTTCGACATCGACTTGAAACCACCGGGATCCAATGCATACGATCATATCTACGTCTTTGTTGGGCACGTTTGTGTTGACGCACAACCGCCAATTGTTGTGCAACAGGTAGTCGTTGCTCATGTTCATGCAACGTTTGCTCGACAGCTGAACGCTCTTGATCAAGTTGCCGTTGGTGTCGCTCAATACCTGCAATGGTCCCATAGAGTTGCTGTACTTGTTGTCGTGTATTATCAATACGTCGCTCATATTGTATTTCCAGTACTCGTATCATGCGCTCAAATACAGTATTCTCGTCTGATTGATGATCCACTTGTTCTAGTACCGCATCAATTACCCGTGACCAGCTATCAATTCGATCATGGGGTTGGAGCACAAATGACATGGATGATATTTCTACGGCATGGGTTGATGATGTTACTGGCGGTGATGGCATTTACTACTACAACAATGAAAGAAGAAAAGGGGGGAAGCAACAAGCACAGACACAATCAATGTAATCCAGGAGACATGTTGATCATCCATAATGAATCAACGTCCTCACGGAGATATTTTGTCTCTAGTAAAGAGACCATCACTCTTTGTTTTTATATCCTCGAAAGTAAAAAGTCATCGAATTGTTTGGCCAAGAAATCAATGACGGCCGACCTTGCAATTTCCATATTTGATCTGTGGGAAGGATCGGGTTACTGCATGATGATGATCATTTCACTCCGTTGCCACGCCTTCCGCCTTTAGAGCCCACACTCGCCTTCCTCACCTTTATTCGTATACAATGTCCAATGCCGCTTTCTTTTATGGAACACTAATCTCTCCTGATGTTCAATGCCGAGGTAATCTGTAATGGGACTCATTTACTTTACGGTGTTCATTAACGCGTTATCATACATGCACTATTATCTCATACTTTTCGTATCAAAAGTACTCTGTGGATCATCCAACAAGACACCAGCATCGATTCTCAAACTATCCTCGCTTCGTATGCGACCTGCTATACTCAAAGTATGTACCTGCTAATGGATGCAGCGTGGCACGTATTAATGATGGTCAATGGGTTGTCCAGGGACACAAGCGTTACGCCCTTAAGGATCGACCGTATCCAGGCATTGTTGCTACCGGAAACGATCAAGATAGCGTGCGTGGTATTGTGTGTGAAGGCCTTTCTCCAGCAGATGTGAAACGGTTGGATCTGTACGAGGGCGATGTAAGATACATAGCTCCAGAGTTTGGATACAATCGATGTGACATGTCTCATTGGTGTCTTTTACCAGGAATACAAGCGTGACCAAGTACAAGTGGTTCCTATCGATGATAAGGATGATGGTTCAGTATCATGCCAAGCATACATTTGGATCGAAGGGAATGATCAGCTCGAGAATTACGATTGGGATGAAGACCATTTTCTCAAGGTGAAGGCAGCTTCCTGGTTGGCGGATGATGAGGAATTTAGTGAAGTAGATAAGCTTGATATCCCACAGCAGCAGCAGCAGCAGCAGACATGATAGAACAATACCGACAAGAGATAGATTAGTATCCATTCATCGTCTCTCCCATAGTTGATCCTTCCCGTTCAAGATTTTCAAAATGAAGCGTGTGATTCTAATATGAATGAAGTTGATATGAATGAAGTTGATCAACATGTCTGAGAGCATCTTCAGCTCAAGGTTCGAGTTCGAGATGGGGAATCCCATGATAATCCATACTGTTTCGATAAATCATGAATCCGGTGCAGACGCAATTTCCAACCCGCATACTCAATCCCACATTGCCCCCTCCAATTCCAAATTTTATAATGAATTGCAGGTTCTTTTATAATACAAAGTTGATCAGCATGTCCAGAAGCATCTTGTGTGAAAGTTTCACGATCGAGGTGGGCAATCCCATAATCAAGATTTAGCTTACAGTGTTCATGGATTTGTAGGGCAGCGTCTGACCTATTTAATTTCAAGTCTTGACCCATTCAAGTATACCACTACCACCTGCGAACGATTATCCTGCTTCAACCCATCATGCTAATCCTGCATTTGCCTTGATCCGATTGTCTTTGACTAAATGGCAAGTCCACGGTGTGTACACAGCCTTCGTATCACTCTACTTCAACACGTGCCTTTCTTGACACTTCGCCTTCTCTTGTACACACTCCTCTGCCGCGACCAGTCGTAACAGTATTCATCCAGCAGTTGCTATCAGTGTCACCTTTATTCCGTTGTCTCAAACAGCGTTACAACCTGGTCATTTTACTACAACACACGCTCTCTTGCACACTCCTCTACCACAGCATCCTGCCTTTCAGCCCTTTTGCGTAGACAGCGGATAGCCATTGTATACAAGCAGCTTTATTTACGCGTAGCAACTTCGCTTTGATGCATACGACTTCCAATGGATGACCCCATATCAGCTATCAAGTACCCGGCAATACAAGCAATCATCGCCTGGTTGAGCATCAATGAAAATGACCAAGAAAGGGATAGGCCAGCAGCCGGATGGAAAAGGAAGCATATGAGTAGCGAACAAGCATTTCTTTTCAACCAACATGGTGGATTTGCAATGGTTATGGATGGAAGGATGCGATCAAGTGCAGTGATGAGAAGTCCTGGAATGTTACTTTGGTTGCTTGGCGCCTCATCAGCAGGAACGATGGATCGTGTCACGTGAATACGGCTGAGGAGGGTGATGGATTGGTTGGAATTGGCGAGAGGGCTTATATCTTTGACAAAAGGAGGTGTTTCACAGCTATGGATATATTGCAATACTCGAGCCAAAGCATACAACACCTATCTTGCATCATAGATGAAGGGTGATCATGACGACAGCAATCAAGAATAAGATGACACAATTATCCCTGATGACTCTAGATGCTTCGCCCATACCCTATTCCATTTGGCTATATTGCTTCCTTATGTATCATGTATCTACTTGAAACATCCACAATACAGTGTGCTACGTGTTCTTCGACTTTTTATTGAATGAAAATTGGATTCAACATAATACTTTGGGTATCGTACTATTAGCTCTGATGTGCTAGAAGTGGACCAATTGTTTATTTTTGCATTGAAGGGGGACAGCAAAGTCGACGGGTGGAAAGTGAGATAAACTTGATACGCGGATATCATATTTGGTAGGGGTTACACAGTAGGTTACACGATTTGGTTCAGGGGTGAAGTTGCATAACTAATCGATCGATGGAAAGCGCACAGACCAAATAGCTTAATTACGAGGGCTGTTCTCAATTGACGTCATGAGCAGTGATCATTCTTATGGAGCTAAGAGCATAGAATATTGTTGAGGGTACGTATAAACAGCAATAGCTGTAGCAAGCGGGGTGGCATGGAGTGCAAGAATTGGAGCGAACAGGAGGAACAAAGAGACCACTCTTCTTCACTTCCACTTCACAAAAAAGGTAAGCTTGTCTCCATTTACAAACCACAACGCGTTAATTGCTGGCATTCCTTCCAATGTACAGCGTTCATTGGGGTGCACATGTGGTCAATGGCGACACTTTCCAGTTGCAGACATTCAACAAGTACGCGCGCGATCTGCCCATGACTCAAGCTTCCATTGCAATACAACATGTACGTTCCATCGCTGCATTCCTTTATCATTCATACTGGACATTGTGGTTCTAAAGTTCACGTGTAGTTTGCTGTTCTCGCGTTTATACGAGATCCAAAGTGGGCGTCGTGTGTCGTGTGTATGCTTTCACTGGTTGTCATCAAGGAGGGTCGCAACCTATTGTTACTATGGGTATGTCGACATGAAAAGCGAATGCTATTGTTACCTTACACTTCATTTACTGTAGCTTGAATACGTTGGATGATGGTACCTCTGGCAGCAACAAGACATTGATTTTAAAGCAAGAACGCTGTACGATGGCTCAATGGTATGCATGGTGTTTGATCTACAAAGCGAAACCTGTTAATTAACGAGACTTACAGTGAAACAGCTGCAATACAATATGGATGACATGGAAATACGGTTTTGTTTGAGGCAATGATGCTATTGAGAAATACCACAAGGTAAGAGTGTTCATTGTGGGATTGGTGTGATTCAAGTGGACTTACCAAACGCCATACAGTGGCAGAGCCTCTTTCGGCGATACTATTTTGATCAATCAGCACGTCGAGGATGTCATTGTATAGTACTATGCTCTCCTGGGGAATTTTGGCCCGGAAACAGTGTGACTCAAGATGCGATGGCAAGGCCAATTTGAAAAGGCATCCGCTGTGCACACGGCCTCCATCCAAGTACGGCTATTGATTTCCTTGCCTACAGAGAGAAGGTGGATATCTCTTATGATGCCAATTTCAGGATCCAATGAGAGTATGGTACATATGGTGGCATACCTTGGCGCTGCAGGTTGATGATTGTATTGCCTTCGGATGGTGTATTTGGTTGCAATTCCTTGTGATCACCATGGTTCAGGGCGTCGTGTGCCTTCCTTACCGAGTTGTCCACAATGAGAGTTCTCAAGACGTCTTCACATTGCCTCTTTTGGGTATGCTGACAACAAAAGCGTGTGGGTTGGTTTTACTTGTTATCTTACATTACATTTACTGTAGCTTGAACACGTTGGATGATGGTACCTCTGGCAGCAACAAGTCCTTGATATCAAAGCAAGAACGCTGTACGCTGCCTCAATGGTATGCATGGTGTTGGATCTACAATGCAGGACCACTTAATTAACCAACCTTACCATAAAACAGCAGCAGCACATACTGGATCGGATGGACTAGGTTATTTACAAGCATCAATGGAATGGTATTGGGAATACCTCAAGGTACAGTGCATCATTGTTGGATTGGTTGGATTCAAGTGAACTTACCAAACTCCATACAGTGGCAGATCCTCTTTCGGCGATGCTATTATTATCAAGGCTGCACGTCAAGGACGTCATTGTACTACACTTTCCTGTGGAGCTCTACATGTTGTGCCCGGGGACAGTGCGACTCATGTTGCGGCCTCAGGGATTTAAAAATGCATCCTCTGTTCGCACGGCTCCATCGTTTACGGCTATTGATCTCCTTGCCTTTAGAGAGAAGATGGGTATCTCTATTGATGCACTTCATCGCGTCGATCCACAGGAGAGTACTGGTACTATGATGTTTCTTTGGCTGTGCGCTTTTATTATCACTTTACATCCTGGTGGCCTATTTGGTTCCAAGTCTGCGGGTGATGATTTCGTGATTCAGGTATGTATGACTCTCATGCTTTTTGGAGACCTTTGCTGAAACGCCTACCATCATTTAGAGGGACCATTGCAGAGAGCTGCTTGTCTTTTGGTGCTTTGACGTTTACAAGATCACAGCTATGAATTGCTAAGTATTGTTGGATGAGTTGGGACAATTGTTTATGGTGCATCTTTTATAGATGAATCATGTCAGCCATGGGGAAGCGTTTATGTCTTTTGGTGGTGTCAACCTTTATTGCGTCTCGGGTGGTTGGTTACCAAGCAACGGGCGATTTCTCTGAAGAGTGTCCGCCAATGCAAGTCTCTTGTGAGTGGATTGTATCAGCAACAAACAACAGCATGCATATCTTTGGTGCCATATCAGCTCCCATCATCCATCTGGTGCTTCCCATTACCTGCAATTTGGTGAACCTCCTGTAACAAAGGTCCCTTATCGATCGATCATGTCAGCAACAAGGAGAAGGTTTATACCTTTGGCGTCAGCAAACTTTCGATCATCTCGTGGTTGTGATTATCGGCAATTCCTTTGATGGATCTCTACAACTATACCTGTCTCATGGTTGGATCATGTCATCAACAAGCAATGAGAGGCCCGCGTTGACATCTTTGGTGTTACCAAGGTCATTTATGCATCTCCTCAAGGCATTCATCGTCAAGCTGCATTCGATTTCCAATGAAAAACGATTGCCATTCACATCGCTCTTTAGCCATATGTACGTCACTCCGCAGCTAGGATCTGGTTTGGGCTTTTCGATGCACAATGCTTTCTCGATTTGCATGTGGTCTTGGGCAGCAAGGATTGTCTCGTTGTCTCTCTTTGTAAGGGCTCTTCGGCATCATGTAAGTATGCTCTCTTTGGTGGTATCAATATTAACTCGACCTTCTCACTGCATATGCCCATAAAGTATCGTTCCATCGCTTTCAAGCCGAGTGCCACCGTAGCGGGTCTTATCAACAAGCGGACGATTGCAAAGCATAGGCTTGATTTGGATATCAGCAGGATTTCATGCATATGGCTATCATTGGTAAATAGAGGATGATCCGTTTTTTGGCTCCAATCCCAACCAACATCCTCTTTTATTATAGTGTGCGGACTATTCAGCAATCTACTTGTCTTCTGGTGCATTGGGATTTTTATGGATGCAGCTGTCATTGGATGCCAACATGTTTTCGTTCGTATGGCTATCATTGGTAAATAGTGGATGATCCGTGTTTTGGCTCCGATCTTAATCAACCTCTTCTTCTATTATAGTATGTGGTCTATTCAGCAAGCCACTTGTCTTCTGGTTCTTTGGGTTATCATGGATGCAGCTGTCATTGGATGTCGACATGTTTTCGTGCGTATGGCTATCATTGGTAAATAGTGATCCGCTGACTTCTTCAACGCCTGCTAACCTCCTCTTCTATTATAGTATGTGGGCTATTCAGCAAGCTACTTGTCTTCTGGAGCATTGGGATTATCATGGGTGCAGTTGTCATTGGATATCTGCATATGGCTATCATTGGTAAATGATGATCCGTTCTCTTCTTCAACGCCTACTAACCTCCTCTTTTATTATAGTATGTGGGATATTCAGCAAGCTACTTGTCTTCTGGTGCATTGGGATTATCATGGATGAAGCTGTCATTGGTAAATAGTGATCCCTTCTTTCCTTCAACGCCTACTGACACCATCTTTCATGTGGGTTATTCAGCGAGCTACTTGTCTTGTGCCCTTTGGATTCTTGATGGATGCAGCTATTTTTGGATGTCGACAGGGTTTCATCACATGACTACCATTGGTAATTGATGATCCATTCGTTTCTACAACGCCTGCCAACCTCCGCTTTTATCATAGCATGTGGGCTATTCAGCAAGCTATTTGTCATGTGCCCTTTGGATTCTTGATGGATGCAGCTATCATTGCTAAATATTGTTCTATGGATCTGGAAGACTGTTTACCGTGCATCATTTGTAGGTGAATCATGTCAGGGTCAAGGAGCGACGTCTACAGTATAGCATCGTCCAGTATCAGCTGGCTTTATTACATCGTTCGATGGTTCTCGTTACCACCTATTGGATACTTCCTTTTATTTGCATCTGCAACAACAAGCAACAACTTGTATATCTTTTGGTGTCGCCAAGCTTGATCTCGTCTGATTGTGATTCTAGTTGTCGACAATCCTTTCGATGGATATCCCACCATACGCATGCCTGTTGTCGGTGGACCATATCAGCACAAGCAACAAAGTTCCTATCTTTATTGTCAACAGCATTTACTCGATCCTCTGGTGGTTCTCGTTATTTGACCAATTGATTTCAACAGCCCTCTGCAGTGCACGTCTCTTATGGGTGTATCGCATCAGCAACAAACAACAATATTACACACGTGTCTTTTTGGCGCTATCAAGGTTTATCCATCGCTCAAGGCATTCGACATCAAGTATCGCTCCTTTCCTTTGGAGAAAAGATTACGTATCAGCATTGGTCATTGTATCGACATCGTTGAAGCAAGGAAATTGGTTTTGGTTGCTGGGGGCATCAAACATCGTGGATTCTCATATGACACAGGCTAAGTATTGTTACCATTACCTCAGAGATAAATTAGTGACATGCATTTTTATAGGTCCATCATTCCATCAAGCTATATCTTCGCATGCTCTTTGGTGCCATCAAAGTCTCTCCTTACAGCTGTCAATGGCGATTGCTATTGAATTGGAAGACGAAGATCAACATTTGAATTTGGGTGGGTGTCTCAGAAGCAAGCAAGCGATCTCTATCTTATAGTTGTGGTTGTCAAGGATACCGTTTCCATCGTTTTGGAAATCAGTTACCTGCAAGTCGTCTCTTTATCGGTGGATCTTCAGAACAATGTTTTTATCGGTGTCATGGCGGATCTCATTCCTCAAGTACTTGTATGGATACCTTGGACGTTCTTTCTGATCATACCATTTATCACGTGAGTGCACATAGCGCTCTGCATTATGAGGATGAGTAGGAGTCGTGTAACAGGCTCTCTCTTTCCTCGTCAACCTACTTTAATTTCCTGATCTTCCACTCTCATCTTCTTGCCTCTTCCTCCCATTCTCAATTACTGGCCCATTCAAGCACAACTACCACCTGCGAACAATTGTCCTGCTTCAGCTCATCATGTCAATCCTACAACTCGCTTGATCCGATTGCCTTTGGTTGCATGGCAAGTCCATGGCGTGTGCATGGCCTTCTTGTCACTCTTCTACAACACACGAGTCCTTTGACACGTCACCTTCTCTTGTACACTCCTCTACCACGACCAATCGTAACAGCATTCCTTCCAGCAATTGCATATTAGCAAGATCTTATCCATCGTCTCGAACAGCGTTCTTTACTTGCAGCAACATGTCTTAACAACCTTTGTTACGTGGACAGCAGATAGCCATTGTATAGAAGCAGCTTTATTTACGTGTAGCAACTTGCTCCAATACATACAACTTCTTATGGATATGGATATGGATAGTGCATTACTTTGGTACATGGTTGGGAGGGAAATGGGTATATACAACGCATGGAAAAAGAGCCTTGTGTTTGTGTATCTATTGTCAACTTGACCATTATGCTTGATACTAAGATGAACGATTGGCGCGTTCAATCATCGTACTTTTACACCTATCACACGACAGCTACCTTCATCCTCCTTTGTGCAACCTGTCAACCACTACCATCATCATCCAACTTTATGTTTTGACACGCCTTGCATATGATTCGTCACCTCGCATCCATCCATTCATTTTTGCAAAATGCGCGCCGAAAGGATAGAAACTTCCCAAGTCAATGTATCTTCCCCATTGAAGCAATTTGTTGTACTTTTCGATCTATTCTTGTGAATGATGTGGATTAAAGGATTACTTTCGTGAATACGGGGATTGCGTTGGCCAACCGCTCTAAGCTTCTAGACTTTGTTGTGTATGGGCATTTGATGCATGTATTATAGAAAGATTGATGGTATGGCAAATATCATGATGTTGTAATATACTCGAAAGTTTCTTTTTATGAGGAGGATTAGATTGTAAACAGCCTATGTTACAATGGGGTTGTTGGGTAAGGGGAAGCAAGTGTGTGTGTTTGTGTATATGGTAAAAAGTTCTACTTTGTGAGATTTCAAACAATGGGTCCTGTACAGTGTAATAGATGAATATGGGTGAGTGAGTCTAGAATAGATATGTATATACGAAATGCTGATTATCCTCATGATCCGACCACGAGTAAAATGCGAGTGAGACGTTCAACCAATACGAGATGATTTGGCAACATGGAGGCGTGCATTCTTGCATAGGATGGAGGATGATTGACGTATGATAGCGCATTGTACTGCTTCATTATCTCGCGGAGTGCCGTACGTGCATTTCGGCTTTGCTTATTATAAACCAGGTGTAGCTAAAAAGAAGAAGAAAAAAAGTTAAAACATGCTAGCCAAATCACAAAGAAATACCATATTTACCTCAAGAATGGATGGCTGTCTACAAGATACCGCTGCCTCTTGTGATGAATTCTGCTTTACAAGGTAACCGCTCGATAAAGGTAACATCCATCGATCCAACTCGTTCATTGATTCCATTGACAAATCGCCTTGATATATATTCACGCGTTGTCTTGAATACGCCATACGATGATTGAGCAGGATTAACAAAGTGCTAGGATCCATTGCCGGCTGTGGTTTTGTCTTGTTTTCTTTACTTCGTGGAGAATCGGTTGGTGTCGGTGAGGATGAGGATGATGAGTAGGTATATCGCTCTGATAATTGACTCATGGCTTGGGCTGTCAATTCCTCGGCACTTAGCGAATTGTTGGTGTTGGAAAGAAACATGTCGATAGTCAAAGGTGAATCAATGTCGATACACACAATGGCCACTTTTTCATCATGGTCACCCGCAGAGCATAATACATCCTCCCAAGCTACATGAGAATAATGTTTGTCGGTTCACATGTAAAATGGTTCCTTTGAATCCTGCATACCTTGTAATTCACTCTCGAAAATCAAACCCATCTTGGCTATTGCATATTGCCACGAGAAACCAGTTCTATGAGCAAGCTTTTTTGTCCTTGACCATGCTTCTGCAAACACCTGAACAAGTGGAGAGCCATTGGGTTTTCCAGCGACAACGGCAGCTTGAATCTCGAGCACAGCAAATTCAATAAGTTCACCACGATGGTCTGTCCAAACTGTAATCATCCACCGTCGATCTAAGCTGAAGCTGTAAACCATATGAAGCATAGCATCTGAATCCACAATGACGGTGGGGTATGGAACTAGGGGTCGCTTAAAGGAAAATCGGATGGTATCAGGTACTCGTTGGGCTATCACCCAAGGTGGTGTGTATAGTAGCGAATGGGATCGTGTGCTATCCACTTTCTTCTAAAGTAATCCGAGTGAGATGATGTTGATGATGAAAGGATGCTTTTGTTACATCACTTACTGTTCGCTGAAGTGTCGAATGGCATTGACTGTAGACTGAGAATGCGATATCTTTGAATACGGGCATTGTGCATGATTCACCCATTCGAAGGACATGTTCAGCAGGTATGATTTGCATCGCCAAGGCACGTGGATGAATAGTAGCTCGTCCAAAACGTCGATAAACAGCGGTATACGCCGATACAAGTGTACGGAAAGCACGGCTCAGTGCCAAATTGGAGGAGAGCTGTGTGGATGGGTTGATCAGATATATTACAATGTTGGTAGTGTTGCGTTCCTGCGCCAGCATATTGGTCATGCCGAGAGTTGTTCCCAATTTTTCACATGCGTCATTATAAGCTGTTGTCCATGATGTATTTGCTATATGGATACAATGCAATGAGAATCATCTCCTTTTCCACTGGAAGGAAAAAATAGACTTACCATGAAGAGGTACAGCAGCAACGCCACCAGTAAAGGGCTCTGCCCGACCTGGTAAATGGGTGCCCAAATTGCACACCTCATAGGCACATGAAAGATTTGCAATGAATGTTGAAACAGCCTTGGTCATTTCTTGATTATCTGGATACAGAGCAAAGTAACGGATGTTGTTCTTGAAAGAATAGGGCTCCAACTTTATCTTTTCCCATACATGGATCATCCCAGGAGATCCTTCCAACCAATCATCATTTCTCCCCACGACAATATCAGGTGGACCAAGAGATTGCAAATCTGGTTCTGTCGACCGTTTCTTTTTGACTTGGAACTTGCCATAGTATCTTGATTGGGTTGGTGTGGTCTCTGTAATGACAGCAATCAATATACTCGATTTATGCATGGGTAAAAATATTTGTTTCTTACCGAGAAGCTGGTAGTATTCCTGTACTTTGAGTGGTCCTTTGATACTGACACCGCCTACAAGTGTTGATGTGGTCGTGGATGGAGAATCCATGGCATCGGATACGTCGGCTGGTGCTGCCCCATCAGGTGTTTGTTGACTAAACACTTCTTCCAAAAGACATTTGAATCCTTGGACAGCTCGTACGCAAGTGGATGGCAAAGAAGGTACATGGGTGATATCTAATATTGGGTGCATTAACAAATAGGGTTCAATGAATGAATGAATACATGTAATAACTTACCACCTCGAATGCTTTGGATCAAAGTAGTTTGGCGAGTGACAATTGTTGTAGCATCCTCACGTGCACATACGCCATCCGAAGATCCGGACATGCTTTCTGGTAACTCTCCTGCAAAAGGATAACCACCCCACACAGCTTGTTGACAGAGTTGATCAAGCGATGCGATGTCATCTGGGTTCATTTTCTCGGGTTGAATCGTATCCATGATACTGGTAGGAAATGGGCTGTCATAATCCATCACTAAATTTCCCACACGATGCCGCTTTGGCCGATTCTTGATATCTCCCAGCAACCGTCGAATGTATGTCATTTGTGCATTTTGGATTCGTTCAAGCACATCCCCGCTTTGTTCGTCTCCATGGCTGCTAAGGCTGACATCCGAAGAGCTGGCATCACTTTGATCACTTTCATCCGAAGAAGACGTATTTGTACTTGTTGATCCGGTCTCACTGGCATCATCATCATCCTCATTTTTCCCATCATCGGTATTGTTCTTTTCCTCCTCACGCTTTGCTTCATCCACGAGGATCTTTGGTGGTACATAGTCGGGGCGATATCGATTCAACTTCACATCTTGGTCTGTAGTCTCACTCGTTCCAATATCATTCGAAGGTGACTTATAGTCAAATTTGCCGCCATCCATATACTTTGCATCATCGACGCCCATAGGAAATGCAACAGCTGAAAAGTCTTTGGGTATCATATTCAGATTATCCATGCCATATCCAGCTTTGGAGGTAGTGACAACATGAGGAATGGATTGTTGATAGGTGTGTTGTCGAATATCAGGTGTTGTACATATTGACATGTCGACTGTGCCTGGAGCTGTTGTTGAGATGCCTGCATCACTGGATGCCACGGGTGTTGTATCACATGCCATAGGACTTGTACTAGATTGAGCTTGCTGGGGTGGTGGATGAGCTACTTCTTCCGTTGGCATGGGAGCAACAGGCTGAGCTGATAAATCAAATGGCTCACTTTTGATAGCATCAGGGACCACGTTATCGGTTGTTGTTGATGTTGTTGTAGGTGCTAATGTTGATACATTCATCGAATCACTAACAGGTTCTGGTTTATCCAAATCCATCATCGAGCAAGAAGGTTGTGGTTGTGGTTGTGGTTGTTTCTTTTCGGATTTGAAAAAGTCGAAATCGGCTTCTGTCACGTCGAAATCAAAGTTGTCAAAGTTGTCATCCATATCATTATCCCAACGTTCGGTTGCAAACATGCCGTTGCCATATCCCAACCCAAATGCATCCTCTGTGGTAGCGATATCTTGCGTAATGACAGGTGTCTCATCAGGATGTTGATCAGTGGGTGTTACTGTGTAAGGTGCACTTGGCGCTGAATCTTCTAAAGCACTTTCCATTGTCATAGGAGTATCTTCATCTGCAGGGTTGCTGAAATTGCGCATAATAAAATCCACCAATGAATCGTTTTGAGTCCCATCCATGGCTGTCGTAGTCGTAGTAGCCATGTCATGTGCTGATGATCGTCGACTTGCAGCAGCTTTGGATCGTACAGCAGGAACAGTTTGCTGATCCAGTGCCTTTTTCAATACTGCAAACTCGTGCATAGGATTCCCCGCTGCCAATGCATCCATAATTCTACCAGCCGAATCATCAAGTGACCAATAATCGATGCGACATCCATCTTGAGGAGGCATGTTGTTGTTGTTTTGATTCATTTCATTGATCCATGACCATCGATTCCAATCCTTTCCAATATCACGCGTGAGACCCCGATCACAGCTGAATACGCCATCCATTCCAGCCATGCGTGCTGATGATTGTCTGGTGGACGTAGGAACAAAAACCAATTTGGCTGGGTATAATGCTGTGGCGTTGGTTTTGGTACGAATAGCGACCAATGATGGTAGTGCTGGAGTAGGCTCAGATGTGCATGGTGTAGTGAGATGTTGGATCGGCATGTTGTACAATGATGACCACTCTCGAATTGTCTCATCTTGCACTTGTTCGGATATTTCCGATACGTATGAAGTAAGGCAAGCTTGTTCACCCGAAGGACTCAATATCACTAGATGGTATTTCACCCTATCAATTGATGCTCTTTTCCTAGGTTTCTTGGGATTATCCGTACCTTTCAATCCATAATTATCCAAATCCTCATTCACCAGGGCACGCAATCGTAGCTGTCGGGTATAAGGTCGAAACACGAGGTCTGTTCCAGTGACATAAGTATTGTATGCACATCCAACCATGGTCGATGTAATAGAAGCTGGCAATGATGCTTGGAAAAGGCCTGTGTCGTTGTCATTGTGTTGCAATATGAAGAAATCACCCAGCGGAATGGCTCCTTTACTCAGCATTGCCCTGATTATCCATATTAGAGAGATTCCATATGAATCATCATCCCCCATCTTGCACGCTTACCTATTGACAAGGTTCCTCACAGATTTGATAAATAGCTTGTATTCCTCGGGTAATGATACTAATGACTTTGCACGGGGCTGCTGACTCGCTTTGCCATTGGATGATGGAGATGATGATGCTGATCCTCCTTTGCTGCTGATGATCTTGTCCCAAGTAAATGATCCCATCTTGGTTTCTACAAGTTGATATCCACATAGTAAATAAAGATACCTCTCTCTTTCTCTCCTATACACGTGATTATATGACCAATTCCCCCATTTACCTTCCAACTCGGTAAGGTGTTGATTTGCATCAATGATACCCGTATGTCTATCTTCAAACCAAAACACCCATAACTCCAAAGACAGTGAATCGCGACTCTGGTTGACTCGTGGTGTCATTCTCCAAGTGCAAGGAATGTTGAGTTGACAGAGGTCATGGTATGCTTGGATCAGCGGGTTGGAGCCCGATGCCTGGGTCTTTAAGCAACTCAAGAGAGTGGATCGCTGGCATGCGTTGGTATAAGCTCGATAACGTATATGGGAGACGCCATTCTAGAATACGATCGAGAGAGAATTCAGCGACATGAGAGAGATCGTGGGGGTACATGAGGATATTACCACAACAAATATGTTGGTAAGGCTGGCATCGGTGACCATGCTGAGAGTGAAGGAAAAGGAACGTGTTGCGAAGAATAAACAAGGAGTGTCGTTGTTTTATGTGGCCACCACACGCACCAAAAGCTTGCTGTTGTGTATAGGGAAAAAGGCGGGTTGAACGGTTGTGGATGGGATGTTGAAAGAAGAAATGCGGAGGAGCAATCGTTTGTCCAAAGTAGTGAGTCACGAGGTCACTCTTCTTAACCAGCATTGTACCATACATAGCTACGTATGTAACTGCAAAAGAAGCTCACGTAAGCATGATGCATTATTCTTTTTCTTTGCAGGGTTTTTGTACGACTTTCCATTTCGTAGTGATTTCACACGCATATGCACATACACACACACACACACACACACGCACATACATACACATAGATCAGGGCATCAATAAAATGGCTTCTCTTCTTTCATCATGTATTTAGTAGTCATGCTTAAGAATAGATGCTGCATCAAGGATACTGGAAGCTGTCATAGAAACAGCCTGTTGAATAATCTCTGTATCATTGGATACATAGGCATCCCAAATAGCTGGAAGTACTTGGACAGCAGGAGTGTTCGAGTATAAATTGGGGGCATAAATGACATGCTTAAACCATTCACGGCCTTGGATCCCTTCGTTGCTGGCAAATCCACGTTCAAAGTACATGAGTCGCTTGTTGGCCTTAATCAGATGTTTAAGCACGTCTTCAGGTAATTGATCATCATGGCGATTTATGTAAGGTTCAAGGGAACTTTTTAGCTTTTCTCGCTTGTGCTCAAATTTACGAGATCGTTTCCTCAGCTTTTTCAATGGCTTGTGAAAAGGTCCATGAGATAGATCGGCGATTTGTTGATGTACCCCGTTACCCATTGTTGTCGTCGTTGATAATAAATCACCAATGTACTGATTCACTTCGGTATAATAGTCTTGTGGATACATGGGCAAAATGCGATCATGTGCAAGGTGGAAAGTTAACAGGCCCCAGATCTTGGTTAACGTTGCATGATATTCAAAAGTGGGATCGCCGAACTTTTCCATCCAGTGAAAGCTATGTATGGAGAAAGCTGAATGCGTAAGTCTATGTATTGATACAAAGCCCATAATCACACCTTACCTGTCATATGCACTGTAGCGTACTCCCATGTCCCCGGAGAATCCAAAATGCATGCTCGCAATACCAACATGGCTGAGAAATGCAGTAACATCCGATCTTGAATTCATTGGATAATCCACAGGTGGTGTCTCCAATGGTGTCCCTCGTGTATGATTGGCATAGGTGAGCCATGTATCATAGATGGTTTGGTCGCCATTCGAGCCAGGATCAATGACTGATTGTGTAACTTCATGAATGAGCTGCTTAAGAGTAGGGGATGCCTCTGCAAAAAAGTATGGCCCTTGCACACCAGCATCCACATTAATGTAAGCAACAGCTTCCTTGGCAAGCCAATCCTTGTGATCTTCAACCCATTCAGTGGACCCAACTGTGCCAAAGCTGCCAGCATCCCAGGATGCAATAATGATGGTACGACGAGGTTGCCATCCTTTACTCAATAATACGCCAAGTGCCCTTACAAGCTCAAGCTACATAATGTACATGGTATGAACAAGACAACCCAATACAAGAATGCACACGTACCATTGTTGCTGCTCCTGATGATGGATCCGAAGCACCATAAACCCAAGCATCTCTATGGTTACCTACATATTGAATGGCATTCACAACGTCAGTGGGTGAAGTTTACTGTATTTTTGCATTAACATTCATGACTCACCCAAGATTACAGCATGATCAGGTTCCTCCTTTCCTTGAATACGACCAATTACATTCCAAATTGGCGTATGCTTGTTCTCGACAATGTTGACTAAATGCACTTCTCCTTCACTTGGTCCACTGCAATAAGTGATGTCATTTAATCCTCCATGCCATTCATCACCATTGCATGATCCACGATTTTCGACAGCTTTCAAAAGTGGCAATGCATCTTCGTATGAAATGGGTAAGGAAGGTATACGTGGTACACCAATTGACTCGTCGAGGCTAACCCTTGATGCATTCTCGGCAGCAGCCCATCCAGGTGTTGTAGGATCACCTGCCAACATGGGTGAAAATTGAGCAGATCCACGTTGCACAGAACTAGAAGGACGCCTGTGACATGTACAATAGTAAGAGACGGTGCATGCATCATTGATATTGGATTCCCTACCATGGACCTTCAGGATACGCCTTTGCTGGGCTGACATGTGGATAGCCATCTTTGTTGATTGGTCCATCATCCACTGGATCAGGGTATGTAAGCACGCCAACACATCCAAATTTTTCCGCTGAGCGTATACTGTGTCCTAGAGACGGGGAAGTCGTTGACCGTATCAATGCAATGGTTCCATTCACTTGTACACCCTGAGCGATAAGATATTGAAAATCTTTGATGCGACCATAATGGGCGTAAATGATAGGTGCCAAAGCTGTTCCATTCTTGGAGTAGCCTATCAAGGAACAAGAGGCAAGCACATGCAAGGGAAGAGAGAGGGTGAACAAAGAAAGAAGAAAAACAAACATTCATTTTAGCACGTTGATGATAATCAAAGCATCTCAGCTTGCTTTCCGCCCCCTCCCTACCATGAAACGCGGGCATTGATACACCTTTTTTGCTGGATTCATCTTCATCTACCGCCTCCTCAACAAGTTTGGCCTCGTATTGCAATTCAACGGGTCCTGATACAATGGCTACTCGTCGCTCAAGTGGATAATTGAGGAGTGGGTAATAGGTTTCAATCGTCGTATTGCTGATGCCATATTCTAGAAACCGATTGCGTGTCCATTCAGCTTGCAGCTTATCACCTTGGGTACCAGCAAGATGGGTATCCGATGTATAATATCGCAAATGATCCATGATACTAGCACTCGTCGGGATCTGCATCATCAGATTTTCAAAGTCAACTATGGATTCATTGTTACGAATGTTAGTACACATACCCACCCATTGGCATGATGATGATTCTTACCTTGCTGCTGGCGGTGAAAGAGCATGTATACTAGTAAAGCACCCAATGCGAAAATCGCAAGCACAATGGTCGACACACTAACGAGGATCTTGCGTGTCGTAAGACGTGGTAGTTCCAAAACGCCTTTGTTAGGATTGATCAAAGGAGCTGATTCGCCTTTGGTGGATCCAATGGTTCTTGTAAACCAACGGCGAGCCGACCGGATCCAGGATTCGTTATTTCTTGACGACGTAGTAGAGCTCCTTTCACCACTTGTTGAGCTTTCCCCTGCTATTGCAGATTGATAGTGTGTCATGAAGATGTTTTAAAAGTGAAAAAGGGCAAAGAGAATAAAAAGCAACGTATTTAAGGAAAGAAAAGGATATGGGATGTAGATGAAAAAGTTCAGGATAACCCGAGGACTGAAAGCAGAGGACAGGTTGAAGGCTTGTATCACCTTGTTATCGCCTTGTCAAAAGCCATCTTGCAGCACACACGCTGTCACTTGCATGCTAAATGAAAACAAACAATGACGGTGATGCAAATATGGCTGCCTCTGTTTACATTCGATGCATGTGAACACCATCAACCGGAGACAATGCAGGCACATTTTCTCGTTGTTTCATGCTAATGGAGATTGGGTGCACGATGATGATGCATTCAATACCCCCACACACCACATTTGATTGATGTAATAGTATGTATACTTCATTTTGTGAGTAATAGTTATTCTACATTCTATGTCTACTTGGCTATAGCTTGGACACTCTAAGGGGATCCTCTACCTTGTCTTCCCACTGGTATGGCTCATTATTGATAAAAGCATCCATCTTGAGAAAAGGGACAACGGCCTCTTCATAGTTCCTCTTTCGTCGTGCCTCAACTTCTGGGTCCGTCAAGTCGTGTCCTGCCAAGGCAAGCAACTTGGCTGGTGGTATCGTCTTGCGTGATTTTTCCTTAAAGACCGACTTTGTGAGAGCCAAGCATGACACTGTGCCATCATTAAGAAGGAATCGATGTTGGTGAAAGAGCCACTTTTCATCCCACGCAAGGACTCGGGATTGTATCGTGTACGACGCCAATGGTCGGATCTCTCGTCGATAAAGGGTCACCACACCAGCAATACTATAGTATGCATTGTGCTTTTCAGGATTCATGGCGATGTCACCAAAGAGTAAGCAAACTGCAGGTACGCGTCCATGATCCAGCCATCGGTTATACATGCTACAAAAATGGTGATTGGCGGGGGGGAGGCTCATCATTAGCGTCAACTCAATTCAGCCCACTTTATGGTTTCACAGGCCTTTCCAAGTCCCCACATACGTATTGTTCTATTATGGGATGGCTGATGAGTACCACTTTTCATACATAGAGCTACGTAGCCGTATTTCTTGGAGACTCACCATATGTAAATTTTGATCAATGTCATCGAACCAGCAGCGATGCTTGACTACCACGGTTGAAAAGAGAGCTGCATATGCAAAAGACGAACATGAATCAACGCTTGAAGAGACACATTTTCGGTTGACTGCTTACGAATAGGCTTATTGTTGTTGGCTGCCAATCTGCGTTTGATATCATGCATATGCGAATAAATACGTGTGACGTATGAAAATGGTAGCGAATCGGCATAAAGCCATGCAAGTGCCAATGCAGGTACAGTAACGAGCGTGGATGTAGAAAACATAAAAGCGAGAAGAAGAGGGAAGAAAAAAAGATACAATGAGCATACCGCATTGTGCCACTTTAAATGTATTCTTGTTGTACTTAGCCACGTTTCACATGGATGAATTCTATAAACGAGCAATCGAAATATAGGCAAGGATGATATATAGACAAGATGATGGTATATAGCAAGGTTTATTTACAAAGAAGAGGAGGAGGGCATGGAAAGAAAATGTACTTACAAAATTATTCAGGAAAGGAATTCACGATCTGCTTGTGTCAGAGGAACATAATCGAAAGGGCCTTCACATGTCACCTTGAGTGTCTCACGCGCATCCGAAATACGATTGGCAAAGACGACCCGAAAATGCTTGTATAGATAAACACGTTTCTTTTCAGTGCGGCAAAGTTGAAGATGGATAGCATAACGCAAACCGCCTGCATACGACTTTTGTCTCAAAAAGGTCTTTGTGTTGGGAGGCATATTGAGGACGTCGTATGGAATCAAAAACAGCTTGACAGCCGTCTTGTTCGGGTTCTTGATCACAATCTGTAATTGGCCTTTGGCTGGGACTCGATATCGCTTGGTCAACTCAACCGTGCCCACGTAAGGTGATGGTAAGGATGCATCACTTTCATAAAAGAATGCCGGGAATAGAATGGTCCGATGAGGTGGGCATTTGGGCGTGCAATCTCCATGGCCAAGGACACCAATCTGTGCTTGAAAGACAATGGGCTTGGAGGGTACTGTTGACATGCGACCACTTAATAAAGATTCCTCATAGCTTCCAACAAAACTTTCAGCGCCACCAAGGGAGCAACGACGTCGTGGATTGCTATTGTTGCTAGTGATGAAATGGCTATTGATGCTATTGTTGCTATGGGCTGCAAACATAAAGCTGCCGGTATTGTTGTTGCTGTTGCTATTGATGCTGACTCCACGTAGAGATGAAGAGGGTGAAGTGGAATAGGCGATGGATGATCGTCGGGTATATTGCATACGTGATGTGGGGATCGGCATGGAAGAAAGCGGGTTGTTGTTGTTGTTGTTGCTAGGGCTGGCAATTGGATTGATATTATTGGTATCCTCTTCAGACATATCCATAGCTGATAATGACAATCGAGATAGGCGTCGCATGGTTACAACAACCGGCTCTGTAACAATGGTACGTTTCTCAGCATAGACGACTTCAAGGGAGACGGTGCCAATAGAACTCAAAAAAGTGGGCTGAAAATGGTGTGTTTGCAAATGCGCATCATGGGAAAATTCAACAGGCGAGGGCGAATGAGAAAAGCAGCTGAGACCTGCAGCCGAATGTCGCATGGTAATGGCTAGTTCCGACTTGCTCATCGTATTATTCGTCACCATCGTATGAACTGGCATCATCCTCGTATACGAATACACTGCTTGCAATAAAAGTATCATATCATGTGATCCATTTTCCTTCTTATCTTGTTGTTGTTGCTGTTGCTGTTGCTGTTTCATCCTCATCATGCTTGTGGTTGGGCCGTTGTCGTGTCTTATCGATGTTGTCTTTGATGATGATGATGAATCCACTGACAATATCCAACGCTCTAGCAGAGATCCATTCTTTTGTTGGGTGTTGAGAATAAGAGAAAAGCTCTCTCCTTGATAGCATAGTGCAAAACAACAAAGGTCGCCTGGAGCATGGTCTTGGCCACAAACGTAATGGGTGCCGAGTCGAGAACGCACAATGATTTGAATCAACTTGGTGAGAGCATCAGCGGTACAAGAAGAACCAATTGGCTGATCCGATGAGACAAGAACTGGCATGGCAATGGAGGGTGTGTGAGAAAAGGACGGCGCATAGATAAAAAAGAGGGAGAGAGAAATGCAGCTTGAGAGGAAAAAAACTTTCTATCTACGGCGACACAACCTAAATCAGGAACCAATCCTACTCGCATACACTTTTTTTACCTTCCACATTCAACAGCTGATAGTCAATCATAGATCCATACATGTCTCTTTGTATATATCAACACGAGGAAAAGATCCGATCCATAGCAACTGATATGTAATCTACTCCATCCCTAGATGCCATCTTTGGCTTGAAAAGACATTCATGTTGGTTTAAGGTTAAATAAAAAGACTACTATTTATTATGATAATTACATGTGTGTATTAAATGGATTTACGTCTTCCTCGCAAAAGAGACCTTGGGTCAACATCATTTCTATGTCCAAAGACCAATGGATCACTGCTGACATGATCTGATTTAGGTTCACCCAACTTGGTTCGAACGCTACGGGCAGCAATCATCATGCTGAATTGATCCATGTACGACAAGTCACCAAGACGACGACGAATGGTGGATGTGAGATCATGCAACACCAAGGCAATTTGCGAATTGCCACGTGAGATCCAGCCTGCTTGCTTTAAGCTCCACAGCCAAGTAATCAACCACCAAAGGAGAGGGATGAGCAAACACAGCATCAGCGGAAGATAGGATGCTGGATCGGGTCGAAATTGCATATAAGGTCGCATACACACCGTATCTCCTTCAATGGGGTCACCTTGATGTAAAGGAGGAGGCAACATGGCTATATTCTCGGCAACGGTATCAGCCATCTTGTACAAAAAGGTATCAAATTGATAAAATATCTTATCGTTCTGATAGGGTGGAAACGCAATGTCGATGTCAATAATCATGTTCTTGAGCACGCTGAGCTGCATCGCATACATATTGGCCATGGTGTAATCAGTGCCTTCCTCTCCATATCGCTGCCAATAGGCTGGATCATTCAAGGCGTCATAATCCATCTCCACAGGGGTGGATGATATCACACGTCGACGTGTCAGCTTTTGATCCTCCATCGCATACTCGGTTACATTGATCATGGGTTGGAAGGTGCAATCGTGGATGCGTGCTGCGTATAACAAGTTCTCCGCGTACCACGTGCCGTGATCGTTGAAGCTCTCGTTTTTCATCAAGGCTACAAATCTTGGCTGAACAACTCTCCTTGCTGACTCTGGGTATGGTTGTGTAAGGTTGTTCAAATAATAAAAGGTCGAGTTTTCCATTGAGCTGTGATAAAAGAAGGCCTGATACTTTTGGTACTCGCTAACGAGTTTCATTCCCCCTTCATACAGATCGTTTGGTTCGAAAAAGAGGTCAAGGAGCTTTGTAGTGTTGCCAAAGATGGTGTCGACTACCGTTGTGTTGAAGATTCCTTTTTGGCATACAGGCTTTAGATATGGCATTGTCACGGTGGTGGTGTAGTTGCATGATAGTGCTTCTCCAGGACAAGGTAATTTCAAGTGGGGATCCCATCCCAACGTGTTGTTCTGCTCATCATAATAGAAAAGATATCCGGTAAATCCAAGCCTGAATGCTCGTGTAATCAATGAGTGATCGATATAGGTCTTGATGCTGCGAGGATCACGGGTATCGGGGTTGTAAGTGGTAAAGTCTTGTCTTGAAATGTTGGTGATTTGGGCAGAAAGGGAGCTATCAGCCTTCATGCAATTGACGAAATCGTTGCTGGCATTCTGCAAGAGAACTCGCTGTGCAAGGGGGGCAGTTGCAAGGATACCAAAATGAAATAGGACGGCAATAACAAGCACATAATCAAGTCGAAATGCATAAACGGATCGAAAAACACCTACAAAAACACCATCAATATCATCGTTGTTATAGTGCATCTTATTGTCACTCACCTCCTAGACCATTGGAACAGGCATCATATGCTTCAAGCAAACTTAAAGGGGTATTCTTTCGCTCAAATCGGATCCATTTATACTCTGATAGTGCGCTAAATTGCAAAGGTGTAAGTTGTTGGATCACTCGCTATCAACAGCAACCGTTTTAGACACTTACTATCCGATACCATCACCAAGTAGCAGTAAAATCAGAGCCATCATCAAGCCGATAAAGGAGGGATATGACATGCCGGCAATATGAGCTTCAACAGGCATGCCGTATGCCGTTGAGAATGCCAAAATGGTAATAGCGATGAAGATGATAGTTGCCACAGCATTGAACAACGGAAGAGAGAGAATAGTAAAGAGCGAGCTACGCTGAATTTATATGTGGGTATGTCGTGTTGATGCAAAGCGTAATTTAATTAGCATCATACCTCTTCTATCGATGGCTGTTTATTTGTGGGTATGGTAGTAGCCTGGTGAGCTATGTTGTTCTTTTTCTCGCTCTCTTGAGTCGAATCGGGTATCTCTTTGGTTGCATGCTTGAACTCGATTTCTTGCAACTCCACTATGTCTTCCTGTTTGTTGTTCTTGATATCACTTTCCATTATGTGTAAAAGTAGGTGAAGGAAGAAGGGATATGGGGGGAAAGGAAAAGCAAGAAAAAAGGTGGATCAAAAAAGGGATCAATCACTGCGGGTAATTGTGCTCTCGATGTCGAACATGCGCCACAACCAAAAGATAACATTTATGGTAAGTTCGGTATCACGTTGTATTATTGTATGAGTGTAAAAAAAAGAGTAGTACAAAAGTCAAAAAAGAGAAACATGCTGCTAGACAGACTTGCGCCGCATTCTTTGATGTAATGGCTGAACGTATTCTTCGGGTCCAAATGCTGCTGGCTCAAGCTGGTCACTGGTATGATCCTCATTGACATGGCCAAACCTCACGGTGAGATCACCAGCTGATTTTGCAATGGCGTATTGATCAGCTTGAAGGATGTTGCTAGGCAACGACGACCGTAACACAGGTACCAGGCGACTCCAAGCGAGCAAGATTTGCGATGCACCCAGCGACGCACCATTCATTTTGTACATGCTGATAATCCACAAGATAGCCCACCATACCAAAGGAGCAATTAACATGAGGGAAAATACGATATAGGACACTGGATCGATGTTGAAAAGCACAATCTTGGATGTATTGCAAACAGCAGTCTCACGCGTAGAGCTTGATGAGGCACCAAATGTCATTGAAAAGACCACATCAGTATGATTGAGCGCTCCAGCGAGGAATTCATGAATATTTGAAAATTGCTCAGCCATAGCACGTTGATAACCCCTTCTTGGATCCCACAAGCCCTCGTTGTCCATGATCAAAGCACGCATGATATCCAACTGATAAGCATAGGCAATCGTATGCGAATGTCCTTCCATATCATCTTCCTCTACACTCCATGTGCTTGTGTTGCCTAATCGGTCGTAATCAATGTTGATGGGTCGAGTTTCATGCACATCGAGAAAGTAAGACTGATCATGGCTGCTGACGTTGACTGTTGTAACATTGGCCGCCGTATGAATGGTGCATTGTTGCACTTGGAGATCGTTGACTGAGAAACCACCATCTGCCTCCAAGTTTTGGATGGTATCTTGATAGGTCACCATAACAAAGGTTTGCTCACCAATCTTATCACGTACCGATTGGTCGAAAGGTACAGGTGTCAATTCAAGAGAACGATCGGTTGCACTAACATTGCCAAGGTTGTAAAGGGTGCGATTGAACATGTTGCCGGCAAAGTAAAAAGAAGGTGTAGGCACGTTCAAGTGATCGGCATCGGGTGCAAGGCCATAGTACTCTCGCAACGGCATTCGGGTATCGGTGCGCACATTGATGATCTCAGTATCCAAGCTGCCAGATTGGCAATCCAATGTCGTATGAGCAATATGAAAGTTCGGGAAGACGCAGAGGTCAAGGTCGGATGGACAAGGAGGATAAAAAGCTGGAAATTTTGTGCCTCGAAGGAAATCTTTAAAACCAAAAGGGACCGCCACAGGTTGGGTGTTTGTGCCATTGACAGTAAGCGGATTATACGAGTTTCTATGATAGGTTGCCAGGCCTACATTGCTAGTAGCAAAGTTGTCTCGACTGTCAAGACTGATGTTAGTGGCCCTAATGTGGATTTCAGGTCGCCCGGGTTCAAGTAGTCGACATGTCATGTTATTTGAAACCGGCTTTTGTTGAAGCAGATGCTGTGCTGAAGGTGCAACAGCGATAAGGCCGAGATAAAAAATGGTAGCAACAATAACCACCCAATCGAAACGTCGTAGAAAGAAAAGTACACGTAGAATCCCTATGTCATCATGCCTTCATCATCAATATCATGTTCATCAATATAATAAATGTCTCTTACCTCCCATTCCTCGTGAGCTTGAATGATATACATCCAAGAAAATAAGCTTGACGCCTTGAAACTGGAATCGTGTCCATTTGTATTCCGAGATGCCACTTAAAAAAGCCTACTTTTAGTATTACTTTCCTCATATTTATGCGAGTCTCCACTCACTATTCAATGCCGCTTCGTAAAAGCACCGTGAGTAATGTTATGACGAGTGCTACAGCAGTAGAAGGCTCGATCCCTATGCTTGCTGTAACATCCCAAAGTTGATGGTCGTTGTAATACCACAGCAAGCATCCAATCATTGCTGCTGTACCAAGGATATTGAGTACAGGGTGTACCACTGTACGTATGAGCACTGAAGAGCTTACAGCAATTGCTCCTGAAGCAACCTAAACATGCCTCAACTATGAGATGGGTGTATATGTGTGTGGTAATCATCATAGCATTACCCTTCTCCTCCTAACAGGTTTATTGGTGGTGGATGCTGATTTATGATCGCTGCTGCTATTGTTTTCTTCTCGTACAGAGATATCATCATCCTCTTGTTCACTCTCAGAATCAGATGCAGCGAAAGAATAGCGTGGTTCACGAAATGAGCTCGCATAGGATGAAAGACTATCTGATGATGCTCGTCGTCCTATGGCGGTGTGTGGTTGTTGTGGGTTATCATCAGCATTGTTCGAAGGCGCACGTATCCAGGACCGCATCTCGAACAAAACACAGCCGTAAAATAGTGTGTGGAAGGAAACGCAAAAAGAAAGACCAGTAATTTGATCTGCAGTGTGCTCTGTATATAAAACTTAAGGTACACAAACCCGAAAAACGGAAAATCGCATCGTGTCACAAAGCATCGCACAGCTTTTTCCTGAGTTAGAATGCAGCAATATGGTAAGCTGCGCCTCATCTTTTGGATCACCACCTTTCAAAAGTAGGATATCCATTGTTCCAATGCAAAGCCTTGTTTCAAGATTAAGAATAAAGGGAACGCCAAAATTGTTGTAGCTGTAATGGCATTGTAATCGATACCAATTCTATCAAAGACGAGGTAGGGATTCAACGAAAAAGATGAGAGGAGAGAGATTTCATGATGATATACGTAAAAGGGAAATGGGTATCCTGTCAGCCACAATCAGCACATGTACGTACCTTACATGTTGGCTATCATCTGATGCTCTCCTTAAGTATACACGCATGTGAGCTTGTTATCGCCCATTGTTCTTTGATATCATTAGTACATGGATGATGTTTCTCACCATTGAACAATGAAAGTCATAGACACAATTAATCTTTTAGTCAAGTATTCGCATTGGGCTCGATAAATGGCATGAACGCACAAGACATTTAATGCTATTGATGAGCCTATTTTGGGATCCGATTGTGTGATGCGTACTTGCGGGCAAATTTCATGCAGATGGTGTGTGAGTGGGACCGTGGCAGCCAATGAGCGCTTACGTGATAACAAGGAAATCATTCTCTTCAGACACAATGAGCAAAGGAGCTACATAAAACGGGCGCTTGGGACATGGTAGTAAGCATCATTATCATGTAAAGTATAAAATGGCACACACCCTTTTGCTATACGTGAGGATCATATCGTTTATTTACGTGTACCTATTGTCTATCGTGAGGGTGATGATCATGATGGGTGGATGGTGTGTGTATGGGGTCATTGAGTGGCCTCAGTGTAATAGCAGTAGGGGGATTTAAACTTGAGGGACAGCAGCTCCACGACTTGAGACAACGCTTCTCTTCTTTTTCTCCCACCTTTCCTTATTCCGTTCACGACATCTCGATCAAGGTAATGTATTATAAAAAAGTGCTCTTGTTGGCTGTGAGGTGTTAATGTAGTTCTGAACATGCATTGTCAGGGAGAGTGAGTGTGTCCAAGTGCTGAGGAATGAGCGTGGCGGGTGGTTGGTGGTTGCCATGGCGATATCGTTGCTTCCTCTTGTTCGTTGCTATTCCCGCTCTACGCTTGGTGTCAACAGGTACATTCAGAGTCCATTGTTGCAGCCGAATTGGTTCCATTGACACGTCAGCTTGTATAGAGGGCAAGTTTGGTTTCAAGACATTGGCTGGTTTGGCGTTTTGTTTCCGCTCAACTACACTACTACACCATGTTTTCGGTTTCAAGTAACCAGCAACAAAGGGGGTCTTGTGTATATGGAAAAGGCAAGTACAATGAAACAAACAATGAAAAGGGTGTTTATTGTGTGTGTGCTAATAATGAATTGAATAGGTTTCTTTGGTCAGGCAAATGCAATTTGGGGCATCATCATCATCTCTTTGGGTTCAAGTCCCAGCCTGTATCAATTGGCCGCTGCGTCGCTCTGCACTAGCCACGTCTGCTGGAATGGCTTCTTGGAATGCGTCCAGGGCTCTATAGGCCTGCGTTTGAGTTGAGGATGGGTCGATGACGATGGATTTTTGAAAGAGCATGGTCACCGTGTTGAGGTAAAAAGGGATTTGCAACAGCTTGTGAATGTGTTTAACCAACACGCTCTTCTCGTGACAGGCCCATTCTTTCCCTTGAGGATTTCTTTTCATGAGGTAGGAAATGATTGGAAGGATTGGATTGGGGATCATTCTTTCTTTGGAGAGGACGAATGAGGACAACGATGAGCCTAGGCTCTACGTAAGTGGTGTCCTTCCTTGCCATGGATCGAACTGGCCTTGCGTGATTCGTGAAGTGCTTTCTCAAGAACAAGGGATCACCCGACGTTGCTCGTATGGTGTTGATTTGGTTTGTGAATTCCTTCTGGTTTGCTTTCTTCCTTAGAGAGGATCGCCTAACGGTATACCAAATCGTCATCATTCCCGGTATCAGATTGTTTAACTTGGCTGCTTTTACTTATAGACACAACCATTACGATGATTACCACATTCACAACAATGACGATTACGATGATCACCCCACCCACAACAATGACAATGATGACGACAACGAGATTCAAAAGGAAGCCTGCAAGATCCCAATCTTTTCAACTTGTGTGTTTTTGGATGTTGATGTGACGGATGAGATTGACGACTGGTGACGAGTACGAGTACGAATACGAATGATGACGGAGGACGACTACGACGATGGTGGTGGCAATGTACAGTACATAGCAAGATAGCTAGATGAAATAAAGCATTGTTTATTTATTACACGCTTGTTGGAGGTTGCTAGCTTGTGGATTACATACTATTGCTTCGAAGATGGAATAATAAAGGTGGTCCGGTTATCGGTCATGCAAGAAGTACATGGCTTTTGTGATACAATAAGGAGGAGTGGGAAGCGGGATGAGCTTGAGAAGAGAAAAAGTGAAGAGATCCCTCCATTGAGTTTCAGGATGAGTGACTTATTCAATATGTATACGTATCTTCTTACATATACAAATTGGTTTATGCAGCTCGACTTTCTTCTACATGCAAATGTGATGCATACCTTGACACACCTTCATTATTGGGTGCTGTTTACTTACGTACCTTCACAAAAGGCAATCATCATCATCATCCATTTGTGTAGCAACCTGTCAAGGACGTGTCTGTGTAACCACACGTGCCGTTTCACTCAGCTCTTCATCTTTCAGTTAATGCAGCCGACACCATCCACTAGGTAAAAGTAACTCCATCACGCTTACAGCATAGGTAAAACATAAAGACGCCTGTATCTCCAAACTTTACAATGAAACGTGGGGTTTTTATTAGAGCAATGGGCTCGGCTTGGCCAACAGCACCTTGTGTGAAAGTTTCGCGTTCAATGTCGCAAACAGCCCAAAAAATATTTTTTTGGTCGTCGTCGTCGAAAGAGGTCGACCCCTGGATCTAGTTTGGCTGGTGGCGACATTGCGAAATCTGGGATTGGCAAGCTTGATCGTGAAACTTGCACCCAAGGTGCAGTTGGCCAAGCCGAGCACATCATTATATTAAAATCGAGAGGTAAGTTTCCCCATTTGGACTCTTACAGTCCTGATTTGGCTAAACCCACTTTTTCACCAATCATGCCGCCTCCCTAACTCTTTTTTTCACACGCCCATCCCTCCTCTTCTCTCACCCATCCCTCTCTTTCCCAACTCACCCATCCCTCCTCTTCTCTCTCACGTTCCCCACCGCTTTTGTGTTGGATCCACAATACAAGCTCTCTTTTCCAAAGGCTACTACATTCACGCATGCATCTCTCTTCTTCCCTCATTCCCCACTTCACGTTCCTCATTCAGCATTCCACGTTCCTCATCGCTTTTGTTTTGGATCGACAATAAAGCTCTCTTTCGCCACACCCACGTTTGGTGTATGGATCACATTGCTCAATCAACAATAAGCCTTATCTCACCATGCAATCGACAATAAACCTCTCTTTCGCCATACCCACGTTTTGTGCATGACGATAACATAGCTTAGCTACGAATTTGCATCTTGGTATCAAGATCGAATCTGACAGTGATTCTCCACCATACACATTACCCAGTGTCCAAGATACTACTTCAACCATCGTTTACGCAGGAGTCTTATTGCTCAACAATACATAATAAATAGCTACATAGATATATCACAACTATCAATAACTCTATCAATGGATCATTGAGAGCCATATCATGCATATCAATGCATACGCGTTGTTG